GAACATACCCATAAAAGCCTTTTTGTTGCTTTTAACCTCTCTAGCAAGCCTGAGTTCATTCTGTGCTTTAGCTTTTCTGACTTTGTGTCTACACGTGCTGGCTATTTGTTTGAATTCCTCTTTGGTGGTTTCCCCCCTTTTCCATTTTTTTGTACACATCCTTTTTAAATCTTAACTCAGTTAAAAGTTCTTTAGATAGCCACCCTGGCTTCTTTAGGCACCTTCCATGTTTCCGTCTCACTGGTATTGCCTGACGTTGTGCTTTTACTATCTCCCTCTTAACAAACTCCCAGCCATCATGAACTCCCTTTCCTTTTAGTATTACTGTCCATGGGATCTCATCCAGCACTTCCCTAAGTTTTATGAAGTCGGCTTTCTTAAAGTCAAGAAATTGAGTCCTAGTATGCTTGGCTAGTATGCTTGGCTGCTCCTTTCCGCTGTATAGTAAACTTCAGAAGATGAAAGGAGGTGATGCGCTCTGAGGGTCACTCTGGAGAAGGTGCATGGGAAGAACATTGAGGAGGAGTTGTTGTGCATGCTCCAAACCTAAGCATTTAAACTCAAAACATAAAGAGCTTCAGTTTCAAGAGGATGGTGCACTAGTCATAGAGTTTAACTTTGCAGAAGACACAAATTAAGTCACTCTGAAAGGCGATACTGGAGCCCTCCAAATCATTTCCCCATGTATGTGCACAGAAAATAGTAGATCTGGCTGAAAGGCAACACATGGAGATCTGCATTGATTGTTGCAATGCGTCCCTACTCATTATTGTTGTTTAATTATAAGATCATTGTACGTTCTTAGAGAATTGCATCATCTTGGAAGGAATGTAGCTGTGGCTATGAGGGGCATGGCGGTGAATATTATGAAGGGACCCTGCACTTCTAAATTTGCCACTACATCACGGGTGTGTGCATGGGTGTGTTCAGATTTGGGAGTCTCTCCACCTGAGGCCATTGCCTCCATTTGCCAAATGGAAGAGCCAGTTCTATTCTCATATGTCTGTGGAACGATGGGTTAAGATGACTGAATTTTTCACGTTGGCCCAAAATAACAAGCCCAGCTTTTTGTCTCCAAGTCTCCAAGCTCATAATTCTCCTCACCCACCGCTAAACTGATATTGAATCTCTCTCCCACCACTCCACCGCCGCCATCTTCTGCTGTGGATCATGCATTACTCCCACACTGAGAGATAGCTCTGCAGCATCAATGACTCTGAAATAATATTGTGGCCTCCACTCCATAGGTTAAACCAAGTGGAATGTTTTTGATCATCACTGATGACATGACTTCATGTTTTGGGATTGCACTTAATTAAAAAACATCCCTCTGTAACTGACAGCAATCAAAGTGGAATACAGGAGAACGCCCCCTCTTCCTTCACCCCCTGCACTCTGTGGAGCAGTGGTAATAAGTAACCCAAGGTGGATCTGTTCCTTGCACCAACTGGTACCAACCGGATGCTTTCTAGACTAGAGAATAGGGTGTGTGTGTTTCTCGCGTGTGTAGTGCTGTTACATAAAACCATTTAGCACTAAAATGTCTGGGAGTGACATAACATGTGGGTAGCAATAAAACAAGCTGATTAAAATGAAAATCCATCTTCTCGGGATCTAAATTGTTCTGGCTAATTGCATGCTCACATTTGTCTCAAACTTCCTCCCCGATGGTCTGTTTTTGTAACTTCTCTCCCCCTTTTCACCCCATGGCAAATATTCTAAGTAAAGAGCCTTGGATTTAATTGTGCCTTCTTGCAAAGGGTTTCCAACTGCCGACAAGCAAGATCTGCCCCGTCGGGTTTCGTGCTGAAAGTAGGAGCTGTTCTGCCAGGGGGATTTCCATTCCACCCAGGAGTAATTTCTCAGATGGCAAACTTTCCTCACCTTCCCAAATTAAGAATGAAAACTTAAAACCAGCGGGCTAGTTGCAGGAGGAGCACAGAACAAGATGGAAAGGGTTTGCTTGCACATTCCTGCCCCAGCTACTTTGGTGCTTAGACAGGGGTGAAACTAGGCTTTATTTCACCCAGGTCAAAGACCCAATTTGGCACCCCCATGCATATTTGTGTACACACACACACTGGCAGTCTCAATGGCACCTGTCTCAGGCTTCACCTGGGGCAAAACACCTAGTGACCCCCTACTGTAGCTCTGGCTCTGGCTTAGATCACCTATGTGAGGGGTAGCCAATCAGTTGCACTCCAGATGTTGGACTCTAACCAATATTGCCAATAATAGTGCCTTGAGGACATCCACACTATAACACCCAATAAAAGAAGTGTCCTCTCACACCTTCCAGGGCATTTCTCTGTCACTTTCCTTACTGCAAAATGTCTAGATTTGTTGTACAAAGCCTCCCAATCAACTTGTATATTGTTACGCAACCTATTATGCAAGCTGAACTTGCTGGTATGTGATGGAATCCCCCCCCCCAAACAGTGACAGCTTGGAAGGTCCCTGTAAACACATCAGTAATAAATGTTAAACTTCCCAAGACCCAATTTTACAAGTCATGTTAGAGCCGCCTTCCTTCCTTCCTTCCTTCCTTCTTCCCTTCCTTCCTTCCTTTTACACATTTTGAGTACTTAAAAAAATAGTAATGAAAGAACAATGGCACTCTCATAAATGTCAGGAATGAATTATCCTCTAATAGATGTAGTGACTGTACAGTACAGCGGTGTGCCTTCCCTCCCCAAAGTCTGGGACATAAAGCAAGGAGAATATTGGGTAATATAACTCTCTGACATCCAATGGTGAAGATGCATTGCTAATGCTTTAATAAAGTAGAGGCTGGTGTCTAGTCGGTCCAAAGCTCTCTGAAGAGCCATAACTTCCAAACAAGATTTTGCAGGCAGGTTTGGTGATGGGACAGAAGTGTGAGGTGGGGCAGTGCAGGAGGGACAGCGTGTCTCCCTCCCCACATACGGGACCTTCTAGACTGGTGGGTGGGGTTTCGGGTGTCTTCTGCACTGGGTCATCAACTCAGTGTTCTCTGCACTGACTGGCAGCAGTGTTCCTGGGTTTCAGACAGAGGACATTCCCAGGCCTCCCTGCAGATGCCAGGGATTGAACTTAGAACCTTTAAAGGCAAAGCTGGTGCATTGCTAGGGAACTATGGGCTTCCCCCAGTTCCAGAACCTGGAACTGCTATAGAAGGAAAGAATAGAAGACCTTTGCATTCTCTCTAGACCCTAGCACTAAACCTTCCCCTGGATTTCATTTCCACGACTGGAGATTAATTTTGTCGCTCCATTGAATGGCCAGGACAGGGCAGGTGGTGGAGAGGATATTGCAAACTAGCCTTTATACATCTAATAACAACAAAATCTTTTCTGTTTCCTCCCTCCTGCAGCATGAGATCAAAGCATTGCATGTCAAGCCACATGAAAGCCTTTGTGGTTCTGATTTTCTGAAAAGCTGGGCAAATTAGCGGCTGATTAACAGTGAGCAGAGGCCAGCACATGTGGCGTCTCAGGATCACGCCAAGGATGGGGAAAGCACCTGCTTTTCACAGTAGGAAGCAAGAGCAAATGTTTCACTGTTATCATTGGCAGGATTTGCTCTTGCTTCCTACTGTGAAAAGCAGGTGCTGGTTGGTCCACCAGGGTGAGTGACGCATTGCAACCACCATTCACTGCCTGCCCTCAGCCAGCTGCCCCCCTCCTTACTTACAACCAGTCTAGAGGGTGGTAGTAGAGGTCAGCTTCCTCCTCCTCCTCCTCCTCCATTTCAGTTGCCTTTGCAGCAGTTGGGTCTGGAGGAAGAGGATGGTGACAACACCAGATTGAGTTGGCTCCTCCTGCCATTGGCTCTGGCGCCACATAGTGTTGGCCTCCCTGCCTTCCACCCCAGCAGTCCCACTGATAAAAGCTGCTTCACACACGCACACGCACACACACACGGGTACAAGGACTCAGTGGAATGTTATTGGGCGCTATAGGATGATCTCCAGCTCAATGATGTCAACACATCCAGCAGGTTGCTGCAGATTGTGGGAGAGTGTTTCCTACAAGTTGCAAAGATCTCCGAAGCCCATTCCCCAGTAACTGTGCAGGGCTTTTAGTATGGCTGCTCCTGTTCTGTGGAATAGCATCCCTATCAAGATACAACAGGTACCCACTGTTTTGTTTTTTAAAACGATGGTGCAAAAGTTTTGTTTGTTTTAAAGTACAGTTGCAACTTTTTTTATTTTGTTGTTTCATATTCTTGCATGCAAGTAGCATACAAATTTTATGAATTAAATAAAAGTGGGCCACCCTAATAATCAGACAGGCCAGGATGCATTCTTCTCAATGAACAACCTTAGCTGACTGCGTGCACTGCTAAGCTGAGCAATGACTGGAGCAGATGTAAATCTCCTGCTTTCAAATTCTCAAAAGTTGTCACTTGGCCAGGCAGGCCCCCGGTTGAATTGCAGGTCATAAATGGCCCAGTATACATGTTGCCCTTAATGCAAGACCTCAACATGTTTCTACTGCATAATGCCCTATTGTTTCCTGATTAAACACACTGTAAAAGGGCTTGTTGGGACTGCGAGAGTTTTCCGTTGCATATTCTCTGAAGGCCTTTGTTACCAGGAGGACTATCTCTCTGTGCATCAGAAAAAGTTATCTTTTGTTTGTAGCAGAGAGGGTGCTTCCTCTTCCCTTGGAGAGTGGGGGGGGGTAAGTCCCCCACCCTCACACAGAGCAGAACTGTCTGTTAATGGAAGAAACACCAACATCCTTCCTTACAGCAGCCACAAGAGGAAATGAGCGTTAAGAATTCAATGGCCTTTTCTCACCCAACAGACAAGAGACAGCAGGAAGCTCAAAATGTCTGAGTCCTGTCCACAGGTCTGTGTGATGTTAAGGACTTCAATAAATGAGAGTAAAACTGAAATTAGTAGTTTGGTGTGTCTTTAGATGAATGGGCTAGGCTTGCAGGCTTCTGTATATAGAATCATAGAATTGTAGAGCTGGAAGGGACCCTGAGGATCATCTAGTCCAACCCCCCTGCAGTGCAGGAATATGCAGCTGTAAATCGAATCTGCAACCTTGGTGTTATCAGCACCAAGCTCTAACCAACTGAGCTATCCAAGCTGAGGGACATAGGTTAAGCCTATGAATGCCTATGTAGAGCATGTGGATTCTAGTTTCTCATTTCTTCACTCTTATGTTCAATTCACCCCATAGCCACATGATTTTCCATTTTATTTATGCATTCATTCATGTTTTAGAAGGCCATGGCAAATTTTGTTCAGATTTCCATGCATTTTCTCCTAAGATATTTATCATTTGGCCAGTATACACATTTTTGCAAGCAATTTCCCCTAATTTACAGGATTAACCCCCCCCACTAACATATGCATATATGTAGAGCGGATGAGCGGGATGTGTGTCTGTGTGTATGTTGTTGTTGGTGTGTGTGTGTGTGCACACGCATGTGTCCGTGTGTATGTGCACGTGCATGTGAGAAAGTGCATATAGAGTGTGAGGTGGTCATGCCCATTTTTAGCCATACCTGCCACTGGCATGTGGCCCTTGGAAGACCATCCAAGGGTTGGATGTGGCCCTCGCATCAAGAAAGTTAATCACTCCTAGGGATGGATGAATCTGTCAACTTTCATTCTTCTCTGTTTCTCATTTTTTTCAGACTTAAATTCAGTTCTCCACATTTCTGCAGCAATTTTCAGTTTTTCTATTTAAAAAATCCTTGCGAAAATTTGTCAGCGTTATACCGCAAATTTCTCCTAATAGAAATATTTTTTGAATGCAGCTTTGAGTAACTACGATGTTTCTGCAAGCAAATTCCCTTTTTATAATGCATGGTTTTTGTAGCTTTTTTATGTGTGCATAGGCACAATTCACCCTAATATATGCATTTTTGAACCCACTGTGTGGCTGGAGAATTGCAAAATTCAGAAAAGTGCGAATTTTGAAGAATGGCTATGTATGGTTTGTGTATTTTCTCCAAAAGTGCAGATTTCTTAAGTTTACCTTTAAACATGACCAGAACAGAATTTCTTGCCCATCCCCAGCTGCTCCCATCGTAAGAGAACCAAGCACCCATGCCCTTGTTCTTGAAATGGGCTGCATCTGAAATGGGCCGCTACTGTCATTGTTTTGCTACGACGCAAACTCTCTTTTCCTTGTAGAAAATTGTAGGGTCTTGCCAGTTTTTTAGGAAGAAGAAGGAAAGTGTCCAGGGGGATATGAATTCTTCTCTGTCCTAAGGCAGAGCTATCTTCTTGCCTGACTTGAAGGACCCAGAAAGGCCGTCCCTTCCTGCAAAGATCCTTGGAGGAATTTGATTTTCTACTTGTGTGATTAGATTCTCAGTTGTAAAGAAATGTCTGGTACTTCCCCATGTGCAAAAGAATGTCTTGAAGAGGGAGCCAGTTAAAAGCAAGAAAGAGGGTGGGTGGAGAAAGGGGGAAAGGGGGAATCTGGGTGGGGAGGGGGCAACAGAGAGCCTGCCAGCAGATGAAATCCATACAGCCAACAGTGCATCTTGATCCCATCTATCGAGGGTGCAGCTTGGAGTCTGCATGTGCATTAGTTTATCCCAGACTTCGTTCCGTGTCAGAAATTGTGGCATGAAATCGTATGGTGGCTGCCATGATGAATCGCACCCAGATGTTATCCCACGGGGTCCATGAGTGATTTCCCACACACACAAATGCAGGCATGCTCTCAAGAAACCTTAAGAGAGCAAAGGTTAAAAATGACCAGGGATGGGGGAGTTCAGATTAGCCTTCCCATATGCAGCATATGCTTCCTGCCTTCCCTAGTTAAGGGGAGTGATTTCATTTGCTACACATAAATTTTTGCAAAATCTCGAGCCGGTAGCATTAGGTAAAGCAGGGGTGCCAAATGTGGCCCCCAAGCCTTTCTGCCTGGCCCTTGGGGGAGTTTCCTCATCCCAATCCATCTAAGAATAGCATCTGAGAAGATCCAAAACAGGATTGTGTTGCAGAAAGCACATGTAACAGGAGCAGGCTAGAGGGAGGCTGCCAAGGAGGGCTGGTGGGTGGGGGAAATAATTCGTGGAGGGTGTGGGATAACAGCCCACATTTCCTCCTTGGAGGAAAAAGGTGGGATAGAAATGCAGTGAAATAAAATGAAAAATGAAAATGTTCAGACATAACAACACTTACGGTATAATAATACTACTGCTCCCAATTCCACTCTTTCACACTGTGTCTGTTTGCAATGCTAAACCATAGTTCAGTGCCATCTGCATGAGCAGGAATGAATCTGAGCAAAAGCTGCCCTCCTGCAGGATTGGAAAAAGGGCCTAGCTAGTTCTCTACAGTCATACCTCATGTTACGTCTGCTTCATGTTACGTTCTTTCAGGTTATGTCCTGCAGCGACCCGGAAGTACTGGAAAGGGTTACTTCCGGGTTTCGCCACTCGCGCATGCGCAGAAGCGTGAAATGACATCACGTGCATACACAGAAGCAGCAAATTGCAGTGTGCAGACGCGCCGCTGCAGGTTGCGCTCTTTTCATATTGCGAACTGGCCTCTGGAACAGATCCCGTTCGCAACCAGAGGTACCACTGTACTTTGATTTTCACCGAATCCCTTTTCCTAGCCACACAGAGCTCATTGCCCGCTGTATTTCATGGTGCCCTTCTCATTTTGAACACTAAATACAAAACATGCAGAAAACTGTGCTTAGCTTTAAACTCTCAAGATCACACAACTTTGGATTGCCTCTCTAGGGTTAAAACTGAGGGCATTGTTTGAGAAGCTCAAAACTGAGGGAATTGTTGGTTTAGAGCACGGTGCTCACAACTCCAAGGTTGCAGGTTCAATCCCTGTATGGGCCACCTGAATATTCCTGCATTCCAGGAGGCTGGACTAGATGATCCTCAGGATCCCTTCCATTTCTATGATTCTATGATTTAAAAGCAAGCCCCAAACCAACAATTCTAATGAAATTCTCAACTGCCCTGAGAATAAGGAAGAAGGGTGGGAACTTCCTTTGCAGAGGAAGAAAACAATTGATGAAACCCGTTTTCATCACGGCGCTAGTTGAATTCTCTAGACTAATTTGAATCAGCCTGTCAGATCTAGGTCTGAAAGTCTGGAGTCTCCAGACACTATGAGTCCTGCAAACCATCTCCATAATCTGATGCTCTTTTCTCCTGCCACTAAATATTTGAGCCCAGGTTGAGGGAGATAATGTGCAAGGCAAGAGCCCCTATGAAGGATGCGGAGGCTGTCCGATGAGGAAGGGGAAAGGCGCTCACTGGCAGACTGAACTCTTAATGGCACCCAGCCAGTTAAAAAATCCCCCCTCCACCCAAAATGCCTCTTTAGCTTTGATCTCACTGCTTTGGAATGCTTCTCAATGGGCTGGAAAGTTTAAGAGTCAGATAATAACCCCTTAATGCCGTCTCCTCGACATATCCCCCAGTCACAGGCCGACTGATCAAAACCACACAACCCAGCTCCCGACTTAATCCATCCTTTCCACAGACAGAGATGGCTCGTCTTGAACTTGAAGGCAGAGGTGAGGCATCCCTGCATAGCAGATGGCCGAGAGGGTTTTGAATTAGTGGTGAGGAAGGTCAAAGATGCACAGACCTCACAAGGGCTGAGAAATCAGGATCTTGCTGAATGCAAGCTGGCAAGGAAAACCTCTGGGTGCATTTGTCGTGTTCGGAGCGCTTTCTAAAAAGTCAGAGAGAACAGAAGTGTATAAAATTGTGCCAGGCATAGAGAAAGTGGATAAAGAAAAGTTTTTCTCCCTCTCTCATAACAGTAGAACTTGTGAACACGAAGCTGAATGTTGGAAGATTCAGGAGAGACAAAAGAAATGACTTTTTCATGCAGCGCACAGTTAAATTATGGAGCTTGTTCCCTTAGGGGGCAGCAATGGCCACCAACTTGGATGGCTTTGAAAGAGGATTGGACAAATTCATGGATGGGAAGGCTATTGTGCTCAGGTCCTGCTTGCAGGGTTCCCTCAGGCACCTGGTTGGCCACTGAGAGAACAGGAGTCTGGACTAGATGGGCCACTGGCCTCATCCAACATTCCTCAGACAAAAATAGGGACATTTCTCACTCCCCGTCAACTGACCCTCCTCAATGCTCCATTTTAGTCATCCGTCCGTTCCCCCCGCTTAGGTCATTCCAAGCCTGGCCTGGAGACACCATAGAGGACTGAACCTGAGAGCTCTTGCATGCAAGCAGGTACTCTACCACTGAGGTGCAGCCAGCATCGTGTGGTGGTTAAGAGCGGTGGACTCGTAATCTGGTGAACCGGGTTCGTGTCTCCGCTCCTCCACATGCAGCTGCTGGGCGACCTTGGGCTAGTCACACTTCTCTGAAGTCTCTCAGCCTCACTCACCTCACAGAGTGTTTGTTGTGGGGGAGGAAGGGAAAGGAGATTGTTAGCCACTTTGAGACTCCTTAAAGTAAAGGTAAAGGTGACCCCTGACCATTAGGTCCAGTCATGCCCGACTCTGGGGTTGCGGCGCTAATCTCACTTTATTGGCCGAGGTTGCTGGCATACAGCTTCCGGGTCATGTGGGGTAGTGATAAAGCGGGATATCAAATCCAAACTACTACTACTACTACTCCACCTCCTCCTCCTCCTCCTCTTCTTCTTCTTCTTCTTCTTCTTCTTCTCCATGAAAGGAGGAACCTCTGGGCCATGTCCCTGGCACATATGAGAAAGCCGCTGCCTGCATTCATCTGTGTTCCAAAAAAACAGATGTTAATGGCTGTTTCGCAGGTGAATCACTCAGTTAATGACTATAAAGTAACAGCACAGGGTGTGTGGGTAAGGGAGGGGTGAAAGATGTGGGGGGGGAGAGGAAGAACCTTAAACATTCTGTACTTTATTAACTCCGGCACTCTTGCTATTGATGGCCGTCCAGACAAGTGCCGGCAATCTCTCTCCTCCTCCCGCCCCCCCCCCCGCCACATCCCTTTTCTGCATCCAACACCTGCCCTTGATCGGCGCAAAAGACAGAGCAGCCCCAGGGCTCAAGGAACCAAAATGTACTCTGCTCCCTCTTGTACCTGGAAAGGGTCCAAGGCTCTTTCTCATGATTAATTTAGCATGTGCATCTCCTGGGATGGGAGCCATGAAACATCCTTCACTCTCTCTTTTTTGTTGTTTATTAAAAAAAATAAATTAAAACAGGTACATGATCAACCCCTAAAGCGGTACACTGTTGCACACATGTGGAGCGTCCCTGCCCAAGGATTGCTAGGCAAGAGGTTGGCAGTCGATTTAGGGGAGAGGGAGGAAAAACTTGGAATATCACGCACGGTTCTGGCTGCTTAACTCAAAACGCTTTGGGATGGCTTCAAAAGAGGAAGAGGCAGATTCATGGAGGAGGAGGCTGTCAGAGGTTGCTGGCCATGATGGGAACCTATTACTGGGAAATGCTGGTGGACAGAGTACTGTTGCTCAGGTTCTACTTCCAGGTTTCCCACTGGCAGCTGCTTGGCCTCTGGGAGAACAGGATGCTGGACTCAGTGGGCCACTGGCCTGATTCAGTAGCTCTTTGTATATTCTTTTTTTAAAAAAGAGAGATGTAGAACTGGTAAAGTTACAAAAAGGGCCATTGATTAGTTAAGCCTCGGAGTGTATGGATCAGGGCTTCAGCTCTGGTCTCCATGGGATATTGCAGGCCCTGTTCCTGAGCATTCAGGCCGTTGAAAATAAAGTCTCTGCCCATTTTCATTAGGGGAGCCTTACACCTGGAGCGGGGTCCAAATAAGGCCCTCCAGTCTTCTTAACTGGCCCTTGGGGTTTTCCTCAGGCCACACCCCCTCTGCCCAGGCCATGCCCCTCACTTGCTCACGCTTCCCTCCTTCCTCAGGTGTTTTGGGCCTGGCTAGAATGTGCCCTTGAACTCTGATAATGGATTCTGCTTGCCTGTGTGGATGTATTTATTTATTTTATTATTTTTATTTATTGAATTTATATACCACCCCATACCCAGAGGTCTCAGGGTGGTTCACAGAACAAAATCAAAATATAAAACCACAATATCATGTAGAAACTAGCCTACAGGACAAAGGTAAACTTTACATCCCTTGCAACATCCACTTTTGCCTCTGGCCCTCTTTGGCTGCAAAATGGCTTCCAGAAGGCTCTAAGTGGCCTCTCCTTCCAGAATTTCAGCCACTGGGATGGTAGACAAAGGAGTTTTCTCTTTTTAATTTGTACTAAGAAAATGGGATAGACTAAAGCAATTTGGAGCAGGGCTTTGGAATAGCATTCCTGTTGAGATATGACAGGCACCCCCTATCTGCACTCTCTGGAAACAATTGGTGACATTTGGATAAACTAGTGACCACTTGTTAGGGTTTTAATCTTGTAAAAGTATGTATTGGTTGTTTTGTGTTTTTAATTGTTTTAAATATGTTATTTGTAAATCACCTTGAAATGGTGCCTTAGAAGGCAATTAAGAAATCAAAGATGATGATGATGTATTTATTGTGTTTTTATCCCATCTTTTCCTCCAAGAAGCTCAAGGTGGTATAAAAGGTTCTTCTCCCCACCCATATTTACATATTGAGCTTCTCAAGTAGAAAGTGGGATGAAGCTTGATTACCCTCTTCCTCCCAAGGTAAAGGGAAGTGACATCACGAAGCCTCACAAAACAGCTTACTCTATGGTATTAACCCCTTCGTGCATTAATTAAACTTAAGCATGTTGCTTATCCCACATTATTACTGCCTGCGACTGTGGAGGCAGAGCAATAGCCATCATGGCCTTTGATAGCCTAATCCTCCATGGATTTGTTCGATCTTCTTAAAGCCATCCAGGTTGGTGGCCATCACTGCCCCCTGTGGGAGTGAGTTCCACAGTTTAGCTCTGTGATGCATGAAGAAGGACTTTCCTTTGTCAGTCCTGAATCTTCCAACATTCAGCATCACAGGATCTCCATGGGTTCTAGCATTATGGGTGAGGGAGAAAAAGCTTTCTCTATCTACTTTCTCCATTTCTCAGAGATGGGTGTTTGCACTAGAAGAAGCCACCGTGAGCATGGGGGCCTCCCACCTTGTCCAGCTGCATCAGTTACATGCCGCAGTGGGCATCCCAGTCTTGAGAAGCTCATTCCCAGCTGCCAAGGAATCGTTTTGCCAATAATTCCAACTGCTCTGATTTAAGACCTTGCCATGAAGTATTCAACGATTCAGGGAAATTAGGATTTTTATCTAATTGCATTCATTACCTGCTTCATTATGTGTTCATTACCTGTTCTTAATGGGCCTTGTTTCCCCCCACCCCCCACCCACTCCATCGGTTGCAAAGTTGCATGAAGCGCATTTATTTATTTGTTTCTCCAAAGCCGAGAGTAGAATAGATGCAATCATTCATTCAGCCTTTTAAAGCCGGGTGGAAACTAACTTGAGAGCCCAACTTTCAGCAATGAAGCAAAGGGTTCCATTGACTGCTACTCCATGCTAAAAAGGTTAGATTCTCCTCGAAGATGAGCTGATTTTCGCAAGCTGCATAAATTGCCTGCATCAACTGGAGCTGTATCCCAACAAGACAGAGCTAAGTGGTTCCCTTATCCAGGTAACTGATTATACAGCCTGCCCTAGATCAGGTGGCCTGAAGGACCAGGTCTGATGCCAGGAGGTACTTCTGGCTCCAGCCCAGTGACTTGAGATACAACAGGCTGCAGTGGCAAGGAGTGTCTGTATAGTGCCAGGTATGGCCATTTCTAAATCGAGGTATACTTGTCCTGCAATCATGACATCGTAATCTTAGGCTGAGACTACTGCATTGTGTTCTACATTGGGCTGCCCTTGAAGGCTGTCGGAAATCATATCTAGTGTGGAACGTTGCTGCCCAGATAATAATGGGCGCATCTGCACACTTTGATTATACAGTGGTACCTCGGGTTACAGTCGCTTCAGGTTACAGACTCTACTAACCCAGAAATAGTATCGCGGGTTAAGAACTTTGCTTCAGGATGAGAACAGAAATTGTGCGGTGGTGGCACGGGGGCAGCAGGGGGAGGCCCCATTAGCTAAAGTGGTACCTCAGGGTAAGAACAGTTTCAGGTTAACAACGGACCTCCAGAATGAATTACCGTATTTTTCGCTCTGTAAGACGCACCAGACCATAAGACGCACCTAGTTTTTGGAAGAGGAAAACAAGGGGAAAAAATTCTGACTCCCAGAAGCCAGGACAGCAAGCGGGATCGCTGTGCAGTGATCCCGCTTGCTGTCCTGGCTTATGTGATAGCCGCGCGCAGCCTCTCCCGGGCAAGGGGAGCCTTCATCCCCTGCCCGGGAGAGGCTGCGTGTGGCTAAGTCTCCCCCAAGAGCCGTCCTCCCTTTAAAGAGCACACGGAGTGTGTGCTCGGCTCTTGGGGAAGGAGAAGGGCAGGGAAAAGCCCCCAAGATCCGCACACACGATCCACAAGGCTCTTTAAAGGGAGCGCTGAGCAGAGCCTCCCGCCTGCATTTGCTCCATAAGACTCACAAACATTTCCCCTTACTTTTTAGGAGGGGAAAAGTGCATCTTACAGAGCGAAAAATATGGTAAGTTCTTAACCCGAGGTACCACTGTAATACTGATTTTCCGGGCGCTACCCTGGCTGCATGTACTGTTGGGTCCAATTCAAGGTTGCAGTATGAGCGTTAAAGCCAAGGACCCAGCTACAGTGGCGTAGCTAGCCTCTCGGGCCACCCATGGCAAGCCAGGGCAGGGTGCACTGCATGGAGCCAGAGCCTGCATGGAGTCCGCTCTGCCCCCCGCCTCCCCCTCAGTTGCAGGCACTGTGCCACCCAAAAAGGCAATATGGGGCTCACATCCACTTCCCACTTCCCCTCAGCTGCAGGGCAGGCGGACACGAGCCCCATGCCACCTTTCCAGGCAGTGCCTGCAGATGCCCAAACCGCCATGACTCTTCCAGGAGCTCGGGAGCGCTGCAGGCACTGTGGTAAGTGCCGCCTCCGCGGTAAGTTGCCGCCCAGAATGCCTCACCCCCTGCCCCCTAGCTATGTCAGTACCCAGCTCTTTGTCAACATGCCTGCTGCATGCCACCCTGATCTCCAAGCAGTGTGAGATTCCAGGGGTTCCAGCTGCTTACCTAGAGTTTGGTTTCCTTTGAATGAGGGGCAGCGTAGACTGTGGTGTCTTTATGATATATGGCTTCTTTACACACATATATACAAGCTGATCTTGCAATGGAGGGGCTCACAGCATTAACACCCAAAGAGGGTCTTGCTTCCCCATAGCCACAATCTTGATTCAAGCAGAAATCAGGCATGGCTATGTCTCTCCCAGCTGCCCAGTTTCCAACTTAGAGTGCACAGCATCCGACATCTGGCCTTTGTCTTTCTAACTACCAGCAAGCTGAGGAAGGGGACCCCACCCATTTGCTGTCTGGCACAGAGCCACTTCCTTTGTTGCCTTAATAGCCCATACTGAGAGGGCCATTACCTCACCAGGAAGCTAGCCTGGCTATTCCAGGAACTGGATTCGTGCTAGATCCAGGAATTAGAATGGGGCTCAGGCATATAGCCTACCTCTATCCAACCTCATAACATGCCTCTCTCTGTGTTGTCCTTTTCAGGCTTTGGGGTCAATCGTTTCTGCTGAGCAGTAAAGGCAGTCCTCTCCTCTCTGGCATTTGGAGTATATTAATAACCACTGTTTTGTCTTATGCTGTTGCTCTATTGCTTCTTTTTATATTTTTTTGTATTACTGTGCATTTTTGGAAACCATCCTGGGATTATGTTGTTATGTTGAAGGCTGTTCTACAAATTGGAGGAATTGAAGTATTTGCATGTGTTTGCATAACTTTATCTCTTCTCTGCATAACTCTGCAATTCTCACAGTTTTGAGCGGTTTGAACAGCCAACAACTTGGATGGCTTTAAAAGAGGATTAGATAAATTCAAGGTGGATAACACTATCAATGGCTACAATAGCAATGACCATGTTTATGCCTCCACGGTTGTAACGCAATATCCTTCTGTTTTTTAGTTGCTGAATAGCAGATTATAGTGCCAATTCAGCCCTCATTTCCATGTTATTTGCAAAGAGATATTGTTATTTGCAAATAGCAATATTTCACTATATTTCCAGAAGCGGAAAGTGAAAGCTTAAATATATTGCAGAAATTCACAGTTAGGGGAACGTTGAGAAAATGGAATAAACTGGCATGTGAATACAACCTAATTTTTGCAATGCGGTTCTTTCGACCCGAAGTGCACACAAAGATGCCCGCGGTAGTGCAAATGACACTCCAAACAACATTCCACTAGTGAAAATTGCTTGCATGTTGCAGGCAACATCGTGTACAAAGATGTGTGTACAAAAGCTGTGTGTGATTTTTTTGTGCAAACGTTTTTAAAGAAAATATGGCAAAGGGAAAAGAAAGTACTCTCCTTGCGCAGGGCTGAACAGAAGTCCCTTCATGTGGTCTTAACAGGCCAAAGGAGAGAGGGTTTCTCGCTTCCCTGAGACCCGGAGACAAAGCTTCTGTTGACACAACTGAAAACGATCTTGGGCCCATTGAGTGGAAAGGGTTGCGACTGGATTCAAACACAAATCCCGGGGATTTGGCTAAGCCTGTAAGTGGCAAAGGGAGCTGCAATTTTCTTAGCGTGGCAAAAGGGCAGAGTAGCCTGCCAACGTTAATGTTTAATCCTTTTGCTATTCCATCCTTCCCACCACGCAAGCCCAGTGACAACAAGCCTTCTTTCTTATTTCATCCCCCCTCCCACCCCGCCTGGCCTTGCAAAATAACCCAATAAATCAATAATAAACTGACATTTGGAACTCTGCCTTCTAACTGGCACCAGAAAGTGCTTTGAACTCTTGTCTTTCCCCCCACTTTTAACTTGGAAGGACAGTCTTTGGAAGTGTGTGTGTGTGTGTCTGAATGTCAGGCTCAGGGCCAACGTTTAGATTGCATGAACCCAGAGTCGGGCCACCCTCCACACCCTCCCTTCCAGTTGCATCTCCTTGCCTGGTGTACCATAGGCTGGATAGTCTCCCAGTGAGCAAATCAAAACCATCTTCCACAATGAATTAATACAAGGTGCTGAGTTGTTGGGTAAAGGCTAGAAAATGAGGCTCTTAAACACAGGTTTTGGCTAGGAGTTCAAGACATGTGAAAGACAAGCATTGTCTTTCTACACACTTTCCCTTGCTTTGGCAGTAACAGAAATAGCCGAAAGTTTGAACGTTTTCATCTGGTGGAGAGAGGTGAAACATCTCAATGTGCATTTTATTAACTTTTTTTTTTTGTATTGTTGCTGTGCTCTTCTTCTTTTTCAAAAAAATGCTTTTTCTATAAATAAATAAAATAAGTAAAAGTAACAAGCAGCAAAATGGAAACTAGTAATTAAGCCCCCACCACCTCAAAATAGGAACTGACTGAGGAGAATGCAAGAATGCCACAACCCTGCAAGGGAACAGGAAGGAATTAATTAAAGGGGCAGAAGTGTTATGAAGGAAGCTATTAGTTAAAGGTACCATAGCCTCCCTGCTTTGCCAGTCCACACTGGGCAGTCTTCTTGGGAGTGACGAAGTGGGCACTGGCCCATAAATGCTGATGCCACCATACCTTTAAGGTGTTGTTTCACCCTGTTAGTCTGTTGCAGTAAAAATGGCAACAAATAAAGCTACTCCTTTGCAAACCATTTTAATATCAGTGTCCCTAATGTTCACATCCCTAAATGCTTGTCAGAAAGAAATATTCCATAGAATCATAGAATTGTAAAGTTGGAAAGGACCCAAAGAGTCATCTTGTCCAACGCCCTGCAATGCAGGAATCTCAGCTAAAGCATCCATTAAATATTATCTACTAATTAAGCTTATTGGTCCCTTTTTTCTTTTTATGCAAAAGCAGCTCAAAGCCACTTACAACAATAATTAAATAACATATACATTAAAACCAGCATAAAACAGAACAGATAAAAATCTAAAGTGCATTCGTATTGTTATGAGGCAGGGTGAAAACACCCCACCCACTGAAAGAGGCCACAGATAATTAAATGCCAATAACCTGGCGGAAAGAAATGTTTTGCCTGGCGCCTAAAGCTATGTAATGGTGGCACCAGGTGAACCTCCCTGGCAAGAGCATTCTGCAGGTGGGGAGCCACCTGTTCTCATCTTGGCACCCTCTGGACCTCCCAAGGATGGGGTGCATGGAGAAGGGCCTCTGATACTGATCACAAGTTCTGGGTCAATTTATATCGGGAGAGGAGGTCCAGACTCTCCACTATTTATTGCCATATATATTTCAGACTCAACTCTTCTGTTTCCAAGAACCCCATTTTCAGGTTCTAATTGTGGATTCACAGCTGTCCTTGTGACTTTTACTTTGCTTCTCTGATGTGTGACAAATCCAGGGGTTCAGAGGCGTGCAACTTGCATGCCAAAATCCCTTTACAACTTCCAGAAATCAATTTGGGTCTTTCTCGCCCTTGTAGTCTTCATATAGGATCCTTCTGCAGCTATTTTTCATTTATTCTTTGCAGAAGAGGGGAAGTGGATTTGGATTCTTCTGATTCCCCTCTGCGTTAATAGCGTTTTCCATAGCGATTAAGCAAGGAGGTAAACCCAAGAGCAAAAAAACCCAAAAAACCCTGAGAAATGCTTGCCTCCTGCTAATGTTCCTTGCTAATGTTGATTTATTCCTAGCCACGGGGCACAAAGTCATTGTATAAAATAATGGAGTGTGTTTTACAGAGCCATTATTTTCTGGTTTTACCAATGGCCCAACAGCAGATGGTGTCTTTCAAAGACATCGTTTAAAAACATGACTGCTTGTGTTGAGAACTGGTTTCTTTCCATAGCCTCTCAGGACTTTGTAGTCTGTAACCCATTGCATTTGTTGCAATGCAGGGCCTGCTCTACCATTAGGTAAATGCTGGCAGGGGAAAGGGTGCAAAGCTGTTCCTCTGGCAGGAGATGCTGTGGGGAAGGGAGAAGCTAGAAGCCAGAGCTGAGTGTGCCACCTGCTGTGCCCTGCACCCCTTCACGGGCAATGGAGGATGTTCTCCTGTTACTAGGAATGAAGGAATAAGATTCAACTGCCACGCTGGTCATCCTTAACAGGTCAAATTTCCCAAGAGGCCATGACAGTGATACTGCTTTAAATGTACAGTGGTACCTCGGGTTACATACGCTTCAGGTTACAGACGCTTCAGGTTACAGACTCCACTTACCTAGAAATAGTACCTCGGGTTAAGAACTTTGCTTCAGGATGAGAACAGAAATCGTGCGGTGGCGGCGTGGCGGCAGTGGGAGGCCTCATTAGCTAAAGTGGTGCTTCAGGTTAAGAACAGTTTCAGGTTAAGAATGGACCTCTGGAATGAATTAAGTTCTTAACCCGAGGTACCACTGTATTTTACGTTTAAAAGACAACTTCCTGTTTAGGGAAGTTTCTAATGTCTGATGCTGTATTGTTTTTAATATTCGGTTGGAAGCTGCCCAGAGTGGCTGGGGAAACCCAGCCGGATGGGCGGGGTATAAATAATAAATTATTATTATTATTATTATTATTATTATTATTATTATTATTATTGGCTACTGTGAGAATAGGATGCTGGACTGGATGAGCCACTGGCCTGATGCAACAGCTATGTCCTCCTGATACTCTCATGTGATGAAATTGTAGCACAGGGTAAGTTTTGCTAACCATTATGGAGAGGGGGATCTCAACATGGGTGGGGTGGGTTTGCCCTTCCTACCACAGTCTGGTATTATCTTGCCTGGTGGCAAGGGAACAAAGCAGCACAGCTAGCATAGCAACACACTTCCCAGTCTTTGGGGTTTCTGGCTTCCTGCTACCTCCTGGATCCAGCTTTCCATTATTCCACCCAGGCCTCATCCTTCCCACCCACCGAGGCAGCTTTGCAAAGGCATCAGCTTAAAAAAAAAGTGCATGTCTGTTTGCATCTGGAAGTCCAACTCTTTCTCTCCCCCCACCCGCTTTTATTAGTTTTTGTGGTTCGGTAATATTTCACCCAGCAAGACAGTCTGGCTACATTTTATTGCTCAGATTTCTTTGGGAAGGATGCTTTCTCAGCGGGAAACCCAACCTCCTCGCCTTGCAAGTGCCGTTATCAAGAGCTGGAGTCGCTCCCTGAGGGTTTCCATCCACGCATGCGCACTCCTGGTCACACACACACACAGAGATTCTGTGGCTGCTTGGAAATGGATGTCAGTGGATCTGAAAAGCAGGACTTCTCAGAAGACAGCATCTTGTGCAAATGGGTCTGGGGCCAAAGATTTGCGGAGCCCAGAGATCTGTGCCCACACCACATCCCCCAAAATGCTGATGTGCCAGCAGAAGAAGACTTGCCTCCATCATGGGCTGAGAGAGATCTAGCTGTTCAGCCTCACTCCCTTGCTTCAGAGTGGACATCAACGGCAGCTGCTGCCTAGTGGGCAGAGACCAAAGGACAAGAGGTTACTTGATGGAAATGTATGAAATTGTGCATGGCACGGGGGAGGCAGAGAAAAGTTCTTCTCCCTCTCTCATAACACTAGAACTTGCAGACATTCATGTTGGAAGATTCAGGACAGATAAAAAGTATTTCTTCCCATAGAACATGGTTAAACTCAAAATCCCATAGGAGGCAGTGGTGGCCCCCAAGATAGCTGGCTTTAAAAGAGGATTGGACATATTCATGGAGGAGAAGGCTATCAGTGTCTCCTGGATGTAATGGCCATGTTCCAAAGTTGGAGGCAGCAATGCTTCTGAATACCAGTTGGTGGGAAGTATAGTTTCCCACAGGCATCTGGGAACAAGATGCTAGACTAGATGAGCCATTGGTCTGATCCAGCAGGCTCTTCTGATGTTCCTATGTCAACATCAGGTGAGAAGTATGTGGGCAGGAAATGCTGCCCGAATAATCCTGGCACCATAGGAAGCTGCCATATACTGACTCCAACTATTGGTCCATTGAGCTCAGTATGGTCCACACACTGACTAGCAATTACTGTTTCTCCCAGCTGTAACTAGGGATCCCAGGAACTGAACCTGGGCCCTTCCGCATGCAGAGCAGATGTTCTATCACTGAGCTATAGCATGTTCTCTCAAGGGAGGAAGTTCCATAGACTTGGGGCTACTGCTCAGAAGGTCTTGTCTCTCTTGCCTGCCAACATGCTCTGCTGGGTCTTGGGACTCACAGGGGAAGATGAATCAAGAAACAAGTCCACCAAAAGATCAAAGCAAATCAGGACTCTGGTCAACTCCCTGTGAGTCCTGCTGGCTAAAGTTTGGAAGATGTTGTCTCAGCCAATATCTTCTTCTTGGATTTTAATGGCATTGCAGGACCGTAGGAGGGTTTCTATCCTGGCCACCTGATGGCTACATTTTTATTGCTTCTCAATTATAATCACTCATCGAGTTTGGCTTCTCAATGATTTCCATAAAGCCACCAGAACAGCCACCTTCTCTTCATGCCCAGATATTTCTCAGGGTGCTGACTATTCTCAACTGCCTCAATCCTGTGGGGCTACGGGTAATTGGGAAGATGCAAGGCAAGAGCATTGCTTCATACAGAGATGGTGTGACCACACCACTAAGGGAATGAGAGACATGTACCCTGAGAAATCAGTGAATTGAGGAAAGGTTGCTGAAAACTCAAAGCAGCCATGCACAGAGGAGTATGCCCACTTCATCTCTGTATGAGTCAACGTTCTCACCTTGCCTCAACATCTGGTAGTCTGGAAATGTCTGTCCATCCTGACCAGAAACCTTCCACTCCTCAACGCAACCACAGCAGCTGATGTTTCTTCTATGAGAGACAGTTTAATCCACTTTCTCTGTCTTTGTAGTAAAAGCCCTGCCTGTTAATATGGATCAAAGAGAAAGAACTCACATCCCAGAAACAGGTTTGAGCTCTCTGATGATTTCGTTTTACTTCCCTCCACGTTCCTTTATAAAGCCATTTGTGATCTGACTCTGACAGAAAGACCCACGAAATCCACAGGCGAGCATGGATGGCAGTTCTGCCTGTGAGGTTACAAAAGACTTCTCAGCATGGAATCTCTTGTTTGCACTTGCTCCAAACACATCTATCTCCGGAGGGCCAACGTCTTCCAGACTTCGCTGCTCCCTGAAGGGGGATTTCTCTGCTTTTATTTAAGAGACAAGATTTAAGTTCCCATAAACCATGATGTTTTGGGAATTCCAAGAGAGCATTGGTTTAACACAGAGCATTTTCAACAGAAAGAAAATGGAAACGACAGCCATCAGCTTGGATGCCTTGAAAAATGGCTAGTCAAATTCAGGGAAACGAAGGCTTTCAGCAGCTACTAGCTAATGATACCTTGACAGTCAGAGACACTAATACTGGGTCTCGCAGGTTGGGAGAGTGCTGTTGCACACGTAGTGGGGCATGGCTGGAAGGGAAAATGGAGTCTGGAAGCTTCATGCAGGAAGTTGATGAAGGTTGAAAGGGAAGGGATAGGACATCATTCCAGCCTGAGGGCAACCTTCCCTTCTGGGCAACCTTCCATGGGCTACATGCCAGTGGTGGGCAGGGCTGGAGACAAAAGTGGGTGGAGCAACAAAGGCAGTTTTTCCTATGCACAGCAGTCTACTTTCTTTACGTACCCTTTTTGTCAGGAGCGAGCCAACGTAAATTACACTGTGCAAGTGCAAAAATAATAGCTGCTTAATCTCCTCTCCAGGTTCCCCTCCCCCCCACCAAGCAATCGGAGACTGTGTCTGTGTGCAATAATCTCTCCTCCACCCTTTTCAGGCCTCTTCTGGTTCTGGCAGACTAGAGGGTAGGGAAGTTTGTCGCAGCAGGAGGGAGAGACACTCGTGCCTCTTCTGCAGCCAGACTCATCTCTGTCTCTTGGCTTCCTTCCTCTCCTGCTTCAGCCGCTGCCTCTGATTCTGGGCTTCTCTCTACCACAGACTCTCCCAGCTCACTAAGCCCTGTTACCTCTTCTTCAGCTTCTGACACCTCCTCCTCTCAGTCTTCTCCCTCTGAACATGCATCATTGTCCACCACCAATACCCAGGCAGCAGAGCCTTCTTCCCTTGGGGGTTCCCTAGCTCATTCCTCCCACCATGCCTCTGCGTCCAACCAGTCCAGGACACCTCTCTATTGTACATCCAGGAAAGCAAGAGGCATGGTCAGGGTTTGTGGGCACATCCCAGGCAAAAACACTCAAGGACGGTACGAACCAAGGTCAGGGAGCCCTGGAAGAGCCCTCAGGGCCTGGCAAAGAGGTCCAGAGAACTGCATTTTAGATTATCTCATCACTTAGATTACCAGCCTGCCGGGAGGAGCATCTTGTAATTACTGATCATATGGGAACTTTTTTTCAGCTGGAAAGTGAGATTCTCCTCCCCACAAATAAAACAAAATAAAAATAGGAACTGAGAGCAAGTGAGGTGTAGTGGTTAGAGTGCTCACCTATGGCCAGGGAAGATGCAAGTTCAATTCACTCCTCCCATCAGCCATGAAGCTCACTGGCAGGCCTGTGGCCAGTCACTATCTCCCAGGCTAGCCTACCTCACAGGGTTGTTGTGGAGACAGAATGCGAAAGAGTAAGGCTCAGTCAGCCAGCCTCAGGATAGTGGGAGTGGGCAGCGTTCTCCCAACCACCCGCACTGCCCCCCCATACACACAATGCAACAGGTCTGTCCTTTTCACCACAGGAAATCTGTGTGGGTCTCTGGGATATCTCAGTTGGTAGAGCAGGGTCATGTGTTTGAGCCCCATGTTAGTCAAAATATTCCTACATTGCAGGGGGCTAGACTAGATTATACTCAACGAATCTATGATTCTGCTTGGACTCTCAGCATCATCAAAACACCCTCTGGATGCAGCAAAGATTGCTAATCGAATAAGGTGGTCTCCATCCATTTCATTGATTAGGGGAGAGCTCTGGAGCCCATCTCTTTCATCCCCCACGTCAATGTGCAAGCCATATTTCCCCTTCTCACCTAATTGGATTGTTTGGAAAGAGCTGTTTGCCAATCAGCGGGAGAGCAGGGAGCTTCTTTGATCATAAAGTGCTTCTTTCCCTTGGGACCCCCGACTCCTCTTTGCTCTACATAGAAAACATTACTTAAAAAAAACAAAACCCCAGAAAATCAAATGCTCCAGTGTGTCACCTCATCAGGCTGCAACTCGCTAAGGGAGTCTGCTCTGAAGGTGAATCCAGTGCAGGAGCCACAGGGAGAGGCATACTCTGGCTGGCTGGCTTTCATCTTCTTTATTGATTTCTAGTGGTCAAACATAAGGGAAGAAACAAACACTGAATTGTGGAAATCAGGGTACGGCATGGGACAACAGAGCTAAAGGTCTGCCCACCCACACCAGTTCCACTTCAGAACAAACCATGCCTCACCTGAGACCCAGGACTGGAACTAGAGATGCTCAGGAAGGACCCAAGGGTGCTGTGCCTGAGAATGGCTAAACCTGTCAATTTCAGTTTCATAGAATCATAGAGTTGTAGAGTTGGAAGGGATCTTAAGGGTCATCTAGTCCAACCCCTTGCAATGCAGGAATCTTTTGCCCAACATAGGGCTTGAACCCACAACCCTGAGATTAAGAGTCTCATGCTCCACCAGCTGAGCTGATAGGTAAGTTTCTCTTCATTTCCCCTTTCCCCCCAATCTTAAGTTCGGTTCTCCACACCACTGCATCAGTTTGTGGTTTTCTTTCTAAATCATGAAAATTCATCTGCATTTTAGTGGGAAAGGCTGTAGCTCAGTGAGTAGAGCATCTGCCTTGCATGAAGAAGTTCCCAGGTTCAATCCCTGGCATCACCAGGTAAGGCTGAGAGACCCTGCTTTTCTGAAACCCTGGAGAGCTGCGGCCAGTCAGTATAGACAATACCGAGCTAGATGAGCCAATGGTCTGACTCAGTATAAGGCCTGATACATTCATTTTTGCTACGTAGTTCTATGAAACAAATGGATTTCTGTATGCTATTTTTCACTCATATGAACAGTTTTATCCACACACCCCAGCTTCTGCACTTCTGCACACATCACTTGGCTGGAGAAATACACTGCAAAATTTGGAGAACTCTGTGAATTTTGAAGGGTGTCTGTGTTTCGCTTTGCAAAACACTGTTTCAGAAAGTGTGAATTAGGTCGATTCATCTCTGAATGTGAACTGAGTTGAATTTCTCCCCATTCACCAGACGCAAACTTTGGTAAATGTAGCACACAAGGTTCTCAGCACCTCTGCAGTTCCCAGCAATCCTCTTCAGGATTATGAGTAGATCATTGTCTTCATCTCTGATTAGTATTGTAAACATCACAGCTTCTGCTGGGGATTGGTGTGGGTGTTTGAGGTAGGATTTGGAGCGCTCAGGATCCGCAGACTAACTTCCTTTCCCTAATATTCCTTTTCTTCTCCCCAAGGCCTTTGGATGACAAGCGAAGTGAGCTGGGGACTTTAGCTAGTCCTGATGCAGTAGTTCCTATGTCTTCCCGTTGAAAACCTCCTGCGTACTTTTTTTTGCATTGTTAAGTCCCTCAGCAAATCCCAGCAGATAACTGGGTGTGTGTTCAAGCAAGCTTCTACTTGCCCACTGGGGGGAGCCATTTCCCCCCTCTTTTCCCAGGACTGGGAAATGCAAGAGCTGTAAAAATGCCCTTTGGACGGATTGCCCAACGCACCGTTCCATATTTCTCAATCCTTGCTAATAATAATAATATCTCCACTTGGGTTTTATAATCTGCATTCCCAACCCAACGGACTCGCAAAGTGGCTAACGGCATGTAAAATCATGCCATAAAATCAACACTGTCAATTAAACTAATGGAACAACAAGCCGAAGCATGAAGTTGCTGGAAAAGAAAGGAGAAGTCTGCCTCCAGTGAGTAGCCGGAAGACTTAAGCGCTCTCTTTAAAAAGTCCTGATGCAACTGGTCAGGTGGATTGGGAATTCAGGGGTGGGCAGGGCAAAGTAGTGCTGTAACTAGTAAGGCCTCGTCTTAACTCTTCCCTGCTCAGGAACTAGTACCAGGGTAAGTTCAGAATGGCTGTAGAGCAGGCGTTCCCAAACTAGGGAATATTTTCCAACGTTTCTTAGATGCAAATAGGGACATTCTCTTCCACATCAGGAGGGTTCTCCCACATTTGATCTACCCGTGCACACAAATGTCATTTGCACATCTATATCTGTCACCTTGAGCCAACTGCAACCTCTCTGCCTAATCTACTTCACAGAATTGTTGTAAAGAAATAATGACCCTCAGCCAGTTGCAAGCAGTCTGTTGAATGGCAGAAGTCTGGGAACCACAATTGTAGGCTCCTAAGGTGCTGCCTCAAAACTGCTCCTACAGATTATTCTTGCTCAGAAGCTGTTGCACAAAGCACACACACTTGTGCACCTGCTTGGTCACCTGCTGCCCAGTGTCACCTGCTTTCCTTTCCCTCTTGTAGGATTTGGTTTCTGAATGCGCTTTGCTGCGTCAGGCTGTATGCACAGAGACCAGGGTGAAGCTGCCTGGCTGCCTTGCCTCACTAAGCCTTTTTGGGTGACAGAATGTTTATTCCTTTAATAACTGCAGTTTGCTAAGAGTGCTGGGAAGTGTAGTTCTGTGAGAGGTATACCACAGGTCCCAGGATTCTCTGGGAGAAGCCATGAGCTTTAACCATGCTTTAAATGTAGGGTGTGTGCTCACCCTTAAAGAGTATGATGCTGAGCATCTTCAAAGTATGAGATGGAAGCTGTCCAAGAACTACTTGGAAATAAAGTGGCCAAACAATCTGGGATACAACTGCTTGAGGAATGGTATTAAAACACATTTTTTAAAAAGGACTTGGTAAAAAAAAAGGGCTGAAGACATGAAGCATGGACAGTAGTGATTGATTTTTCAGAAACAGAATTCCTGAAGCCCCCTTCTGAGGTTGCAGTTAACCACATGGGAACTTTTAGGCCCCTTGTTCCTGTTTCTGATCCACCTCTGCCACAGACTCAATATTCAGGGAAGTTTTTAATGTGTGACATTTTAGTGTATTTTTGGTCTTTGTTGGAAGCCGCCAAGAGTGGCTGGGGAAACACAGCCAGATGGGCGGGGTACAAATAATAAAATTATTATTATTATTATTATTATTATTATTATTAGTCCTTGGGCAAGTCACTTTCTCTTATTAAGATGGAGACATGCCAAAGATGAAGAGTTGTATCCAGCTAAATCCTACCAGATTAAATTCATGGGAATGAATGGGCCAGCTTTTGTCATGTTCATTAATTTCAGTGGGTCTCTTCTAAGCATAGCCAGCAAGCGCTGAAGACAACCTAGAGAGCAAAGCAACCAGCTGACTTCAAAGTGCTTTACCGAAAAGTGAGACTGTTGTTGCCCCCTCCCCCCACATCCGCTCCATCTCTGGTCTCCATATTTGAAAGCACACTAGACTCTTTGCTCCCTTGCCATCTGCTGATAATGTCCGCTGCAGATCCTTTTACAGAGCTGTGGATTTGGAGCTGAGCAGCAAAACATAACCCTCCACCAACCATTAGGCAGAGTGATGCAGTTGCTTCAGGCAGCAGATCGGGGTGGGGAGAGAGATGAATGGCAAGATGTTCCGTTCTGGTTGCCTCGCCTCAAAACAGAGACTATTGTAGAGTTGGGAAAGGTTCAGAAAACGGCAGCCAAAATTATCAAGGTGGGCCGGGCAACTTCCCTATGTGAAAAGGTTGCAGCTTTGGGGCCTTTTTTAGTTTAGAGAAAAGGGGAGTGAGAAGTGACGTATGGAAGAAGTTTATATAAAATTATGCCTGGCATGGAGAAGGTAGAAAGAGAAAAGTTTTTCTGCCTCTCACCACTAGAACTCGTGGACATCCAATAAAGCCAAATGTTAGGATTCAGGGCAGAGAAAAGAGCATCCCTCTTCATGCAGCACTTAGTTGAAGGATGGAACTTGCAGCCAAAAGAGACAGGGATGGCCACCCACATGGGTGGCTTTAAAAGAGGATTAGATAAGTTCATGAAGGAGGAGAAGTCTATCGGCAACTGCTAGCCAGGATGGCTACGCTCTGCCTTCAAGGTCAGAGGCAGGAATGCTTCTGAATCACAGCTGCTCAGAAGTGCAGGAGGGGAGAGCGCTTTTGTGCCTGTGGGATTCCTTCAGGTATCTGGTTGGCCACTGTGAGAACAGGATGCTGGACTAGATGCTGGTCTGATCCAGCAGCCAGGCTCTTCTGACTTTCTGAAGATGTGTAAGGATGGAGCTGTGTGTGCCATATGGCCTCGCCTATCTACACCCCTAAGCTAGCTTGCTCCCCTAAGGTATGGTGAATATACTGCCCCATTGCTGAGTGTTGTGGTAAGAACAAAGTGCCCCACTGGGTGGCTCATGTACAGTGGTACCTCGGGTTAAGAACTTAATTCGTTCTGGAGGTCTGTTCTTAACCTGAAACTGTTCTTAACCTGAGGTACCACTTTAGCTAATGGGGCCTCCCGCTGCTGCCGCTGCGCCACCTCTGCACAATTTCTGTTCTCATCCTGAAGCAAAGTTCTTAACCCGAGGTACTATTTCTGGGTTAGCGGAGTCTGTAACCTGAAGCGTATGTAACCCAAGGTACCACTGTACAAGCAATGAGAGCAGGCACCTCCTTCTTCTCCTTCTCCTTCTCCTTCTCCTTCTCCTTCTCCTTCTCCTTCTCCTTCTCCTTCTCCTTCTCCTTCTCCCTCTTCTCCTTCTCCTTGAGCAGCCAAATGTTTTGGAACATCCCGGTCCTCCACATGCATAGACAAGATTCCTCTGAATGCCAGAGCTGGAGACTAATGGCAGACAACCATCACCCTCATGTCTTGCTCCTGAGTGGCCAGAGTGCTGGGCTGGGAGGAACGTTTTCCAAACTAGCTCAGCAAGTCATCTGTTTTGGAATTGTTGCATAACATCAGAAGAGCCTGCTGGATCAGGTCCATCACAGTCCAGCGTCTTGTTCCCCTGGTGGACAGCCTGATACCCACGGGAAGCCTGCAAGCAGGACCTGTGTGCAGCAGCAACTCCCCCATCTTGTGATTCTAGTGACTGCTTTGCAGAGGCCCCCTGCCTCCAGCTGAGGAGGGAGCATGGATCCACTTGCTGGTGACAAAGACGCTCCCTTCCTCCCCCCCCCCCCCCGCCAAAGCCATACATCTTCTTCCCTCTATGCTATCACTTGGGAGGTTCAGAAGTCCTAATTATATTCAAAACAGATAATTATATTAATGGGCTAATTAACGCTTTTGCTGATTGTAGCTATAAAAAAGGACAGCACAAAATGGGGATTTGGTGCTGGGAAGCAGATGTACAGAAGCAAACAGATGCATTTCAATGAAGACGAGAGCGGACGGTGCTTTTATAGAATACTGTTGTGCTCATGTCCAGCTTGAAGGCTTTCCAGAAGATGCATCTATCTGGTTGGCTCCTGGGAGAACATTCCTGGATGTTGGACTAGACAGCCTTTGGTCTGATCCAGCAGGGCTCCTCCGGGATCTTTCTCAGACACAGAGACTTTCCGGACACGGTCCAGTGGGAAGGTCTCCTGCGTAAACCACAGCCGTGATCTTGGTGTTGGACTTGTCCATGGGAATCTTCTACTGGATTTTTCTCTCTATACTCCACAGGGTTACATTTCTAGTTTTGTGAAAGATAGAAATGGCTCCATGCTTCCATTCCCATGACCGGCGGGTTGTTTGGGGCAGCCTTTATTGGCTCAGTACCCTTCAGAAGAGGGAGTCCTGAAGACTCCTTGTGAAACGCCAAGGTGTTTCAGATATGCAGCAGCAAGTGTACACCCTGCCAGTCCCACAACAATGTCAGCTGGATCCAGCTCCAACATTCCTGAGAGACCACCTCCTTCCCTACAGACCATCCCTGGTTTTAAAATCAGCTGAAGGGGACCCCTGGTTAGCTCCACCTCCCACAGAAGTTTGGAAAACCCAAGAGCATTCTCCCCTCCGGTGATTTCCAGCAACTGGTATTTAGAACTGAAATATACTCGGAGTCGAGTGTGGATTTCATGCTCTTTATTCAGTTCATAGTAGTGAGGAGGAATGGAAGTTCCCCCAAAATGTCTGCTTTATATACATTATTTACACAACGGGCCCCACGTGATTGGCTAATTCCGGGATTCTCCTGTAGGCCAATCAGGTTGCGGATTCACTTCCACCTGGAGTTGGATTGGGTGGCTCCTGTGGACCAATCAGACTGCTGCATTATGGATCCTATTGTTCTAGGACCAATCAGACTGCTGCATTCTGAATTCTATTGTTCTAGGACCAATCAGACTGCTTCAATTTGGATCCTATTCAACTCAGTACATAACAAGAACATAGCCATTGTGGCTAGCATCCTCCATGAATTGATCCAGTCATCTTTTAAACCATCCAGGTTGCTAGCCATCACTGCTTCCTGCAAGAGTGAGTTCCATAGTTCAAATATATGCTGCATGCAGGACTTTATTCCCTTTGCTCTGAATATTCCGACCTTCAGCTTCATTGGATGTGGACGACTTCTAGCAACGTGAGGGAGAAATAACTTTTCTCTATCCACTGTCTCCAATCTTATGCACCATTTTAAAAAGCTTCTATCATGTTGCTTGTTGCTTGCCTTTTCTCTAAGCTAAGAAGTCCCAGATGCTGCGACCTTTGCTCATAGGGTGGAACATTTGAGGCTTGCGAAAGAACGTTTTTCTGACGGAATGTGTCCTTCCCCAGCAACTAACATTCTCCAGCTGAATGCCCCCCCCCAAAAAAAATTGCTCCAGGTCAGCAGGCCTTTCCTTTAAACTCATTTTTAAATTGATGGTTGATAATGGAACTACACACATTCAATCTGTATAATGCATGTATTTGTGTGTCTACGCGCACCTACACAAAAACTCCTGTACCTCTTTAATTAAAGCTGACATTTGTGAGGGCTAATTGTTAATTGCCCAGCATGTGGCTATCATCAAACTAATTGCTGTTTATTTATGACATGTTTCCCATCTTTGATTTAAAACTCGGCAGGGAAAAAGGCGGTCTTTTGTGGCAAATCACTTCCCATGAGGCAAGTGATTTGAAACAATAATTACAGTCCCCAAAATGTGGAGGTTGTTGTTGCTGGCGGTGGAAATCAGATGTGAAAATATTTGTTCATTGTATGTAGGCTGTAAAACATCCTCTCCCCCACCCCCTCTCAATTAACCTAGCAGTTCTTCTGCTCAAATCTTGTTTGATCTTCCTTTAATTCCAGTTTTGGGTGGGGGCAGGGAAGTCATAAAACTAGTAAAGACACATTTGTCTTTGATTTGTATCGTTCCCCATCCTGAAGGTTCAAGGCAGATTGTAAATTACATATTTTGTAACACGTCGAAATGATCACCTTTGTCCTGTTCCTGTAGAAATAGAAAACAACACACACACACACACAGAGAGAGAGAGAGAGAGAGAGAGAGAGGAATTCCCCCCAGATTTTCAATGCGCTTTATGTTTACTTTCAGAGATCATGGGTCTTCATGGTATTGTGACAGATCATTCTGGAGACCTGCTGTTCAGATGGTCTGCAAGATGGAAATAATATGGCAGTAGTCTCACCTTGACAGATGACTCCAGCCCCCAAACCTCAAAATTCACTTTGCAGTCCTCCGTGATCATAGAGAGCCATCTGGAGACTCCTAGACATACTAAAGGTCAGTAGGTGTTTAAATTTAAGAACATAAGATGCACCTCCTGGATCAGGCCAGTGGCATCCTGTTTTCACGGTGGCCAACCAGATACACTAGTGGGAAACTTGCAAGCAAGAACTGAGCTGAACAGCACTCCAGCCTCCTGTGGTTTCCAGCAACTGGTATTGAGAAGCATGACTGCCTCTGCCCATAGAGGCAGAGCATCTCCTCCATGAATTTGTCCAATCCTCTTTTAACGCCATCCAAGTGGGTGGCCATCCTTGTCCCCTGCAGGACTAGGTTCCATAGCTGAACTATGTGCTGCCTGACACTGGAGCCAACTCCAGGGGGCCATGGGTGCTTTGGCACCCACAATAATATATTTGTGGGGCTGTGCCCCCCCCCAAGTCAACAGGCAACGTTGAAGCCCTTCATTGTGGGCACCCACAATCTTTGGTGCAAGATGGCACCTATGCTGCCTGAAGAAGTCTTTAATTTCTAGCTGATGGACCTGATACCAAAAGGCATCCAGGATACAGCTAAAGGCTGGGGAGCCTGTGGCCCTCCAGATGTTGCTGGACTACAACTCCCATCATCCCCTGACCTTTGGCCATGGTGGCTGGGGTGGGGCTGTAGTCCGAAACATCCAGAGGGTTGAGGAAGACTGCACTGAGCTAGACTGTTGGTCTGTCTCAGGGCTGCAAAACCTGCGGTCCTTCAGAAGTTGCTGGACTACAACTACAAACCCCATCATCCACTGACTTGGGCCATGCTGGGTGGGGTTGTCCAGCAATGTCTGGAGGGACCACACATCCACCCCCCCCCCCGCCTCAACTGAGCAAGCGGCTAATTGCCATCAATCCTGAGCCTACGTCCAGTTTCACTGAATGTCTAGTATCTGGGTCAAAGTAAGTGGGAAAGAGGGGGAAATGCCCCTTCCCTAATTGGGGGTGGGGTGGCGGGTCAGTGGAGCTTTGCTTTATTGGCTTTTATTACTCCATCCTTCTCCAACCCGGTGCCCTCCAGATGTTGCTGCACTACAACTCCCGTCACCCCAGTTCCAGTCCAACCCCATCTTGTGGCACCCTAGTTAAGGAAGGTCGAGTTGTCCTCTTTAGCATCCTGCACGTCTCATGGTGATGCATTTTGAAAGAATTCAACCACACGAAAAGTTTAAACAGTAAGTTCTTTCGCTGTGCTCTTTATCTGTCACAAATTTCCGATGTCGACGCTTCCGGACCACTCTCGGGGCGGCAAACCTGTATCTACTTGAGGGAAGGCGCCCCCATTGAAACCAACGAAGTCTGCCTGAGCTCGGGCTGAAACGCGCGTCTGCTTGGCGAGCTGACGAATTTGCAAAGTTTGAGGGGCCCGTTCCATACTTACCGGGAAGTAACCCCCCTTTAAAAATAAAATAAAAACCAGCGGTATTTTATCCCCGCGCATGGAAACCCAGTCTCGCAGCCCCCGATCCTGCATGCGCGCGCACAATTACTCAAGCAGGCGCCCAGGATCGCCCCTTTCAGCTCTTTGGGGTTCCCGGGGAGATGGCAGACGCTCCTGGCGCGCATCTCCGAGGGACTCTGGGCTAGTCCGTTTCCCGGCGCGGCGTCTTCCTCGGGAGCCGCGCGAAGTGAAAGTGACCAGCCCTTCGAGGGGGCGGTGCCAGCGGTGGGTGTGAAAGTGACCCGAGCCTGCTGAATGGTGCCGGGAGGGAGAGAGGCGGGGGAGGGCGCAGCTGACTCTCCTCGCGGAGTGGGGGGGGGGACTCCTCCGTTTGGTGAGGAAGGAGACGTGGGGGGGGGGAGAAGAATTGGGGACCTTCTGGGCGAGGACAGGCGGGCGCAGGCTCCACTTGGGCTGAGTCTGAGAGCGAGAAGAAGGAGCCGCGGGAGCCGCGGGAGGGGGGACCTTTCCCGGGGTGGCGGCGGCTCCCCGAAGGAGCGATGTCCCCTCCGGGCCGCGCTCCTGCTCCTCCTGCTGCTGCTGTCGCTGCCGCGGGTGGCGGCGCCGTGGTCCCGCGTCCCCCGGGGCCGGCCCCCCATGGGATGTAGCCGCGGCGGGCTTCTCCGGGCGCACGTCGGGGGGCTGCTGGGTGCGCGCGCCCCTCCCCGCGCCCCGCTGCTGCTCACCATGCTGCTGCTCTTCAGCTACTTCTTCTACTGCCTCACCAGCTCCTGCGAGTCCCTCCGTCCGGGGGGAGCGGGCCTGATCCGACAAGCGCAGCCGCACGACGAAGGGAACCCCCCGCACAAGCTCCTCTTGTTGCTCCCGGGACTGGCCGGGGACGCAGCCGCCGCCGCCGCCGGGGAGGACGAGGAGTCGGCGGCCGGAGGATCGAGGCTGGAAGAGGAGGACAACGACGGGGGGGACGGCCGGATCGGGAGCCCCTCGGCCGGAGGAGCCTTGCCCGTGGCCAACGGCTTTGGGAGTAAAAAGTTTCCGCAGGCCATCATCGTGGGCGTCAAGAAAGGCGGCACCCGTGCGCTGCTGGAGTTCCTGCGCATCCACCCGGACGTCCGAGCCGTCGGGGCCGAGCCGCATTTCTTCGACAGGTGCTACGAGAAAGGGCTGCTTTGGTACAGGTAAGGCAGGTGCCTCCGTCTGCACCTAATCCTTTCCCACGGTTTTAGGGGGCGTCCGACACGTGCGTCCACAAGCACACATGAGGGTGCCAACTTGAATAAAATATTGGGGGCCCCAGATATGTCCCGCCCCATGTTTTATTTGGGGTGAGCGGCGAAGAGACCTCGGTCCCTAGGAGTTGGCTCCTATCGACACACCCACACCCACACCCCAAGGGTGTCTCTCGGAGTCCCAGCACAGGCAGGCAGGCACATGTCCCTAAGCAGAGTCCGTTGCATTTCGTTTTTCTTTCTATATTTGAAGTCCTCTCTTTGCTACGACCAGATCTGGGGTGAGATGAAACAGACATTTTAAAGCAGCCCATTGTCTGGGGGGGGGGGGGTGGAATAGATTGGCCTGAGTAACAGGATGGTCAGTCTCGCACCCTCTCAACCTCCCTCCTGAAATCAGAGAGCATGGAACCACAGAGTCAGGCCATCTAGCTCAGAACTGTCTGCACTGACTGGCAGCAGTTGACCATCGAGGGGCTCCAGGGAGGGAATGAACCGGAAGCTGTCTGTTGCGGGTCAATCTTGAGTTCTATCACTGAGCTACAGCCCCCCCCCCCCAAGGTCAGAAATGAATCTGAGCTTGCTAGGCAGGCATCAGCATTGGCACACAGGAAGCTGCCATTCACTGAGTCAGAAAGTTGGTCCATCTAGCTCAATATTGCCCACACTAGCAGGCAGCAGTTCTCCAATGTTTCAGACTGAATTTTTTCCCCTAGCTCTACATGGAGGGTTTAAACCCGGGACCTTCGGCAAGCAAAGCAGATGCTCTCCCACTGAGCTACAGGTCTTCCCTTTATCCATATAAAAAGCTCTATTATTTCAAAACAGTGCATCAGTGTATTAATTAACCCGAAATAATAGTCAATCCTATTTCTGAGCTGGAAATGGCTACTTGGGGTTGATATTTCCTCTTTGCCAATAAGAATCATGGCTTGAACGGACGGGGAACACAAACTATTGATCTAACTTTAACCTTTAAAAAAAAACTTGCTTAAATCTCTGAGCATTTGGGATGTGAGGAGAGGCAGAAACTAAAAATAAATAAATACGGGATGTCCTTTTTTTGATCATTTGCTCCCTACCGTCACACAGAGCTTCCCCTGTTCAGCACACAAACTTATAAGTGGAAAGCAACCTCAAACAGACCCGAAGCGTTGTATAACGATGGAGGTAAATTTTGGATCAACGTATTGGAGCTGGCGAACTGCTGGTACAATATGTATGTTAATCCAAATTAAAACACAGCTGTTGTCCCCTCCCTCTAGGAATTCCGATAAATCCTTTCCATATTAGGGCTGTCTTTCCCGGATGGTGTACTCATCAAAATATTTCCCAAATGTTTGGGTCGCCATTGTCTCCAGAGTTTCCTTAAAAGCGTCTTCTTGTTCCGCGTAGTCAGTGCACACAGGCCACAAATTTAACAGTCAACTGCACACTCCAAATTACGTGAGCAAGCCTCTTGTTTTTTACACCGGATGAACTCTCCGGTCTTTCTCCCTTCATGTTACCATCTCCCCACCTTTGTGCCTCTTTTATGAAACTTTCCATTATGGGATAAGGTATGAAAGACACTCTTAACTTTCCAAGTGGAAGCTGTCTTCGTTTGAAGTCAATGGCGGAGACTCTGCCTTTATGGACTTCAAAGGGGTCTAGATTTCACAAAGACCAAGGTAACAAAAGCTGACCGACTATTGAAAATGCTTTTTTTAAAAAATCCCCAAAGCGATTTATCAGGGTTCAGGTGCTTCCCTTTCATGCAGGACTCCTGTGGGCTGGAAGGCAAATCACAAACTTTAAAACAAATGAGCTGGGGGTTTTTCAGTGTCCTTAGACCAGGGTGCCTGCCCAGCTCCCAAATGTTCAAATGTCTCTTTTGAATACGATGCAGAAAGTTTCTGTACTAGCTGACATTTCCCCCCTGAAACCGCAGTGAGACTGACATCACAAGCCCATCAAGGTTCCCCAGCTGACACTCTTTCTTCACCCCTCCTTCCTTTCTTCTCCTTCCTTTCTTCTTGTCTTTCCTCTTTCCCCCACTTTAAATTTTTGCATCTTTGGGGACTTTTGAGCAAAGCCTCCAGTGGCAGTAACAGCATAGGAAACCACAGTTTAAGCTGAGTTTGGTGTCCTTCCTATCTCGAGAAAGACCATCACAATTAAGCAAATCTTCAAGATCTTTGGAGACCGGAGACTAACAAAGCATCCTTTTTGAGAGACACAAGGATAGGACCTCCATGCTAGAATGAGCCTGATTAAAGTGTATCTAATTTTTCCCATCCTTCCTTTGCACCCTCACTTTGTATATGTCTCTGGGGATAATAGGGTTTCCCGCCCGCATTGCTTCCTCTTCACATCCACTAAGATAGGCACAGAAACAGCCCATCTCCCAAGCAGAAAGTGAGTTCATGTGTGCAAAGGGGGCATCAGCTGCTTTCTGCATCCTCTGTGGTTAATGGCACTCTGACATGAGTCTTGCCAATGTACAATGACCATGATCCACTTTAAAATCTTCCAGCACAAGTCCCATTGATAAGGATTTCAAAAAAAATGGCATGCAAGAACGCATTAGTGGAATCACACAGTTCCTGCATCAAGTGGGGCATTTGCAAGAGAATGCCAAGAGAAGTGACTTGTTTCTGTTATTTGGTATCCATTTGGTTCTCTGTTTTTTCCAGCTGAGCTCCTTTCCTCTTGGGGTCGTGATGGGATCCCGGAGTTCATCTGGCTTTCTGGCAGGCTTGTGTTTTCAGAAATACAGATTAAAAATAAAAAAATTAATTGCTGGGAGTTCTGTGCGTATGTGTTTAGCTTAGCTTTATTTATTTGTGTATATGTCCTGACCTATGTATTCCATGGATGCTTGGAAGGGCAATGTTACACAACAAAGCAGGTCTCTGCCCCAAAGAGTCTACAATCTAAAGGCCAGCAGTTGGGGGAGTGGGGAACAGTATGAAGGGGCAGATTTGGAAAGGGAAGCAAATATGAGCCTATAAAGTTATGCTTCATTTTGGTTGGTGTGAGGGCTATGGAACTGCTACTCCTGCCAGGCTGCTGGGAAGAAGCAATAATGATGTAGAAGCAGTTATCCTTGGGTGCTGCCACCTCTGCTTTAGCTTTGGAGTAGATGGCGAACACCCTAATCTTTTGGGAGCATCCGCTGCACAACCCCCCAAAATAGGACAATTGCATGCCCTTTCCTTTCAACAGAACACTGGGAGGCAACAATCTCATTTGACTTTGCAGAAGGCCCTTTGCAAAAAAAAACAACCCTGGGTAATTCTGGGTTGAAATGCAGGTTTAACTGTTTGCAGCTTTTTAATGTGTGTGTGTGCGTTGGTAATTGTAAATGTTAGTTTTTTTGAAAAGTGTTACTTATTATTTTTATTTATTAAATTTCTATACCGCCCTACACCTTTAGATCCCAGGGCGGTTCACAACATAAAACGCACAAGTCCATTTTGCCGGAGGTGCGAGATTTGCCTAAGTTACTGTGGACTAAAGACGTAGTCCTCATATTGTGTATTTGAAAGCAAGTTCCCTGGGACTCAACAGGTTGTGCCTCCTAGCAAACACGCAACAGATCTTGCTGCAAGACATCTGGAGGGCGTGTAATGGAAAATTAACAAGATCTAAACTCTTCTCCTAAAAAAATTCTGACAACTAACCTTTGTAAAAAAACAAAACAAAAAACCCCTTCCCCACACGCAGTTCCCCCTGGTTTTGGTAAGCGTAACTATTATGTCATACTTGTGCATCTTATCAAGTGACATGAATGTGCATAAGTTTTTCAAATTTATAGAATTAATATAATTAGTGTCTGCATATGTTTGAACGGGTGCTCCAGTACACATGGGGGGTGTATTACTGGTTTTCATTTCTTATGTATGAACCCTCAGTCTTTTAAAATATTTTTAAAAAGAAGGATTGCAAAACTTGATATTTTCTAGCACCTGAAAACGTTAGTACAAGCCAAGAGATGGGCATTTTTCAAAATCTGAGTTGGGTCCCTTATGCAATTAAATTGCGATGAGGTGGAATTGATCCGGGAGATATAACGCTCTAATAGCACAAATGAACTCTCTTTAGGCAGCCCAGCTCTGAGAATGTCTGGCTACTGTTCATATGCTTAATATTAAACCTTCATCTCTTGGCCAGCTGGGTAAATGTCTGGAGCAGATTTATCTCTTCTTAGAAGTCAATTATTGTATCCGGTACATTATCTTAGAGGGGGCAGGGAATGGGGCAAAAAGCAAAGACTTTAAAATGGCTACCTTTTAAGTGTCTGAACCCATTTTCTTCCCACCCAGTCTCCTCTGGAGCAAATCAGAGTAATGGGTCTGATCCATGTAAAGGCAATTGGTGACTAAATCCCGTGGGAAACAAGAGGTCTCATTTAAATTAGCTGTTAACTCAATCCCATTATTCCCAATCAAATATGCAGCAGCTAGACCCCCAAATTTACTCCAAGTAAGCCCCACTCATTTCAGTTGCCAGCTTAGCATGCACGGCATGTAAGCCTTTAGCTGGCTGGTTCATGGCCAATATTTTTTTAATTGTACATATTCCTAAAACGAGGGTTTTAGTGTGATGACAGCTTACCCTATGTCTTACAAATGGGTGGTGGTCTAATATCTTCTGCAGGAATTGTTATTTTGAACATCTGTGGCTTTGTTGAGAAACTCTAACTTGGAAGTCAATTGAACCATTGAGTTAAAGACACTTTCTGCACTACTCAGATTTTGCTTCTAAAAGTATTGCTGCAGTTTTCAAGGAAGTATAACTTGCATGCTTCTCTCTCTGTGTGTGTGTGTGTTCTAATGGATGGAACAAAAAAATATTATGGTAATCTCTAATCTCACTCCTTAGATTTGTGCCTACTTGTAATGCTACAGGGACAAGTCTGATTAAAACAAAAACACAAATGGCGAGGTAAATGTAATGGGCTTGGCTCATAATGATAATAGCATTTAATTAAAACCGCAGCATCATTTTAGTGCCTATGGGGCTATCCTAAGGTAAATGTTAAGAATGAGTATAAACCATTTGCTTGGCTTCTGGGTTGGCCTTATATTTTCATGGGCTATTGTCCATTGGGCCTAGCTGCACCTAGATCAATTAGACATGTAAGGTGGAGGTGGTGGTTGTGATGCAGCCAGCTGTGAACAGTTGCATTATTTTTGATGCACAATGCGGAGGGTTGAAAGGTAACAAACATTACCTACTTTTAAGGCTCCAGTCCTGTGTGTTCCGGGTATATGCCCTTTGTGAAACCAGTGGTCTTAGGACTGAGTAAGCATGCATAGAACTGTGCTGAAAATCTGGCTGGTTTCATCAGGGAAAAGTTTAAGCAAAGACACGCTCAAATCTCTCGTTGAAATTGCTGAAAACTTCGGTTGGATTGAAATGTGTAGAAAGCAACCCCTTTAAAAAATAATAATAATAAGCAAAAATAGCCTTCCACATGATTATGCTTTCTGAACTCCTGTTGTTTCACCCTTCTTCTTCCCCTCCTTTTTGGCAGAGAGAAAACAACATGTTTCTTAATTGGGGTGTATTTGAGATCACATATGATTGCAGGTGCTATTTAAATTTGGGGTGTGCGTGTGTATGTATTGGGTAAAAGAACAAACGTTGAGCTCCTCTTTTTTGCTCCTGGGAATCTTTCGCAGCAGTGTCAACATTTCTGAAATAGTTGACTAAGCCAAGAAACCCCAAACCAGTGCCAATAGCTTTTAATTGCCAACATCTTGGGGCCCCGAGGCACCTGTGGAATTGTTCATCATCTTAAGTACATTTTTGTTTCTTCAAAAAAAGCGGGGAAATATGTCGAGCAACAAACTCCCTCTTTGCAATATAACCCTCTTTGTATTTTCTCATGCAGTGTTAATCCCAGTTGGAGTTTGGTGGCTCCGACTCTTAGATTTCGTATATCTTTGGCTTATGATTGGCACCTGGCATCCTTTCAAGCAGAAGTTATTTCAGTCGGTGAATATATAAAACCAACAAAAGCAAAATAGGAGCATCTCTTTTTTTTCTTCTGCGGACATGTTTTTGATTCCCGTTTCCCTGCCCTACCTCTACGGGAACTTGTGCTCTTTGTTAAATAACAAAAGAAACGGGTGGTTTAGAAAGCCAGAAGTAAATCTTCAGGTTGCGAAACCCTTTAACTCTTTAATGTAGAGGCAGGGGAAGAAAGAAGCTGGCTTTCAGGCGAAGGGCCATAGAGCATCTGCTTTGCATTCGGAAGGTCTCAGTCTCTCAAGATAGGGCTGGAAAGGGCCCTTGTCTGAAACCCCAGAAAACAGCTGCCAGTCAGTGTAGGTCATACTGAGCTTGGTGGACCAGTGGTTTGACTCTATATAAAGCAGCATCAAGGAAGGACAGCAACTTGATGGAGAGCACATGGTTTGATTCATCCCTGGTATCTGCAGGTATGGCAGGAAATGTTGCCTGCCTGAAATCCTGCAGAGCTGGGGCCAGTCCATTCATAGGCAATATTGAGCCAGATAGACTATAAGGCAGCCTCTCATGTTCTTTTGCTTTCAATGCGGTAACAGGAATAACATAACTTAAGATTTTTTTACAAGAGAGTTATTATTATTATCTCATTTCAAACTGCAATTAAAGCAATTAACGCAGCCCCAGTCAGAACCCCCACAGCACATCGCAGGGGAGAAAGGAAACTCAATTCTTTAGAATTGTTTTCCAGGGTGAAGATGTGTGTCTCTCCAGCAGATTTGAAAAGATGGTGCCAGGAGCATCTCTGTGTGAAGGGAGTTTCTTGGGGCCATCACCAAGAAGGCACTCTCAAGAACCCAAAACATCTGGAGGCTGGGTAAAGGCTGGTGTAGGTGATCAATAATTGTGTTTTAAAAATGGGTAGGGGTATAGTTGTTTGCCACTTGTACCCAGTTGAACAGGATGAAGCATATCTATCTATCATCTATCTATCTATCTATCTATCTATCATCTATCTATCTAAACTCACCTTCAACATAGGATTAAACTTGACCTTTGTGAAGTCTGATTTTTCTTTTAAAAACATGTTTCTGCAGGCAAAGCGCTGAGCTTTAGCCATTGGTTCATCTAGCTCTGTATAAAGAACCTCAGACGATCCTGTTGGATCAGACCATTGGCCCATCTAGTCCAGCATCCTCTATTCATAGCTGCCAACCAATAAAGTGGCATCACTTTGCCACCCTTGATAAGTGAAAGAGCTTTCTCTAGTCCCGAGCTGCCATTTGTTAAGTGAAGCAGCAGTGCATTGTGGGACCATGATAAGAGTCTTCAGCTGCCATGCCCTGAACTAATCAATGATTGCTTTGTCTCCTTTGGCAAGGGCAAGGGACTCCCACCCAGGGGTGTGAACACTTGGATTTGGGCCAATGCATAGATTTCTATAGATACCAAGTCTTGGTATGCGCCGTTGAAATGTCATCAGCATTTAAGTTTTGCTCTTTGTACGCCATTGTCTGACGGTTGCCAGGATGTTTCTTTAGCAAACATATTAGGGCAACATTGCAAGGAAAGAGAACCAACTATCTTTAAACACACAAAATATCTGCAGAGGCTAGCCTTGGAGGCAATTGATGGAGGCTTGCCTCTTCCACGATGAGCATGAAAACTTTTCCAAGGGTTACCTTTTCTCACTCTCTTTCGCTGATAAACACAACATTGGCATTCCATAATTGTTTTTCTTTTGTTTGAGTTTGGTGGCCACTATCCTGGACATGTCCGTTTTATTTTAGAATCAACAAGTCCCATTTAAATCTGCTTAAGACCCTGCTGTTTGAATGAATATCTATTCATCTTGCACGGTGACACCACCTGGAGGGAAGGCCTTTAAAAATGGCCTCAGCGCCTGAACCACTCATATGCTGAAGTCATCTTCAAATGTACTTTTGCAGATCTCCCCATCACCTGCGATGAGGCAGGTGGCATTTGGGAAAGGGCCTTCTGTGCTGTAGTACACAATTTAAGAGTTTCTCTCCCTAGATAGACTTGCCTGGTGCTGACATGGTAGTGCTGGATTATTATTTAAAATCTGGTTTATTTGGGGTGGTTCATTGGCCCTGGCTCCACCTACTGCTGGTCTCCTTGCCTTCATCCCTACCATTCATCATCAAACCTTTATTGGCATCACTTACAAACATTCAGAATAAATAGGCCAATGCGATCTCGTTGCCATTTCAACAGTACAATAATTTGCCAAAGGGAAGAAGAGGCGAGCAATCTATTTCACCTCTGTGGAACTCCAGCAAGGGCGGGGTCCTGTAGTTTCTTTGGCGGCAGAAAATCAAATACAGGAACTTGGCTACTGTCTTGGTGAGCTCCTGGTCTCTCCCCTGTAATAAGAAGCGTATAACCTCTGTCACTGGTTTCCATGTTGGGATACATAGGTGGTCTAAGAATTGTTGGCGGAGATCATATATTTTACTATTAAGGGCCATGTGAGCTAGAGTTTCCACCAGGTGGGCATCACATGGGCAGAACCTATCTCCTTCTGCCATACCCACAAACCTACCCCAAAGGAGGTTAGAAGGATTACAATTGAACCTAACCAGTGAAAAAGAGGAGGAGGAGTTTGGATTTGATATCCTGCTTTATCACTACCCTAAGGAGTCTCAAAGCGGCTAACATTCTCCTTTCCCTTCCTCCCCCACAACAAACACTCTGTGAGGTGAGTGAGGCTGAGAGACTTTAGAGAAGTGTGACCAGCCCAAGGTCACCCAGCAGCTGCATGTGGAGGAGCAGGGAATCGAACCCGGTTCACCAGATTACAAGTCCACCGCTCTTAACCACTACACCACACTGGCTCTCTTAGCCTTCTACCTACCATTCTTTCTACCTACCATTGACCCTAGGATATGAAAAATATTAAATGCAGGGCATGCCTGATTTCAGAGATATAGAGGTTTGGTTGTGTTTGACACTTCTATGTGAAGAAGAGCCATGTGTGGTCTAAAAGTCTGCATAATCCTTTCCCAGCAGAACATAGCCCATTGCAAACTATCTTCTCACCTGTGTGTGTATTTATTTTGTTTCGCAGAATAACTGTTTAAATATATGATGCATACTGATGTGACCCTTAAGTTGATTCTCTGCTGGTGAAGAAACGAACACGTTCTCTCTCGAAACTCTTTCTCCAGCTTTCCTGGTATATGAAGTATCATAGTTTGCTTCTGTCCTTGGAGCCTTGGAGAACTTGTTTGTTTGTTTTGCAATTCCAAAGGAGGAGCGTGTTTTGCTTGTCTTTCCCTGCATGTCAGAGTTTGAACATCATTACTCTGCAGAATGTTTCCTCTGCTATCATAAGGCATAAACAAACAGCAGACAGGCCTTAACCTGTGCCATTTACCAGAAGCAGTTTCTCTCTCTAAAGCAAATCCAGAATTTGGATTTCTGTCTCAGGTGAAGCGTATGTAGGATTTCTGGGTAGGTCTGAAGAATTTTGTAAGATTTAGCAAAAAAAAATATTTTTTTAAAATTAAGTGGTTATTTGCGTACCAACTTCATAATGAAGTCAGGAGTGAGCAGTGATGTAGCCAAATGTGTGACTGCAGGTGGTGCCCATTTACTTAGGATACTGAAACCCAAAATGGACCAGCAAAATCTCTCCGAACTGAGCACACCGGCAGGAAAGTAGCAGATGAGAATTAATGTAACTGCAAAGTGTCACACACTCAGAAAAATGAACCCTAACTTTTAGGGATGGCGGAGAAATTAAATTCAGTTTGCATTTTATGTTTAACCTACCTGATTCACACTTTTCAAAGCAATACTTAAACCGACACACAGCCATCCTTTGAAATTTGCACTTCTCTGAATTTTGCAATTCACTGGCAAAGTCATGTGTACAAAAATGCATATACTAGTGTAAAGTGTGCATGAAAACCTCCATATAATAGGGGGAAATGATGCACAAAAGTGCACTATATTCAGGAAAATTGGTTTGCAAACATGTGTATATTAGACAAAAATGCACTGAAAAATGGGTATATTGGGAGAAATTTGTGCTAAAATGTCGATGAATTTGCAAACTGATGTGGAAATGTGGAGAATGTAACACTGGGAAAGTGAGAAAATTAAACTAACAGATTCACCCATCCCTATTCTGCATATTCACCAACAGTATCGGGTGTGCCTGGGGAAAAGATATCGGGGATTGTAGTAGCTGGCTCTCCCAAAAAGTCAGTTCTTTGTGCAGTGGGAGGGATGAGGGGGAAAGCAACAAAACCATTAAGGCAGGGGGTTATAAATAAAACCTGGTGGTGTTGGGGGGGGTTGAACACAAAAAACCCACCCTGATGGGAGTTGTAGTCTAAAACATCTGGAGGGCATCTGGTTGGCCAAGGCTGATCTATTGTGTAGCTGAGTTTGGAATCCCATGTGCGTTACTAGTGGCTCTGACTCAAAAAGGATATTTCAGAGCTAAGGGGGAAAGTGCAGAAAAGGGCAACCAAAATGATTAATGGGCTGGAACACCTTCTGATGAGGGAAGGCTCAGCTAGCCTTGCCAAAGTTGGTGCGCCACCAGATGCTGCTGAACTACATCTCCCACAATCCCTGGCCGCTGGCCATGCCGGCTGGGGCTGATGGGAGCTGTAGTCCAGCAGCATCTGGAAGACACCAGGGTTTTAGTTTTGGGGCAGGGATGGGAACGTGATAGGGTGTTTTTTTAAAATAAATGTATGCTATGAGTGGATCATGTGCATAGAGAAAGCTCTTTCTTCATCATGCCCAGTTCAGTTCTCCCTGCTAAAGAACATAAGAACCTGCTTGACACCAACTCAGATCATTGGTTCATCTAGCTCAGTATTGTCTGCACTGGCTGGCAGTTGCTTTCCAAGATTTCAGGCAGGAGTCTCTCCCAGCCCTACCTGGAGATGGCAGGGATTGAACCTGGGACCTTCTGCATGCAAGGGTGATGCTGTGCCACTGAGCTACGGCATTTCCCCAAAGGAAGCACACATAGGGAAACTTGTGGAACGCACAGCCACAGGGTGGCATTGATTCCCACTTGTGTTAGAATGTGAATTTGTATCTCAATGGCTCTGGGTCAGGATAGTGTGTTAGAACCTCCATGTACCTTGCACACCAGCAAGAACTGGTATTCAGTGTACCTCTGAATACCAGTTCCTGCTGGTGTGCAATGCAGAAGAGTTGCTTGGTGTTTTTATGCCCTGCCTGTTTATCACTTCCTTGGAAGCATCTCAGTGGCTACTGTTGGAAGCAGGATATGATCCAGCAGGGCTCTTTCCAGAGGCTCCCTGAGATGACTGCCTGAGGCCGATCAGCAAATCCCCGCCCGCCCCCCGCCGTCAATCAAGGTGCACAGTTGCCCTGAACTTGAGCAGAATTGACTATAAAGTGTTTTATTGGTTGCATTTATATCTCACCTTCCCCTCCGCAACCAAGGTCAAGATGGTGTCTGTGGTTCTCCCCCTCTGCCATTAATCCCTACCACAACCCTGTGAGGTAGGCTAGGCTGAGAGGTAGTGACTGGCCCAAGGTGACCCAGCGCGCTTCATAACTGAGTGGGGATTACTGCCATAGAGTAATCACAGAGTCATGGGGGGGGGGAGCCAGGATTTTTGTTGGGGGGAAAACCAGGCCTTTTGTTATGGGGGCAGAACCAACGTGATTGGTCAGTTAGTTAAGTATTTCTATTGTCTTACTTGATATAGGGGGGCAGCTGCGACCATGCTAGTACCCACTGATAGTTTTTTCTTCCATGAATTTGTCTAGTCCAGTGGTCAGCAAACTTTTTCAGCAGGGGGCCGATCCACTGTCCCTCAGACCTTGTGGGGGGGTGGGCTATATTTTGGAGGGAAAAAATGAACGAATTCCTATGCCCCACAAATAACACAGAGATGCATTTTAAATAAAAGGGCACATTCTACTCATGTAAAAACACGCTGATTCCCAGACCATCCGCGGGCCAGATTTAGAAGGCAATTGGGCCAGATCCAGCCCCCGGGCCTTAGTCTGCCTACCCATGATCTAGTCCTCTTTTAAAGCCATCCAAGTGGGTGGCCTTTGCTTCCTCCTGTGGGAGCGAGTTCCAGAGTTGAATTAGACATTGCATGAAGAAGTGCTGTCTCTTATGGAAGTCCATAAGTTGTAGTGTTATGGGAAAGGGAGAGGGGAGAGACGACTTCTGTCTATCCACTTCTCCAGGTTTCTGAAAAGCTGGGTCCATTTTCTCAGTGGGCTGATTGATTTTCCTACGGGTGTGAAAGGATCTGGTCCTCTTGGCTGCAAGGACAGCACAATTGTCCAAATCCTGAAAGGTAGAAGAGGCACCTATTCATGTTCTGCTGCTTGGCTGATTCCTCTTCCCCCATCATCGCTTTCCCTCAAAACCTGGCGGCTTTATAAGTTAAGAGATGTCAGGAGAGCAAGAGTCGCCGCTAATGGTGTTAGCTGCAGGCAAATGGGAAACTCTTCCTGAAACATTTGTTCCAAGTGTGTGTGTGTGTGTGTGTGCATGCACACGCGTTTAAATCATTATTTTAAAATAATAATTATGCCACATTTGCTCGGAGAAGGAAGTGGGCGACTTGGCGGAAGTTGGGCTGGGCCAGGGAGGCAGAAAAAGTTAATTGGAGAGGCGGCTTAAAAGCTTATAACTGACCTTTTGTCAAATGGGGAGGTGGGGGAGAGGGGGAGAGAACTTTTTTTTCCAGTGTATTAAGCCTGGGTGGGGATTGAGAAGTTGGCTAATGAAAGGCTTGGTTTAATACCAGGATTTAAGCTCCTAAATGGCTTTTGAAAGCACTCTGGGAGTCTGTTTCTGCGTGGAGAGCCCATCAGCAGTAGGTTGCGGTTGTCTGTTTCTTCCCCACCCACCTCCATTTCTGCCCCCCCCCAAACTGGAGGCCTCTCTCCAAATTTGAAACCAATTCGTTAAAGCCATCTTTGAAAGCGAGGTCACACTGGAGAGCCATCTCGTGTTCTCTTTCTATCTCCTCCTTCGCAAAGAATTTTAGAGACCCAATGGAAAGCGTAGCCATTTGCTTTTTGAGCTAAATGGGAGAGTTTGAGCTAAAAGAGAACAGAATGGCCTCGCCGGATGAGAGAATGTGCCCACCTGCCTAGAGTTAGGAAGGCCATGTCTGCATTGCTCCAAAAGCGGACACAGGTTTGCATGAAATCTGCAGCTCGGAAACCAGCTGTTTATACTTGACTGCTTCTTTATTGCCACCTAATCTTCTTTTGCTCTCCTTTGGATACAAAATGTTTGTATATAATGGATGTTTATGTAATTGGGATTTTTAATGGGAAGTACTCCCCAATAACTTGGAGGTGGAGCGGACATTCAAAAATTTCCTTGAAAATGGACGCGGGTGGCGCTAGGGACGTGGGTGGCGCTGTGGGTTAAACCACAGAGCCTAGGACTTGCTGATCAGAAGGTCAGCGGTTCGAATCCCCGTGCGGACGGGGTGAGCTCCCGTTGCTCGGTCCCTGCTCCTGCCAACCTAGCCGTTCGAAAGCACGTCAAAGTGTGAGTAGATAAATACGTACTGCTCTGGCGAGAAGGTAAATGGCGTTTCCGTGTGCTGCTCTGGTTCGCCAGAAGCAGCTTAGTCATGCTGGCCACATAACCTGGAAGCTGTACGCCGGCTCCTTCGGCCTATAGAGCAAGATGAGCGCCGCAACCCCAGAGTCGGCCACGACTGGACATAATGGTCAGGGGTCCTTTACCTTTTTATGCCCCAATAACTTGGAGGTGGGGCGGACATTCTAAAATTTCCTTGAAAAGGCTTATATTGAACCCACTTCCATTCTAATTTTAGAGTTCAACTCCAGGACAAACTGAACCCTGCATTTCTGCCAAAACTCTTGAACCCCCACGGTTTCAACAGCGAGGGACGAAGGGGTTGGCTTGTGTCAAAAAGTTGTGGCTTTTATCGGAAAAGCTTTAGGGACAGCCCTTAAACTTTCCCTGGCATCCCCCCTCCCCCCAAAAGAGCTGCAACTGTTCTACCAGAGCAAATTGATTACAAGCAAGAGGAGAATTACGTTAATATACTTGCTTGTCACTTGGGCCGTATTAGTAATCTCTTCTCATTAATCTGTGGAGAATACGGAGGTGACCTTGTTAAGCATCCTTGCAGATGGGGGAAGTCTGACCCGGCTGCTATTGATTTACTACCGTGAGACCCATAAATGCCCTCTTGGCGCACCCTGCATTCCAGCCGCAGCAGGAGCATCTACAGCTATTTTGGGGGGAGAGTCAGGTCCTGACATGCCTCACTTTGTGCTTGATGTGTGCAATTCAGACATCCCTTTTTGCACTTGCAGGCTTTTTCTGCAACATTCAAACAGAGAAAAGAAAGTCCTTACTCATGCAGAGCAAAGATCAACTGTGGAACTCTCTTCCACAGGAGGCAGTGATGGTCATCAACTTAGTGGTTTTTTAAAAAACTATCAAAATAAGTTTATTGTACTAGCCAAAGGCCACAACAATTCCATGCAATCACAATCAATTTAAAATATGACATCTGCAAATAAACACAGTGAACATATAATGCAAAGTATCCAATAACAAGGATGCCTCCATGTCTACACTGAGTTTTAATTTAGTGCTCTGCCCCTTACAGTTTACAGCTATTTTATCCAGTTCCTGCTTCCTTTTCTTTTTTCTTTTCTTTTCTTTCTTGCCTCCAGTGCAAAAGGGCCCACCTTATGTGTCACTGAAGCCTCTCACTTGTGGAGAACCTGCTATTCTGTACAAACAGGGGTTTCAGAAAGCTCCTCCTAGGATCTGCATGTAGGGGGACAAGTTAACATATAATGTGAAATACCTTCCACCTGGCCTTGCCAACAAATGCACAGCCTGCAACTTAGATGGCTTTTAAAGAGGAGTGGAAAATTCATGGAGAAGGCTTTCCACAGTGTCAGCCGGCCCATGAGGCAGACAGAAGCAGCCGCCTCGGGTGGCGGAATCCCATGGGGTTTGTGTTGTGCTGGGGTCATGCAGCAGCAGCTTCCAATGACATATTGGTAAGTGAGACTTGCAGGGGGCAGTGGCAGCAGTGGTACCATCCTGTTTCTCCTTAGGCGGTGAAATGGGGCAGGCCATCCCTGGCTATCTATCCATGGCTACTAGCTATGATGGCTATGTTCTGCCTCCATAGTCAGAGGCAGTAATGTGTCTGAATACCAATTGGTGGAAACCACAGGAAGGAAGGGTACTCTTGTGTCCAGGTTCTGCTTGAGGGTATCTTACGGGCATCTGGTTGGCCACTTTGAGAACAGGGTGCTGGGCCAGATGAACCACTGGCCTGATCCAGCAGGCTTTTCTTGTGTTTTACAATAGGCCCTGATGAGTGATATACTTGCTTCTCACTGGGCCAATGCTTGGCACTTGGGAGAGATGGGCGGTTGAAAGCCAGCACGTACCCTCTTCCCTCTGGTTGATCACCACCATCTTCTGAAGCTGTCTGATGCCAAGTCAGACCATTGGCTCATGTAGCTCAGTATGGTCTACACTGCCTGGCTGCAGATTTCCAGGGTTTCAGACAGGTAGTCTTTTTCCAGCCCTAACTGGAAGTGCTGGGGATTGAACCTGGGAACTTCTGTATGCTGTGCAGTTGCCCTACATAGCCTAAAAATAAAGTAAGATTCTAGTCCTCATGATTCTGAATAAGGGCAGAACTAAGTGACTGTAGAACACAGCAAGCTGCCTTGCACCAGCTCAGGCTACTGGTCTGTTTAAGTCACTGCTGTTTATACTGACAATTCAGTATTGACTACTCTGACCTTCTGCATGCATAGCAGCTGCTCTATACCACTGAGCTACAGCCCCTGCCTGGCATATAAAATGATGGCAAACCTGCCTTTGAGTGTGAGGAGCTTTCTTTGGGAGTCCATCTCCCTTCCTTTCCCACTATGAAGCCTTATAGTCTAACTCTCTATTACCTCCCTCCCCAAAATGGAAATGTCTTGGGGAATGAAGGCGCCTGGGAGGGCTGGATTTAAAGCCACGGCCAAATGCTTTGCCGCTGAGCTCTTTTTGCAAGCTGAATTAGCCTTTCGTGCTGAGAACACAGCGCCTCTTCCAGCAAACTGCCAACGTTTGGGCTTTGAGCTGGAAGATGCTCCTGGGAAGTGGGGAAACAAGGAGAAAGCAGAACCCTCTTTCCCAATCAGGTGCTTTCCAGATGTTTTTGGACTGCGGCGCCCATCAAGCCCAGCCAGCTGTGGTCTACAACATATGGTGGGCAAGACTCAAGTCTAGAGATCCTGATTCGTAGCCAGGCCCAGAGTTTTGAGTGATGGATGCAGAAAATTGGCATGGCTTCTTGTTCCATTAATTCCCAGTGGGATTTTCCCACAATGTGGCTTGGCTGGCTTTAAAAGAGGATTGGAGAAACTCATGGAGGAAGAGAAGGCTATCAATGGCTACTAGTTTGATGACTATCTTCTGCCGCCACAGCTAGAGGCAGCAATGCTTCTGAATACCAATTGCTGGGAACCACAGAAGGGGAGAGAGTCCTCTTCTTCTCAGGTCCTGCTTGTGGGTTTCCCAATGGGACATCTGTTTGGCCCCTGTGACAACAGGATGCTAGACTAGATGGGCCATTGACCTGATCCAGCAAGCCTCTCCTTATGTGATGCAGGTTCCTCCCTTTTTTCCTACTGAGGAGAACTTCCTGAAGGTGTGGAATCCAACTAGTCAATTCTGTGTGGCTCTCAGCCACCCTTGGTGATGCCCCACACTTGGTGATGCTCCTCCAAGCTCCTCGCCAGCCTCAGTCCTCAGCCAAGTCGCTTCTTAGATTGCAAGAGAGGAAGGGGAATAATATCTGCCGGATGGATCTGTAAGCATCCCCGTCTCATTGCCAAAGGGGACCCTTCTGCATTTAATTTGCACTGTAATTCTGAGTGACAAGTTGTCTTGGGTGACGTCCTGACAGAGTGAACATCGATAGCCCTGGAAATGAAATGAACCCCCCAATTACCGTCTCTCAAGGAGCAGGGTGGGGCCAGCCATCGGGGGGTATGATGAGGGCTCAATAAACGGCATTGATCCGAGCGTTGACGAGGCGTTCTCTGGGGTGTGTCAGCGTATGAACCCCCTCATTACTTACACTTGTCAATAGATCCTGGCTCAGATGCAGGAATTGGCAGCCGATTGACTCCCATGCCAATAGGACCACTGAGCTTCCTCTTTCTCTTTCTCTGTGCGGCTGCTTCACAAAAAATGGCACACTCCACAGTTATCGATGGACAAGCAAGCCCTTTTGCCTCCGAGAGTCCTCCTACCTCTTCCTGAAGTGACAGCTACTCCCTGGTTCAGATTTCTACTCAGCTCCATCATTTGGCTTCCCTTGAAATCTCCTGGTGCTTTGTCAGAGGAAAGCACTAGAGCATCACAGTTTGGGCAATCGAGCTGAAGAAGCTTGACTTAGAATCATGGAACTGTGGTGTTGGAAGGGGCTCAAGGATCATCTAGTCCAACCCCAGCTTCTGATAGGTCACTTCCAAGGATCAATGTTTTAAATGTCAACTCTCACTGCCATGCTGGATGGGGCTGATGGGCGTAGTGTGATGACTTTAAAAGAGGATGAGATAAATTCACGGAGAATGAGGCTTTCAGTGACTACTAGCAAGGACGGCTCTGTTTTGTGTCCACTGAGAGAAGCAATATGCCTCTGAATAATAGTTGATGGGAATCACAGGTCGGCAGAGGGCACTTGTGCTGAGGTCCTGCTTGTGGGTTTTCCATGTGGGTATCTGCTTGGCCACTGTGAGAATAGGATGGTGGACTAGACAGGCCACTGGACTGATCCAAAAGCCAGGCTCTTCTTACAGTCAAACATTCTTACGTTCTGAAACATGGCCATGCTGGCTGGGGCTGATGGGAGTTGTAGTCCAAAACACCTGGAGGGCACCAGGTTGGCAAAGGGCAGGGCTTTTTTCCAGCCGGAACTCCCTGGAGCTCAGTTCTGGCACCTCTCAAGTGGGCGCCATTTCCATTATAAGGGAACAAGGGAGGCGTTTGTATTGAGTTCCAGCACCTCTTTTTCTTGAAAAATAAGACGCAAAGGGTAGATGATTTGGTCACCAAAACCTAGCACAGCTTGTGCTCTCTGCAAGTCATTGGGGTTGATGAGCACATCCACCAACCATTTCTCTCAGCGCAAAATGGAGAGGGCTAAATTTGGCATGTTGACAGGTTGGTGGGCCGATCAAAGGAGAGGCATTTTCTGCATGTTGGGGTTATGCAAGCTGTTGACATCCCAATCCCCGGAGGGCGGCGTGTGAGTTGGTTACAGCTCAGCGAGAGGGAGGGAGGGAGGGAGTGCAGCTGGTTTGGTTCTTGTGAACACCTTGGGGAACAATCAAGTAGGGACCTATCCCGGCTGCGCCTCTTGTGCAAGTGTGCCAATGCGGCGAGATTGCCCATTGGCCTGACCCAACATTGGGCTTTTGATCTTGAACCAAGCAGGGAAAGAGAAGCATAGCAGAGGCGGAGGCTGGTGGAGCTGCTCCCCTCCATTAAAGACCTGGGACAGAGAAATTACGAAGCCAGTTCGCTGTTCCGTATTATTATTAGATTTATTACCCACCCCTCAACAGATGGTCCCAGGTTACAGCAATATAAAATGCAGCATTAAAAACACTTTACAACATATGTAGCCTCTTTGCTCTGCTTTTGTGACATTGGAGATACAGTGGTACCTCGGGTTACATACGCTTCAGGTTACAGACTCTGCTAACCCAGAAATAGTGCTTCAGGTTAAGAACTTTGCTTCAGGATGAGAACAGAAATCGTGTTCCGGCGGCGTGGCAGCAGCAGGAGGCCCCATTAGCTAAAGTGGTGCTTCAGGTTATGAACAGTTTCAGGTTAAGTGCGGACCTCCGGAACAAATTAAGTACTTAACTCGAGGTACCAATGTATCTATCTATCTATCTAATCTATCTATCATCTATCTATTTTCCAAGGTTGCATACAAAACACATATTTAAAGCAGATTTCAAGCACTTCTACCTGCTTCTCCAAAGAATTATGGGCAGCGCTACAATTCCCAGCACCCCTAACAAACTACAGTTCCCAGAATTCTTTTTTAGGGGGAAACGGTCTCTAAATGTATGGTGTGTATGCAGCTTAGGAATGCAGAGGTGAGTCCTTGGTCAAGATCGGTGACTCCAGCTTGCATCTCCCCCCCCCCACTTCCCAGTCTCCTCTGTATCATTTTCTTCCCCTTCCTTGTCTCTCTCCAGCCCCATAATGAGAGACACCTGAAGCACATTAGCCTGTGATGGAGATGGAGGGTTGTGTGTGTGTGTGTCCTTTTCAGAGCCAACCTGGAGTGTGCAAGCGAGCTCCCATTTCCAGAGTTGTCTTCCCAGCAGGAAGGGAACTTGCCCTCGTGAGCTCCAAGCGGTGTCAGGGAAGGAGAACCCGGCCGAAGCATTTCAAAGGCCTCCGATAGGCGATTCCGCCCCAACAAGAAGCGATGATGATTTATGGTGTGATTAAAAGGTCACAGGAGGAGAAAGGGGGAGTGAGAATGGTATAACATCAGTATCTAAAGTTCTTGGCATTGAACCGGTGGGGTGGGGGGAGGTGACCTGCAAAAGGGCCCAACAGGGACCAAGGCAGGTAGATGGCTCTGACAGAGCTCCCTGCCTCTCTGGCCCCCAGTCCGGCATCTGGCAACACTTGTCCTGAAACTTAAGACTCTGCTGATGAGGCCCCATTAAATGTAACCAGCAACCCAGCCCTGTCGGGAGACTTCCTCAGCTGCCTGTTGTCTTTTCGGAATATCCTGCAGAAGGTAGAAAGATCAGCCCAGTCGGTTCAAGTAACTGGTGAAAAGCTACTGGCTACGGTTTACTGTGGGCCTGGCAAATACAAGACCAGGTAGCACCAGGAGGACTAGCTACTTAGCTGCAGCATGTGAATTTCAGGAGGTATATGCACACCCACCCACACAGAATGCGTCCTTGAATTCTGATCCTGCCTCTTGCTTTCTGGGATGGAGGACAGAGAAAGGGTGTGTGAGTGTGTGGAAAATAAAAATCCTACTCTACAACGGTAAGATTTACATTCCTGGCTCGGCCCACTTTTGCTCCTGGCTCTGCCCAATACTGGCAGGCGGCCCTTGAAAGGCTGTCCAGACGGGAATGTAGCCCTGTTGTATTAATTGCAAAATAATTCCTATCAAAACACATACAGTGGTACCTTGGGTTAAGTACTTAATTTGTTCCAGAGGTCCGTACTTAACCTGAAACTGTTCTTAACCTGAAGCACCACTTTAGCGAATGGGGCCTCCTGCTGCCACGGCGCCGCTGGAGCCCGATTTCTGTTCTTATCCTGAAGCAAAGTTCTTAACCTGAAGCACTATTTCTAGGTTAGCAGAGTGTGTAACCTGAAGCGTATGTAACCTGAGGTACCACTGTATTTTGATTGGGACATTTGTTTTCTCAAAATCCATACAGTGGTAACTCGGGTTACAGGCGCTTCAGGTTACAGACGCTTCAGGTTACAGACTCTGCTAACCCAGAAATAGTACCTCGGGTTAAGAACTTTGCTTCAGGATGAGAACAGAAATCGCATGGCGGCAGTGTGGCGGCAGCTAAAGTGAATGAATTAAGTTCTTAACCCGAGGTACCACTGTATTTGGATACACTTAAATGGCCCATGGTAAGAACATGATAACATAAGAAGAGCCTGCTGGATGGATCAGGCCAGTGGCCCATCTAGTCCAGCATCCTCATCTCACAGTGGCTAACCAGATGCCCGTGGGAAACCTGCAAGCAGGACCTGCGCACAAGAGCACTCCCTACGCTCTACCATTCCTCAGATGAAAATTTTAGTGCCCCCTGTAGAGGAGTTCCTATCAGAAGAAGGGCAAGTGCCTGAAAAAAACCTACCCTTAATCCCAATTGTAGTTTATTTTATTCTTCGGTAGATTTACGAAAAGGGAAGCACACACCAATACAGTGGTACCTCTGGTTGCGAACAGGATCCGTTCCGGAGGCCCGTTTGCAACATGAGCAGAACGCAACCTGCGTTTGTATGTCTGTGTGGGTCGCGATTTGCCGCTTCTGCGCATGTACGTGAAGTTATTTTGCATGTCTGCACATGCACGAGTGGCAAAACCCAGAGGTAACCCTTTCCGGTACTTCTGGGACGCAACCTGAAAACGCTCAACCTGAAGCAAAGGTAACATGAGGTATGACTGTAAATACATTTTAGAAAAGGGCAAGATGCCCCAATTTTGTTTTTTTAAAAATCAGGGCTGCTTGCTCTCTGCTCTGCTCCCACTTTCTTCCTGCCCAGGGTGGCCCTGCCCTGTGTCTGCCCCTCGAAGCTGGTGTGTGACACATGGGATTGGGCCATAGTGGCAGCAGCCTCCTTCCCCCCTTCTCCAGCAGGAGGCCGGCATCAACCACGGAGAGGCAACAGGATGCTCCCTCACAGCCACCGCTGCGCCTCGGGACAAGCACCGGCTCAACCTCCCTGAGGCAGCACTGCCAGGGGAAATAGGGACATTCCAGGATCAGAAGCCAGGATGGCAATTCTGGGACTGCCACTGGGAAATTGGGACACTTGGAGGATATGGTACTCTCCCCTGTTGTGGTTTCCAGAAACTGGTATTCAGAAGCATTGCTGCCTCCAACTGTAGGTAGCCATTGATAGCCTTATCATCCCTGAATTTGTCTAATATAAGAACATAAGAAGATATTCAGAGAATTGCAAAATCCAGTGGGTAGCAAAGCTATGATCTGGACATTGGCCCGAGAGGTGCTGATCAGGCCTTTTCACATAAGAATTGGCAGACCCGAATCCATCAAGCATCGCCGGTCTGAGTTCCAGGAGCATTTTTAAACCTTTCCCATGCAGTCAAGCATGTGTGTTATTTGGTGTGGGTGTGTGTATTTTCTTTCTTTTTAAATGGGTCCCTGTAAAGCACAAAACTTCCACTTCAGTTATGGAAAGGGAGGAAGGATAGGGGGGTTTTTTGACCAGAAGATCCAAAACCACAGTGAGGCATCAGGGAGGGAACGGCTAACTTTGGGATTTTTATTTGATCGTGAAGCGGGAAGTCAAAGCATTTGATGGCTCCAAAGTCTGCAGACCTGTAGCCACCCTGAAAGTTAATGCGGTTGGATTTCACAAGCCAAGTGGGATGTGGGGCGGCCTCATAGCTGGGCTAGGCAAAACCAGCTTAGACGAAGAAGAGGAGCTCCCATGAACTTTCACCTGTTTTTAAGAGTGGAAACTTCTGCACGGCTCAAAAACATTCCTTCTCGTTTCCAAGAAATTTGGGTGTCCCGTGGAAAAAGCCAAGCGTCAGAGTAAGCTCCTTCAGGGAGTGAAAACTTTAGTCTGTTCTTGGGGAATGTGTGAGTGCAGGAAATGAGAATGACTTCCTTTTAAAAAGCCATGGATTCTATCCCAGATTTTCCCTAACCTGGTGCCCTTCAGAGGTTTTTTGGATCCATTCACTTTTGGAATTGAGAGAGCCAAAATGGGCAGATCCTTCCATCTTTAATCTTGACAGCAACAAGGTTAATTAGGTAAATAGGTAGACCGGCAGGCCCATTTTTATCACCATATTGAATCCTGAAAACATAACATATGAACCCTCTCTGTTGTATTTCTTATTAAAGGATAGTCCTTATTTCTATACAGTTATACCTTGAATCCCAAATGCCTTGGTACTCGGACGTTTTGGCTCCTGAATGCTGCAAACCTGGAAGTGATTGTTCCAGTTTGCGAACATTCTTTGGAACCCGAAAGTCCGACGGGGCTTCTGTGGCTTCTAATTGGCTGCAGGAGCTTTCTACAGCCAATCAGAAGCCACGCTTTGTTTTCCGAACATTTTGGAAGTTGAACGGACTTCCAGAACAGATTCCGTTCGACTTCCAAGAAAGACTGTGCTTGAATCAGCATGTATACCTTGGCATATGCAAATATATGCTTTGGGTTTTGCCACTGCTTAAGTGGCCAAACCAGAAGGGAGAGTAGAGGAAGAAATGGGGGGGGCAGGGAGTGAACCCTGCAGCTGGATCCCAGATGTCACCTCTTCTAGACTTCTTTTTGTGCCATGTTTCTAGGCACAGGTTGTGCTTTAAAGCTCCATGTCTGAGTGCTTGCCTCCACTTCCCCACAAAAACCTGTTCTGTACTGCTGAATTGGAGGAAACGGCAATCCATGGGAAACCAGAACTGCCATTTGTTCCAATTTAGCGCTAAAGAGCCAGTTTTCCTGGAAAAGCAGAAGAGGGTGGGGAAGTACTCAGACACTGAGCTTTAGATCTTAGGCCTGTGCCTAGAAAGTATGGGGTAAAAGGTAATTGCAGATGAGCCCAGAGTTCATCAGTGGAAGAATTCATGAGCGGGAAAGGGGGGGCAATTCTGCCCAGTTCCAAGGATTAGGATGGGCAGCCTCATATTTTCTCAGGGGCCCCCAAATGCTCTCAGCATCCCCGTCCTGATGGGATGATTCATTTTCTGAAGTTTGAACCGGCAGCTTGAAAAAGCCGCCCATTTAATTCTAGCCCCCCCCCCCCACCAGCAAGTCTCCATTCAAGAATATGAGTTCCTAGGGAATTACAGATGGAGACGTTTTCTGTGTTTGCTGGTAACAAATGTAAACTGTGGCCACTTAGAAATTTTCAGGAGCTGTTTCTGATTAATTTCTTTTGCTTTTGACAGTTTCCATCCAGCTTCTCTTGTTCTTTGAGAAGGAAAGAGAGATGTGGCTTGCTTTCCCCTTCCTTCCTTCCCTCCCTCCCTCTATATTTTGGATAATGTTTCTAGGTTTGCAGTAAGGCTAAAATAATCCATCTTGCTTATTATTATTTTTTTTAAAGAGGCAAAAGGGGGAGGGAGGAATCTTGAGTGAATAATAAGTTCCACTGACCCAAGAATATCCGATTGCCATCGAGGACTGTAAGGGAATTTTTCAAATGGCTGCCTGATGAAGCTGTCAGGGCTGTCAGGGAGCAGAGCGTTCCAGCCCAAACCATTTTCTGCTGTAACTCTTTTTTAAAAACTATAATAAAAAGCAAAAGCCGAAAAGCTATAAAAGCAGAAAACTGGAGAGGTAGAGATACGGAGGGCTGAGGTGCCCAGAGAGATGCTGAGAAGTCTGATCATCCAAAAACCTGGTTTGGCTTTCCTTTAGATTCTGTGGGCCAGCCCTTCTCAACTTAGTGCCCTCCAGATTTTCCGAACTACAACTCCCATCAGCCCCCCCAGCCAGCACAGGTGTACTGTCTGACCCATCTGGAGGGCACCAGGTTGGGGGAGGCTGCTTTGGATGCTTTTTTTCTGAGCCACATTCACCCCATACATTGAAAGGACTATGAGACCACTTAAATACTCACAGCTTCCCTCAAGGAATTCTGGGAGCTGCAGTTTCTTAAGGGCAGACTCCCAGAGCTGCAGTTCCCAGAGTTCCTTGGGAAGAGGGTTTGACTGCTAAGCATTCTGGGAATTGTAGCTCTGGGAGGGGTGCAAGATTAAACCCTGTGGAGGCCCCCTAGGCTGTCAAAATTTCAGGGCGGGGGGCCCTCACAAATTATCTCCTAAAACTAAGAAAGCTTGATTGCAATTTTCTTTCAAGATCAAATCAATATTATTTTGATCCATTGCACGGGGCCCCTAAAAGGCCTTGGGGGGGGGGCATAGTCCAATGCCTACTTTGCCTATTTAGTAATCTGGCACTGCCTGGGAGGGGTCATTTGGCCTGATTCAGTAGCCAGGCTCTTCTGATGCCTTGTTGCTGGGAATCATGAATGGAAGAGTGATACTGTGCTCCTGTTGCATTTGCAGGCTTCCCACTGGGGCATCTGGTTTCCACTAGGATGCTGAGCTAGACGGCCCACTGGCCTGATACAGCAGAGCTTCTTCCTACTAAAAACGATAGCCGTTATCTATAAATGTGCATCTATGCGCAAGCGGATTCGCATATGCAACCTTGTGCCCTCTTTTCTTTCTTCTCGGTGATTCATTTCCTCTTTTGCAGCAAAGTATATGATGTCAGAACTCGCACTGCCTGCTGTAGCTCTTTAACAAATGCTTTGAGTGTATATGTATAAATAGATTAACTTCTTATTTTTCTTTTTTGCAAAGGCGCTCTAAGCAAGGTTATGTTGACTCTTTACACAGAACATGCACACTTTAAGCTGCTTTTGCCTCACTTTCCTTGAGCCACAGAGAGGGAGAGAGGATGAAACTTTTCAACACAGCCTTGGCCGCTGATACTTTCCCTCCACCTCTCCTCAGCCCTTGATTTTTCACCAGGCATTGGCCATGTAGCCTTGACCTTATTGGAAATAAAGGGCCTGCTTAGCCATAGGTCTAGAACCTATTGCATTTTCAGAAGGAAAGCTGGGGTTCTAAAGTGACAGAACTCTGGATCAGATCCTTGTCTCTTACATTTGCATATGCAAGGAATTCACACCTTCTTTGTCATTGTCTCCTCCAAAGGTCTCCTGACCCAAGAAAGTTATTCTGAACAGCTTAGACTTAGAGTTTGCTTGCAGTTGTGAGATGGGGACCGGGGGGGGGGGGGGACTCCACCATATGTGAATAATAGACAAATCATGGAACTCAATATATGGGGCGAACTTCACATCAAACCTCTGCATTTTTTGCTTTTCTCATGTCTTTCTGAGTCTGCGCAATGGAGTCTGAAACTGCTTTCGATTAGAAAAAGATGCTCTAATATTTTTTCTGGAACCCTTTGCACAAGCGGTTCCCAGGGCCTGACAATGAACAGTGGATTTCTCTTCCTGCAGAAATGGTTTGGGCCTCACTGAAATAATTTCCTTTGGCTGTGCCTATAAACCAAGCCAAGTGGAAACGCCGGGATTTCAAATGCTTGACTCCAAAGCCGAGGGATCTAGTGTCCCCTTAATGGCTGATCCCTCGGAACTGGCACCTCCTGGAATAGGGAGAGAGAAGCTGGCAGTGGACAGGGAGGGAAAAGGGCAAGGGCAGCTTCTGTGCTTTGAGCCCACACTTTTTAAACCAGCCTTCCCCAACGTGGTGCCCTCTGGACATTTTGGACTGCTGGCTGGAGCCGATGGGAGTTGCCATCCAAAATAACTGGAGGGGAACCAGGTTGGGGAGACTGGTTTAAAATGTGAGGGTTTTAGCAAATGGGATGGGTGAGCATGAGCTTCCAAGGCAACCCTCTTTCATCACCAGGAAAGACGAGCCACATACATTTAATACACCAAACCACTAAGAGAAACAGCAGAACGGATGAGCTTAGGAGCACGGAGGCACGGATGATGATGGGCTGCGTTCAGGAATAGCATCTGCTCCTGTTCCTTCTAATTAGGGTTTTGTGTCTCTCATTGTCTCCCCTGCCTGAAAGCTCCCCTCTCCCTTCGCCTCTCTTCCTGAATCCAGCTCAAGCTCCTCTGCAGCTTTACTCCATGCCATCTCCCTGCTATCTCTCCTTATTTCACACAGGACCCATTGCCTCCTCTGTTCAGACTCCAGACACGGCTCTGCCGTTAGGCAAAGTGAAACAGCAGCCTCAGGCAGCAGATGCCGGGGGTCAGCCACAGTCCCACCACTGCCACCTTTTCACCTGAATCCTGTAAACCGGTGGGCCACAAGTTTCGTTCAGGTTGCCCATGGCATGTCTGTGGATTTGTTCTCGGAGACAGGAGACAGCACATCTGTCGCAGTAAATATTCATATAGAATTGTATTTTTGTTGCATCTTTCATTTTTTATATCGTGTTACTGTTTGCATTCTACAGAATTCAGGTTGCAATACAATAAAATAAAACATAAGAAATAAGGGAAGCCATAAAAATCAAATTAAAAGGTAAAAGGTAAAGGTAAAGGACCCCTGGATGGTTAAGTCCAGTCAAAGGCGACTATGGGGTTGTGGTGCTCATCTTACTTTAGGCTGAGGGAGCCAGTGTTTGTCCACAGACAGCTTTTCAGGGTCATGTGGCCAGCAGGACTAAACCACTTCTGGTGCAACAGGACACCGTGATGGAAACCAGAGCACACATTTACCTTCCTGTCACAGTGGTACCTATTTATCTACTTGCACTGGCATGCTTTCGAACTGCTAGGTTGGCAGGAGCTAGGAGAGAGCAACAGGAGCTTGCCCCATTGTGCAGATTCGAACCGCCAACCTTCTGACTGGCAAGCCCAAGAGGCTCAGTGGTTTAGACCACAGCGCCACCCGCATCCCAATTAAAAACCACCCAGCATCTAGCACAGTGCATTGCAATGGCTACAATGGGCAGGAGAATCATTAAGTGGTCCACCAAGACCCTCAGCAATTTTCAAGTGGTCCGGAGAGTGGGGCGAAGTTTGAGAACCAGTGCCCTAAACTAGTGTTCTTTGCACCTTCTAAGCTAGCCTGGTGCTCTCAGGTACTGTGGAGAATGTTGTCCCATCACCAATGTGGAAATACGATTTCATCTATCTTCACCCTTAGCATGTAGTCAGAACTAGGGCTAGAGAGAAATAATCAGTTCCCCAAAACCCTTCAAAATTTGCAATTCTCCAAATTGTGAGATGCAGTTTTCCAACCAAAGAGGATGCCCAAGCATGCACAGATTAGTGAAAATAACTTATAAAAATTCACTACGTTGGTGAAAGATGGCTTGCAATTCTGGGGTGTATTAAGCGGCATTGTAGAAAATCACATACATTAGTGCACACTGATGAGTTTTCACAATGACTTTTAAAATTGTCATCATCACCAGGCATCACAAACCGATGGAAAGCATTTCAACCACACTGGAAAAACGAGAAACCAAAATGGACAGATTTGCCCGTCTCTTGCCAGAACCGGCTGTGTTGTGTTGCGCATGCCGACAGTCCTCTGGGGTGTAATTTCCCACTTTTCTGATGTGGGGGCTGGTTTCTGCAACTCTCCTTCTGTTGCTAATTTGAGTGGCTGAGATTTGGCAGCAGAGAGCAGGGTTGTTGTTCAGGGTTGTGCATCCAAGATTGCAGGCCCCTCGAGTGCTGTTCATCCCCCCGCAGAGCTGTCATTACGCTTGTTCATAGGAAAGCCTTTGACCACCACTGGAGAGCCCTTGCCAGGAGGGGAGAGCTGCAGAAGGGCAACGGGTTGCAGCTGAACCGAGATCATATCCCACCCCCACCCCCTCTTTCTTTGCCTGGCTTAAAATAAAATAAGTAAGGTGAATGAAAGGCAGCAGGAAAAGCATCTTGGGACATGCAGAATATGGACCATTCTGTGCAAGAGATATGGGGTGTTAGGCACTAGTTTCTTTTGGACTCTGTGCTGCTCCTACCCACAAGTATTTTTGCAGCAATTTCATGACATAAAGACATAATAAGAACCCTTCTGGATCAGGCCAATGGACCATCTAGTCCAGCATCCTGTCCTATCAGTGGCCAACCAGATGTCCCAAAGGTGAAACCTGCGAGCAGGATCTGAGCACAAGAGCCCTCTCCCCTTCTGCAGTTTCCAGCAAGTGGTATTCAGAAGCATCGTTGCCTCTAACTGCAGAGGCAGAGCAAAACCATCATGGCTAATAGCCATCAATAGCGGTCTCCTCCATGAATTGGTCCAACCGTCTTTTAAACCACCCAGGTTGGTGGTCATCACTGCTTCCTGCAAGAGTGAGTCCCATCGTTTAACTATGTGCTGCATGAATAAGGACTTTCTTTTATCTGCCTTGAATCCCACATTCAGCTTCAATGGAGTTCTAGTATTATGGGAGACAGAGAAAGACTTTCTCCAGGCCAAGCACATTTTTATAAACTTGCCTCTTATTTTCTCTAAACTACAAAGTTCAAGACATTTCAGTGTTTCCCCAGAGGGGAACTATTCCATCTCCTTAATAATTGTGGTTGTTCTTGTCTGAACTATCACTACCATCCAACTGCCAGGCCAAACATTTTTCTTTCTGGGTTGTTGTTGTTTTAAGATTTAACCTGCACTTCACATTACCAATCTGATAAGTACAAAAACAGCCCGTAATAGCAGGGACTGGGACCACTTTAGCTGTCCTTTCAGGTGTTCCCAAAGCCACAGTCCTCACCTGCCCAGCTCTGCCCCTCTTGGAGTGTTGCTTTCTGAGGGATGCGGGAGCATGTATAGCTACTAACCTACTATACAAAGGTAACATTTCTTGCTCTCCCCACTTTTGCTGCTGACCATGCCCTCTACTGGTATGTGGCCCCTGGAAGGCTGTCCAGAAGGGAATGTGGCCCTCAGACTTAAAACGGTCCCTGTGGCAGGGACTGCCCCAAGGGCACTTAGTGGGGATTTGAACCCTGGTCTCCCAGGTCCTGGGACGTGGGCGGCACTGTGGGTTAAACCACAGAGCCTAGGACTTGCCGATCAGAAGGTTGGCGGTTCGAATCCCCGTGACGGGGTGAGCTCCTGTTGCTCAGTCCCTGCTCCTGCCAACCCAGCAGTTCGAAAGCACGTCAAAGTGCAAGTAGATAAATAGGTATCGCTCTGGCGGGAAGGTAAACGGTGTTTCTGTGCGCTGCTCTGGTTCGCCAGAAGTGGCTTAGTCATGCTGGCCACATGACCCAGAAGCTGTACGCCGGCTCCCTCGGCCAATAAAGTGAGATGAGCGTCACAACCCCAGAGTCGGTCACGACTGGACCTAATGGTCAGGGGTCCCTTTACCTTTACCTTTTACCTCCCAGGTCCTAGTCTGATGCTCTTTCCACTACACTACACTGGCTGCCGCCACCACCCCTTATGTCCATTTGCTGCTCACCTGAGCGCAATCTGGCCATTTCCCTCCCCGCAGCCCTCCAGACCAAAAGGCATGATCTAGCGTTATTGTAGTTTATCGCCGTAATAAATTGACATTATAGCACCATAGCTCTCTTTTGTTCAAAACAGCCAGAAAAGTGTTTTTGCAATAATTAAAAAGATTGATTTCTTGAAAAGAAATAAATAGGGGGTCATAAAATGGCACTCACCCTTGGGGGCTGTAGCGAACACGTATGGAGAATCAAAGGGCTCCATGCCTACGGGGGGTATGGGATGTGCAGATCAGGAGGTGCAGAAAGAAAATTTGCACCACTTCCCATGATAGTTTGGAGAGCTGGTTGCAATTCCACTTGGGCCTTGAAATGGAAGAGCAGGGGTTGGGAAGGGGCCATTTCCCCAGATCAGGCAGGCTGGCCCTTGATAGCAGCAACTGGAGATGCTACCTTACCTGGGAACATTGGAAGAAGCATGATGCCAAAACAGGCTAATGGCCATTTAGCTCAGTCCAGCAGGGAGCTTTTCCTCTCCCCACCTGGAAATGCCAGAGATTATTTTTTAAAAAAAATTATTTATATTTCTCAGATATATACATTTCACTGATTTTTACATTCATTTTGACATTTTAAAACTTGACTTCCTTCCCTCTCTTTCTGTGGTTCCTTCAATTTATTTTTACTATCTTCTGCACATCCAAATTAACTTAACTTGCTCATTTATTTATCTTCTTTTGGAAATGCCAGAGATGAAGGGTGAGTGGATCTGCCCATTTTAGTTTTCTCATTTTTTTGTTCTTAACCTCAGTTCTCCATATTTCTGCATCACAATTTTTTTTAAAAAAAAAAAATCATATAATTGTAGAATTGTAGAAGGGACCATGAGGGTCATTAGTCCAACCCCCTGCAATGCAGAAATCTTTTGCCCAACGTGGGGCTCGAACCCACGACCCTGAGAGTAAGGGTCTTGAGCTCACTTGGCAATTTAGTGCCCATTTCCCTTAAGAGAAGAACATAAAAACTACCCTGATGGATCTGGGCAAAGGCCTACCTAGTCCAGCATCCTGTTCTCACAGTGGCCAACCTGATGCCTTCATGGGAAACCTGCAAGCAGGATTCAAGCCTGGCAGCACTCTGCCTTCCTGTGGTTTCCAGCAACTGGATTTTAGAACCATTACTGCCTCCGACTGTGGAGGCAGAGCCTCCTCCTTCTCCACCATGAGTTTATCCAATCGTTTTTTAAAAGCCATCCAAGTTGATGCCCTCATTGCCTCCTGCGGAAGTGAGGTCCATAGTTGAACTATGCACAGTTTCAGGGAGGCTTATTCCTACTTAGAGATGCCAGATTCCTACTTAGAGATTGAACCTGAGATCTTCTGCATGCAAAGCAACTGCTCTACTACTGAGCTTTGCTGTATATCCAGACATAGATACCAAACCTTCTGTGGATATTTATTGGCAGCAGTCTGAATTTTCAGACTCTTAAGCCTTTTCGTTTGCTTGCTTTTTGACTTGATGGTTCCTGGCTGGGATGAATGCAGGACTGGCCCACCCATGAGGCAAGGTTGAGGGGTCAGGATCCCAAGCCTGTGGGTGTGTTGCTGCTGCTGCTGTCACCTCCTAAGCAAGACGCAACCCATTGCCTGGCTTTTCCTGCATTGAGTCTCCAGCATCCCATCCTCCCTCTCCACAAATGCACACACCTCTCAAAGGGCGGCTTGTGCTGAGATTTCAGTCCTGCTTTGAAGATGGCTGTAACTCAGTTGCAGAGCTTTTGAGCTACGCTGCTTCAAGCCATGCATGGGATGATCTGGTTCAGTTGAACACAGAGGCTATCAGCCACAATGGGACGCGGGTGGTGCTGTGGGTTAAACCACAGAGCTTAGGACTTGCCGATCAGAAGGTCGACGGTTCGAATCCCTGCGACGGGGTGAGCTCCCGTTGCTCGGTCCCTGCTCCTGCCAACCTAGCAGTTCGAAAGCACGCCAAAGTGCAAGTAGATTAATAGGTATCGCTCCGGTGGGAAGGTAAACGGCGTTTCCGTGCACTGCTCTGGTTTGCCAGAAGCGGCTTAGTCATGCTGGCCACATGACCCGGAAGCTGTACGCCGGCTCCCTCGGCCAATAAAGTGAGATGAGCGCCGCAACCCCAGAGTCGGTCACGACTGGACCTAATGGTCAGGGGTCCCTTTACCTTTTATCAGCCACAATGGCTATGGGTCTGTCTCCACAGCCAAAGGAAATAATGCTTCTCAATACCAAGTTGCTGGAAAATGCAGCAGTGGAGAGCTCTTGTGCCTGAGTCCTGCTTGAAGGCTTCCCGTGGAGGCATCTGGTTGGCTGCTTGTATGCAGGACTAGATGGGCCACCAGCCTGATGTCCTTAACAAACTTCATTGAATTTGTTCAGAAAATCTCGGGACCATACCTGAATGTAGATCTCATAACTGCTGGGGGAACTGAATGTGAATTAAGCCCATCTTGTGGCAGTGAGTTCCCTAGTCTAACTATGTGCTGTGTGAAGAAGTCCCTCCTTTGGTTTCTTCCCAAAAGTTCCAGCTTGCAGCTTCATGGAATGGCCCCATTAGGTTGCGGCATTATTAGAGAGCATTATGTGCATGAAGTGATGTGGCCTTCCCCAGAGAGAGTGCCACATATTAAAGTCTCTGTGTGGTCTCCCTGCTTCCAGCGATGGCAGCCTGGTGTTTGGTGATTGCTGGGCATGGAGTGCTTGCACCACAAAAAATGTTTGCTTGGCCTTCCTCCCCTCCTCCTCCCCCCCCCCCCTTTTCCTTTTGGAGAAAGTCTGTTCTAATTCAAGATCTTTATTCTGGTGACCACCATTTTGCCATTGAAGGTACCAAAGGCAGGCTATTCCCTGCTCCTTTTTCTCTTGGCTCAGCTGCCTGTCTGGAGAGCTGTTTCTCCTGGCCCTGTTCTCCTGAGCCCATCCCAGAACTGGTAACCCAAAGCTGGGCCCAAACCACAAACATCATCCCAAAATCACCAACTGTAATTTACTCCCGGAGCGTGTGTGATTTTCTTTCCTGCCAGACTTGCAAGGCAGAGCAGAGCTGACACATGGAAGCATTTTGCTGCTGATAAATTTAGGACGAGGAACAACACTCTCCGGAGCAGTTCAGAGGGGCTAAGGCAGGGAAAGCGACCCGTTTATCTCACCAGGGAGCAGGAGACATTGATTTGAAAAAGAGCTGCACTTCCTGGGATTGACCAGGTTACCTTTTCAGTTTATATTTGGCAACAGATGAAGCAGTTAATGTTTGCGAGGGGAGTGTGGGATCGGGGAACTCTTGCAATCGGGTTGCTTTTGAATCACAATGAGCTTAACCTTTTGCAATTTGCTCACTAGGGATCACTCTGTCCCTAATTGCAGTGTGAAGTTTCCCCTTCCCCCCTTGCCAAATATATATATATAAATAAAATTCGTTTTTTTTAGCATATCATTTTCAACAGTTATTAAACATACTTTTACATATTATTCAAATTTTTGACTTCCATCAATGCTATCTGAAAATTTTCTAATCTAATCTCTCAGTATGCATTTCTTATCTTCCCTATTACATTTCAAACTCATAACCAATATCTCCATCTTTTTCTACTTTGTAACACTTCGTATATTTCCCCTTCTTGTAGTCCTGCTAGTGTAATTTGTTGATTACAGTTGCTCTTCAAATAATTCATATACTTCTTCCAATCTTCTGTAAATCTCTGGTCCCGCAGGTTTCAAATCCTTCCTGTCATTTTGTCCAATTCTGCATAGTCCATTAATTTCGTCTGCCATTCTTCTTTCGTCGGAATTTCTTCTTGTTTCCATCCGCCCTTGCCAAATTGATTCCCCCACTCTCCCATCATCTATGCTGGTTTTCAGCATTCACCATCAGTTAGAATATTAGGAACATTCCATGCCTTCCCTGGGAGGAAAACAGGTCTGGCACAGAAAGTGATGGTCTTTTTTCAGGACGACATAGATAAAGGATAGCATCCCCCACCCCCAGGTTCAAACCTGCAGGCTGCCTTTGCACAAGCCAGGTGCCAGTGTTCAAGAGTTAAGATTCCTGCATTGCAAGGGGTTGGACTAGATGATCCCTTCCAACTTTACACTTCTATGATTCTGGGTTTCTGCCATGGTGGTCTCAGCAAAGATGTGGCAGTTCCCAACTTCCTACTGAATAAAAATGAGGTTTAGGTTGTGATTTCTACAAGGGATGGAAACTAGGGCTTGGGGAGAGATTTGCATTTAAATGTGAACCTGATTTTCGCTGAACTTGTGCCAACAAAAACAACCAGGCAAAGTCATGTCAAAGTGACATTTTGGTCCACCATCTTGATTCAAAATGGCGGCTGGCAGCCAAACACCGATGGCTGCCAAACCCAATTCAGGAACCCTCATGCCAAGTTTGGCAACAATATCTCGAGAGGGAGCCAAACCTATGGAGACCAGATGAAGAGACAGACAAACTACTTTCCAAAACATATAGTAGCTATAATATAATGTAATATCATTAATATAATGCACACACAAACACAAATATCCCTCTTCCTTCTAAAAAGACTGCTAAAATTGGCATCTCTAAATGGAAACGAAAGCAAAGTAGGTGTTCTAGACTTGTCCATTTGGCCAGAAAATGCTGAGACTCATCAAGTGTTATTTGGTCTGGGCGTCACAGTGGAGCGGATGTGGAAAGTCAGCAGCAACTTTATTTTCTGGCAGTATTCTGGACTCTTGAGTTCCTGCACCTTGGCCAGGCTGTGACTTCTGAGGATGTAGCCTCTGCCCAAAATTCGCGATACAACATAGGATAACTCAGGGCCAAGTTCTGTAAAGTTTTGAACTCCTCCCCCCTCATATATATAAATATAATTGTATCCAGTTCTGAGTCTGGGATGTGAACTAATGTGTTTTCCAGATTGCTGCAGGGAACAGGGAGAAATGGTTAAACTTTTAGTAGGCTCAGGGATTAAAAAATATATATCCTCTGCCTTCTCCTTGAGTGATTCTTTTGCTTGGCTGCAAAGCTTTGTTGAAGTGCAATGCTTCTGGCTCTCCTAGAGGAAAGGGTGTGTGATGTAGAAATCTCTTGTCCTTTCGTGGGGTTGGAGTGGAGCCCACTTGTGGCTTCTCCCAAAGAATCCTGGGAATTGTAGTTTGCTATGGCTACTGTAGAGACGCAGTTCCCAGAGTTCCCTGAGAAGAGGGGTTGCTGGTTAAGCTACTCTGTCTAGGTTTTGCAGCAGGCTGACCTAATTCAACAGTTTCAAACTCATTTGTGGATTGGAACACAGTTCCCAATTGAATTATGCACTTTTCTAGATTTTGCTATGAGTTTCGGTCTATACAAAACTACATACAGTGGCACCTTGGTTCTCAAACATAATCCGTTCCGGGAGTCTGTTTGACTCGCAAAGTCCTTCAAAAACCAAGGCACAGCTTCTGATTGGCTGCAGGATCTTCCTGCACTCAAGCGGATGCCGCGTCAGACATTCAGCTTCCGAAAAATGTACGCAAACTAGAACACTTACTTCTGGGTTTGCAGCATTCGGGAGCGAATTTGCTTGGCAGCTAAGCCGTTCAGGAGCCAAGGTTTGACTGTGCTGCATATATGCCTGCAAAATGCATACTTTAACACACACACACACACACACATGCACAGAACATACACAATTTGGGGAAAACACATTCAAAAACGTGCAGAGAATTTGAATGAGGACTTTTTGTGTGTTCAGACGAATTCTCAAAAACAGGACAGAGCTGTGTTTCCTGTCATTGAAACTGAAACGGGACAGAATTCGGCAAGTTTCCTCTCTGGTTCAGACCTTTCACCCAGTGGCTCTGGTGCTGGCAACTGGTTTTGAATTATCGGCACCGGCTGAAGGGTCCCTCCCAGGTGGGTTGTGGCCTTTTCACAGCTGATCTGCCCCCTCTTTAAAATTCCTTAAACAGCTGCTCAGCACAAAAGCGTTAATTCCCCACCGCGGTTGCAAGGGAACAGATGTTGCTTCCGCCATCCCCGGGAGTACTGGTCGCAGTCAAAAGCTTCCGCGGTGGAAGGCCCTTGGGTTTTGAATCCTAATGTACATTGTTTGCATGACTGCTCCGGAAACCGAAATAAGCACCTGCACAGGGAGGAAAGGATAGGGATCCTCTCCTAACCCCCCATCCCCAATTCCATAAAGAAAAGTGAGCATTAGAGGCAACTTGTATTCCACTTCCCTGTCTTTTTCCAAAGCAGAGTGTTAAAACAGCTAAAATATGCATACGGGGGAAGGAATATTATAATGATAATCCTGTGCCTCATTTAAGGAACTCGGGGAGCATAGTGCAGGATTTAACCATTACAACCTCATTACAACCCTGCAAGGTAGCTTAGACAGAGCAGATATAATACACATATTTGTATGCAATTTATACACATTTTTGCAAAGCATATTTGCTCTAATATACTTCACTCGATTTTGCTGTACAGTTCTCCAGCCAAGTACAAAAATGCATACGATTGGGTAAAGTGTGCACATAAATCCATATATTACTGCAAAATAACATACATTATACTAGAGAAAATTGTTTTGCAGAAATATGTGTGTGTTGCTTAAATCTGCTTACAAAAATGTGTCTATTAAGAGAAATTTGCACTTAGACCCTGGTGAATTTTCACAATAGCTTTTTGGAAACGGAAATGTGGGGTGCTGCAAAAATGAGAAATGGGGAGAAAGCGTAATGAACAGATTCTCCCATCCCTGAGTGCAGCCAGTGGGGCAACTGAGTGCTTTGCCTTCAGACTTCACAGCCAAGCATTAGCTTGGATGCTGATCTGGGTTTCTTCTTGTGGGGGCTGATGAAAGGCACATTGTGGCTTCTCTCATCTGCCTCGAATTAGGGGCTTGCATTGTGGTGTGGGGCTGGGGCCCCCTTTTCTCTTTTCCAAAGTGGGCTTTCTGGCCACTTGGTGGAGAGGAGATTAGTCTGGAACAGAAGTGCTAAGTGGCTTAAAAGGCATCTGCAGCAAGCCTTCACTTAAGCTGTCATCAGTTTCTTAATACGCTCCACTTCTAAGGCCCCAAAATTTGCACCGACTCACACTTTTCCTACTTCAAGGTTTCATCTAGAGGAGTCTGATGGACTGGAAGGTCTGGCGTCTTTTTGCTTTCCAAAATGCCTGCAGTCCTGAGTGCCTCCGCTCATGTAAAGAATGCCATTTTTTTCCTCCTTTTTTAGTAGAGCGTAAAAGCACACGCCCTGTCCCAATAGCTCAGAAAAGAAACCTTCAGTACAAGATAAAAATAAAAGGAAGCACTTATTTACACTGCCTGTAGTTAAAACTATGGATTCCACAACCGCAAGAGGTAGTGATCAGCACCAGTTTGAATGGCTTTAAAAGAGGATTAGATAAATTCATGGAGATGGAGGAGGCTAGCGATGGCTGATAGGCAGGATGGCTGTTCTCTGCCTCCGTGGTCAGAGGCAATAATGCTTCAGATGCCTTTAGACTGTAACTCCTGTCAGCCCCCACCAGCATGGCTCTGGGCACTGAGGCTGATGGGAGTTGTAGTTCAAAACCTGGCTGTGCTGGCTGCAGAGCCGACCTCCTGATGAGGCAGGGTGAAGCACCCACCTCAGGTGGCAGGAGCACAAGAGCAGGTGTCCCATCCACACCCACCACTGCTGTTGCCTTGTGGAATGCTCTTGCTGTGTTTGGTGAAAGGGGACAGCGTTCTGGCACGTGGCGAGAAAAGGGGGAGAGCAGGGGCACATTCCCATTTCGCCTCAGGTGGTGAAATGGGATGGGCTGCCGCTGGCTGGCTGAGGCTGACGGGAGTTGTAGTCCAAATCATCCGGGAGACACCAGTTTGCAGGCTGTGTGTGAAGGTCTTATGTGTCTGTGAGTGATTTGGTAGCACCCAAGACAGTAGCACAACTTGAAGCTAAGAGGGCCTAGATGAGATCTCCAGGACATACACACACACCCATTTAAATTGCTTAGAGCTTTCTGAAGAATGTATAAAATGGATAATGAAATGCATAAATCCTAAATAATGAATCAGGTGCTGGGAGGAGAGGAGTCGCGACAGTTCAAGGGAGTTTTCGGATGCCTCATAGCAGCAGAAGTCATCCGCGTTGATGACTAAATTTGCATGCTACAAATTATCCAGTCAGCTCAATTAATTATCCCAGTTGGACCTGAGCCACTCTCCTTCATTGGATGCCTGTCATGAAGGCGAGAAGCTCAGTGGGAAGCTTAAAAGCAGGAGGAAGACTTGGGATAGCTTTTCAGAGACCTCGCTTTGCCCTGATCTTTTGCCACTGAGCCATTAAGCAATCCTTGTAAATAGCTATTATACCAGCAGTTTGGCGGTGGGGGGTGGGGACACACACACACACACATACAAGAAATAAAGCTGAAAGCAGTTTGAATTCTTATCTGTTCTGAAATGTCCTGGAGGGACAATCAGCAGCAGTTTACCCAGGTGTGGTCTGACATCCAAAGTAATATTTAGGTTTCAAACAAGTTTGGCTGAATTTAATAAGGTTAGAAGAGCCCCGCTGGATCAGGCCTGTGGCTCATTTTAGCCCAGCATCCTGTTCTCACTATGGCTAACCGGATGTCTGTAGAAAACCTACAAGCAGGATTCGAATGTAAGAGCTACTCTCCCCTCCTGTGGTTTCCAGCAACCAGTAATCAGAAACATTGCTGTCTGACCAGAGAGGCAAATCCTCCCAGTTCACACTTCCAGAACAAGACACAAAGTGAAAAATTTTTGAAATCCACATGTGTCCAAATTTTGTGTTGTAGTTCTCCAGTCAAATAATTCAAAGGGGAGGTGTTTCCATTTGGAGAAGGTGTGCATAAGCATGCATATATTGGTGAAAATAACATACAAAAATACATTCTCTTAGGGGACGTTGCTTGCAAAAAAAAAAAAAGAGGTCGCAAACTAATGCAGATTTGTGCCATGTTTCAGACTGCAGATTGGTTTGGAAAGTTCCCACTGACGGTCAATTCACAGTGAAATACTAGAGCTCAACTTAGGTCCAGGGTACCTCAGGGATCACCTGAACTCTTTTATCCCAGCTCGATCACTGAGATCATCCGCAGGAGCATCATTAGTCGTTCTCTGCGTTGGCAAGGCTCGTTTGACAACAACATGAAATGAAGCCTTGAGTGTCATCAGCTCTGTCTTGAGTAATACTCTGCCAACACAGATTCAGCAGGTGCCTCCTTCTGTTTCAGTTTCTAAAAGCATGCTGAAAACTTTCCCATCAGGCTTATGCAGGCCATTAAGAATACATCTTTCTGCAATAGTTGGCTGATTTCTGATTTCAGCTTTTAAAATATAGAATCATAGAACACAGAATCACGGAACTCTAGAGTTGGAAGGGACCACGAGGGACATCTAGTCCAACCCCCTGCAATGCAGGAATCTTTTGCCCAATGTGGGGCTTTCATTATATGGTTTTATGCACAATTATTGGAAACTGCTTTGCTGTTTTCTTTATGAATTAGTGGCATAGAAATATTTTTATAAATAAAGAAAAATTTAAAAATGCAAGCTGGGCAAATTTCTCCCCTCTCACTGTTGGGCGACTTTAAGAAAAAACAATTCAGGCTACGAACTTTTCTTTGTAAGACTGCGCTAGAGGGAATGGCTGCCTGGGAGAAGCATCCACTTGCTTGCTTGCTTGCTTGCTTGCTTGCTTGCTTGCTTGCAATTTCCCTTTGAGAGAGAGCAAGGGAGCCAGGCCCACCATGCACCCTTTTAATTGCGTGCAATGGAGGTTGACAGTGGGGGTGTCTGAAAAGTCTTTAAAGGGGAGAGCCGGGCCTTTAATTCCCGAATATATCATCTCCACACGGCTGCGCCTTCATCTGCAAGCTGTTTGGCGCTGCTCGACATCGTCATTGATGGCAAGGGTCACTGGGCGATCACAGCCTTCGCTTGACCCGGGTCACAGGCATGACACCTGTCACTGAGCTGCCCCCCTTTCTTCCCTCTTTTGCAACCCCCCCCCCAACCCTCTGCCGCCCAGTGGCAATACAGACCTGTGAATCAAAGGGACTCCAGGGAGTGAATATCAATAAAAGGATTTCTAATTGCTGCTTTTCCAGACACAGTTCATGCTGGGGGCTGGGGAGGGTTTTGGTCCATCTCATTCTTCCTGCTTTCTCCCACTGCCTCCGCCTCCTCTCTCTTGCTCAGCTCTCCGTAAACATGCTCATTCTTTTCAGGATTTGGGGCTTGGAAATCAGCCCTTGGAAGAAGTTCTTGTTTTGAAAAAGGGAAAAGACAGGAGCATTGGGAGAGGAGCATATCACCCTCTTCGGTTAAAAAGAATCTGTTGATTGTTAGCAAAAATAGAGGATGATTTCTGCAGAAATAAACCGCAGCACATCGCAGTCCCCACTCCACCCTGCCACACACAGCATGGAAATGAGAATGTTAGGATTTGTGCTCACAAATGGAAAACCAAATCAGGACTGAAACAATAAAGTCTTCTGCAGAGTCAAAACAATCTAAGTTGCATCATAGGGTGGCAGTCTTCCTTAACTGGGCAGCTCCAGATGTCTATGGATTCTAACAACCCAACCGGCATGCCCAATGGTCAAGGATGATGGGAGCCACAGTCCAACAATATTTGGAGAGACACAGGATCCACACCCCTGCCCTAAGCCAGGAATAGCCAATGTGGTACCCTCCAGGGGTGGTTGGACTCCAGCTCCCATCAGCTCCAACCAGCATGGCCAGTGGTCAGGGGTGATAAGAGTTGTAGTCCAATGGCAGCTAGACTACCACTGATCTACAGAGATGGAGAGACTTCACAGGAGTTTTTCTCCAAACCTCTGGTGGTTGGGTGAAACTGGGGTAGCAAAGCACATGAGAAATCTCTTATTAACCTTTGGGTAGGGTGATCATTTAGGTATTGTCAAATCAGAGGAAGTGGATCGCCAAAAAGGAGGGCAAAACAGAGCACAGGTTTGCATAAGATTTGTGCATGCAAATCTGTATGTGCAAATTTATTTATTATTGTTGTTTGGATGTCTTCACCAATGAAGTCCCAAGGCAGGTTTAATGGAAAAATAAATTTTCACATTCTTCTTTTGTGAGGATGACTGAAAGCATGATTTTAAAATTATTAAAAGCCATTTATATACCACTTAATCTTTCAAAAATCTATGTGTATACCGCTCAACCATCCTAATTTAAGCAAACACCCCAGAATTACAGAAGCCATTCCTTGCTTCTGATTGGATCCTGGAATGTCCCACTTTTTGGTCCGGCACTTTGGCACGAGTCAGCTTGTGCCAGAGCACCAGACCAAAAGACGTTCGTATTTTTGTCTCGCTCTAATGCAAAACAGCTGGCTCCCAAAAGAGCTCAGGACCAAAAAAACCCCTACCGTCCCAATCTGGAGCACCCAGATGTTGGAGGGTATCATGCAATGTACAGTCTAAAACAATGTATTATTAAAACATAGAAACGCAACCTTAAACCAGCAAAAAAGCAATATAAAAGCACCTGCTTCGTTTGGGTGGAAAACAGAGAGAAGCAGAGTGCCTATTTTGTAAAATTTATATTCACTGCTCTGCCCAGGTTTGCTTCAGGCCCTGCCCACCACTAGGATGAAGTCCCCTGGAAGGCTGCTTGGAAGGGAATGCAGCCACCAGGCTGAAAATGGTTCGCCATCCTAGGTTTGTATGGACTTGTGGTGGCTCTGCAGAGCTTCAAGCAGGGAGTCTTTCCCAGCCCTACTTGGAGATGGCAGGGGTTGAACCCTAGACCCTCATTCATGGCAGTAGCAGCCTGCACTGTACCTGGGCCAATGGTTTCTCCTTCCCCTGGTCTCAATCGGGCTGTGCATTGCCCTGGTGCTGCTTGTCGGAGAAGCTCACAATTGATTCTCCAACGTGTTTGCTAAAACAGCCTCTGCCCATAATGATCTCGTGGAATCAAAGTCTGGCTTTGGGGGCCTAGAAAGCAAAACATTCTAATTCCTCCCCCAGGAGCCGAGCATTGCTCTTTATCGACTCCTCGCCAGCGTCTCCGGGGGCAGAAGCCAAGACTCACTCCACCCTCTGGGAACTTTCTCGTTTGCACAAGCAGAGATTAAAAGAGAGCGTGCGGGGATTCCAGCGCCTAGGTCTGTGGCACTTGGGAAGCAACAGCAAAAGCAAATCAATAGGTTCGATCGGAGGTTTTTAAATTTTGCATGTACGTGTGCGCAAAGCGTTTGGTTCAGTGTGGAGGGTTTTGTATCGGTCAGTTTGTGAGACTATGCCCTCGGCTCAGCTAAGAAAAATTTCCAGAAGAGCTGGACCAAATTTGAAAAGCTGGAGTGTCCTGGTCTTCTGGTGTTTTGGAACCATTTCCAACACTGATGGCTTGGATTGGATTGGACCAATTCATGGTGGAGAAGACTATCAATAGCTACTAGCCAGGATCACTATGCTCTGCCTCTACAGTTGGAGGCAGCAATGCTTCTGAATACCAGTTGCTGGAAATCATAAGATGATGATGATGATGATGATGATGATGATGATAAAAAAAATTTATACCCCGCCCATCTGGCTGGGCTTCCCCAGCCACTCTGGGCGGCTTCCAATAAAATATTAAAATACAGTAATGCATCAAACATTAAAAGCTTCCCTGAACAGGGCTGCCTTCAGATGTCTTCTAAAAGTCTGGTAGTTGTTGTTCTCTTTGACATCTGATGGGAGGGTGTTCCACAGGGCAGGTGCCACTACCGAGAAGGCCCTCTGCCTGGTTCCCTATAACTTGGCTTCTCATAGTGAGGGAACCACCAGAAGGCCCTTGGCGCTGGACCTCAGTGTCCGGGTAGAATGATGGGGGTGGAGATGCTCCTTCAGGTATACTGGGCCGAGGCCATTTAGGGCTTTAAAGGTCAGCACCAACACTTTGAATTGTGCTCAGAAACGTACTGGGAGCCAATGTAGGTCTTTCAAAACCGGTGTTATGTGGTCTCGGCGGCTGCTCCCAGTCACCAGTCTAGCTGCAGCATTCTGGATTAGTTGTAATTTCTGGGTCCTGCTTGTGGGTTTCCCATTGGGGCATCTGGTTAGCCACTGCTAGAACAGGATGCTGGATGAGATGGGCCATTAGCCTGACCCTGCGGACTCCCCTTAGGTTCTTACTTTCCTAGAGAATAATAAAAACCAGAATCTCAGGGGGATTGCCTGGGGGATTGCGCCCAAATTTGTCACCACCAACAAAGCATCTCCCAATGGCTCAAGTTCTCCAAGAGCGGTCCATCTCTCTCTCGCCAGTGTTTGCCGTGACACCGATTAACTTTTCCGTCTCACATGGGGCTGTTGCTACTTGACATTCAGGAGCTCAAGCCTCTTGTTATCTGAAGTTAATAACCAGGTCACTGAATCAAACTATTTAATTTAAGAGCAACTCCAGCTGGAAATAATGTTGGCTCTGAGTCAGGATTCGGAGAGTTCTGTCACTCCAAATCCCTCCAGATCTTTAAAGTAAATAGCTGGGAGAGAAAGAGAATCTCCCCCTCTCTCCCCCCCCCCCCCAGCCTGCTTGAGTGTTCACAGTTGTGATTAGACACTTCCAGGTTGTGACCTCCAGTAGTGATCGTTGACTTGTGTGTACTTTACAGCTCAGATTGTTTAAACTTCATTCACTTTGATTAGCACTGAAGCAAAGAGTGATTGAAGCAATGTCTGCTGCTTGGGCGATGCCCACAAATGCAACCCCCCTTTATGCACACACGCACACAGCATGTTGCTTTCAGAGGGGGCATCAAGGGGCTCACACGGCACCGATTAGGATAAATTTTGAAAAGGTCACTAGCGTTTTCAGTCCAAAACTCTCCAAAGAGATGCTGAATTGTTTGATAGAGATGGTGGTCCAATGAGTCTGGTTCCTTGTCGCTTTTGTGTGTGTGACTCTTGTTCCGTTGACCAGCGGATGGGGCCAGAGTTTCTTTTGCCCTTGCTTCTGCAGTCCCAAGCAAAACAAGAAGATGGAGTCGAGGGCTCTTTCTGGGTGGGGATGGCAACTCCCTGCAGCTGCTCCGTTTGTGGCCAATGAATGAGCTAGGCTAGTTTCCCCCTTGCCATTATATTGCCAATATATATATTGCTGGGAGTCAGGGAGTGGAGTCTCTCAGTGGCCACTTGATATCATCCCATTTCTGCATTAATCTGCAGATTTGTTTTTTTAAAAAACCACACAAAAATTGTGCATGGGTTAGATATGCGTTTTCTCTCAAAATATGCTTTTCTAAGCATATTTTTTACTACGGCGATTGAATTCATCAAGCATCCATTCTTCTTAATATTTTTGGTGATCCTGCAAACTCAGCTTGTGGTTCTACATCCAGACATTCTCACTCGCTCTTTTCTTCTCTCCTCTCTTGTGTTTGGTTAGTGGTTTTCGGAAACTTTACTTCTCAAATTAGGATCTGTTTTAAATTTACCAAGGGAATCGAAATGGACCTTGTAATTTAGGTCAAAGAGGAGGAATCAAAATCCAAACTTCAAAATGTGGAAAAGAAATCCAGTGTTTATTGGCCAGGAATCTGGATACAGCTTATTGTGGAGATTTTCATTTGTAGAGAAATGCTGATTGGGTCTGCAGTCACTGGACCTTGATTCTGCTTTTGTATAGAGCATCTCCTCCTCTTTCTTGCATGAGAGAAAGTGCTGGTGCTTTGAAATGTTCTCCCTCTGGCTCACAGCGTGGACAAGGGATGTAAGAGGGCACCATATCCCATTTTTCACTGTATTTGCTGCATGAAGCCCTGTTTCTTTTCTGCTGCAGTCATCTGCCAATAAATACATTATCTGTCTTGCTGTCCACTTGCAAAATTACACAACTTATTTAATTATCTTATTAATCACATTATTCCATGCAATTATTTTTCAATGCAAAGCGAAATGCAATGCAAGTTGGGGTGGAAGCATATTCAGTTGAATATCATTTCCAGACTGAGAGCAATGATGGCGACACTTGTCAATCATATTAACTGGATTTATTTCTGTTCTGCGTATGGAGTGAGTAAGTGGGCACTGGCAATTTCTGCTCCCGGTTCTGTCTTCGTAGAGATTCTGACACCTCTAATGTGGACCCCACTGTATTTCCTTACTTCTTCAAGTGGCAGAAAGTTTCAGAGGCAAATACTACAGGGTACATTTCACTGGAAGGAAGGAGCAGTATGATGGCTCTGCTCCACTCCCACAGTTGGAGGCAGAAATGAATACCAGTTGCTGGAAATCACAGGAGGGGAGAGGGCTCTTGTGCTCAGGTCCTGCTTGTTGGCTTCCATTTGGAGCATCCGGTTGATCACTGTGAGAACAGGATGCTGGACTAGGGCCGGATCTAGACACATAAAAAAAAATGTTTCAGGAAAACACGTTGTAAACCTCATAATGGGAAATTACGTTGGCAAAGACGAACTCCACAGCACCACCTGGTGTCACAGTGTTATAACGCATTTAAAATGCTTTTTCTTTAGTAATGTAGCTGAGTCCTAAATGGGGCATTGATCCGATCCAGCAGGGATCTACCAGAGATAAAAAGATGCCATGTTTATTTTTGTTACTTCTGCTAATTCACAAATGTATGGTGCAAAAGCTGCAAAAAACTGACATTGGCCTCCTTTACTGGCTACATTCGAGCTCCCAAACCATCTCTCTCCAGACTCCCAGAGGATTGGGAGTGCCACAGTTTACCGTAGCTAGTAGCCACCAGCCATTAATGTTCATTTAAGCGAGCATCTTCTGTCCATTAAAACATCATCTTTAGCTATTAGCTAAACCAAAGGCTGGGAGGGCTGGGGAGGTTTATCACTTCACATCATGCTACATAAGAGCTTTTCTATTATGCTATTTAATTACAGTCAAGTTTAACTTTTCTGGAAGTTCCCAATCCTGATCATAAGTCTAAGAAATAAAATAAAGCCCTTTGCTAGCCTGGTGAGGGTCTCCCAAGTCTTGCCAACCTTTTTTTGGCCTTCGATTTGTGGTGAGTTTCTGGGGATACTTTCTTGTCTAAAACTCCGGAGAGCTGCTGCCAATCAGTGTGGACAATACTGAAGGCTGGGCTTCTGAAGGGAAGGTCCATAACTCAGTGTTGGAATGTCAGCCTTGCATTCAGTGAGCTACATTCCAGACATGTAAAATAAGAGATTTCTGCGCAGACACATGTCCATCCTCTCCTCTGCGGAAAGGCCTTGGCTCAGTGGTAGAACATCTGCCTTGCATGCAGAATGTCCCAGGTTCAATCCGCAATGGCATCTCAAGGTAGGGTTGGAAAGGACTCCTGCCTGAAGCGCTGGAGAGTGGCTGCCAGTCAGTGTGGACAATACTGAGCTACCGTATTTTTCGCTCTATAAGACGCACCAGACCATAAGACGCACCAGTTTTTAGAGGAGGAAAACAAGAAAAAAAATATTCTGAATCCCAGAAGCCAGAACAGCAAGAGGGATCTGGCTTCTGGGATAGCCTCTTGCTGTCCTGGTTTATGTGATAGCCACACGCAGCCTCTCCTGGGCAGCGGGATGAAGGCTCCCCCTGCCCGGAAGAGGCTACGGGTGGCTAAGGCAGAAGCCAGGCAGTGGTTCCGGAAGGCTTCCGGGCAGTGGGAGGAAGGCTCCCCCAAGAGCCGTGCTCCCTTTAAAGAGCTGCATGGAGCATATGTGTGGCTCTTGGGGGCTTTTCCCTGAGGTGGGAGAAGGGCAGCCCTTCTCCCTTCTCGGGGAAAAGCCCCCAAGAACCGCACACACGCTCCACGTGGCTCTTTAAAGGGAGCGCTGAGCAGAGCCTCCTGCCTGCATTCGCTCCATAAGACGCACACACATTTCCCCTTACTTTTTAGGAGGGGGAAAGTGTGTCTTACAGAGCGAAAAATACGGTATATGCGCCAATCATCCATCTTTGTATAAGGCGGAATCCCACAATCACACCCAAGAGCTGAATGGTGAGAAAAAGGCTCGGTGGACACGCTCAAAAGGACTTCCGCATTTGCCAGGGCTTCCAGATGCTTCCGTCTCAGCATTCAAAGGACGTTCTGGGGCTGAGCCCCCACTGACATTCAGCTCTCAAACTCACTGTTGTTTTGCTCGCCTGCCGGTCTCGGAGCAGGAAGGGGAGGGCATGGAGGGGCGCAGTCCTCACTTGCCTCCGGGGTGTTTCTCTCCCACCCCCACCCCACCCCGATCTCTCTCCCTTGTATCAAACTCTAATTAGGTATAAAGGGCAAAGGATGGGGTTGGCAGAGGAGAGGGCGAGGGGTGCTAATAAATTATTCTCCTTCTTGTTAATTGTCATGTCTCAAAACTGGGAGGTTGTGCAGCCAAGAGAAGGAAGAGGCGTTCGTGCCAAGGACGGATGGGCCGTATCATAAGCTCACGTTGGCCTCCATTAGCATGTATGGGGTCCGGCCTCTCAAAGCCAATTAGCTCATGGACCAAGCTTGATTGGAAACCCACCGGCTTCATTGGCACGTTGGAACCGTTGAAAGAATAACAAACTCAGAGCAGGGGGGGAGTCTCAGTAAAGACGCCGGTGGGGGACTCGTTTCCGTGGCTGCTTTTGTGAGAAGAGGGGTGGGGAAATGGCTCAAGTCTTATGGAGGCGGGGGGGGAGGGAGAGAGACAGGGGGCAAGTAATTAGGAGGGAGGGAGGGAAATCCTGTGGCTGAAACTTTGAGCTGCCTGCTTGGACCGCATTCAAGCGTCTGGTGCTTGAATGCGACCTATGGACCGCTCCACCTTAAAATCTGCATTTCCTCGGCCTACCCACCTGTTGCTGAAACCATCCATAGTCTCCCAGGCAGATCACTCAGACATCATTCTCGAATGGAGGGGCAAGCCTGCGGGCCACATCCCCTTGTGTCTGGCCTTCTAGGGTGAAAGAGCTTGAGGAGGGGCGTGGACCATTTGGAGTGTGGCCAAAGAAGAGGGTTGTTGCCTGGGGAGGAGGCGTGGTCTGTGGACAGTCCCTGGGGGCCAGATAGAGAGGGTTGGGGGCCATCTTTGTTCCCCCAGACCTGAGCTTTCCCTTCCCTGTTGTAGAACAATGGTGGGCTGTGATGGTGAAGGCTGCTGTTCTTATGAAGGTGGTCCTGGTATTTTGCTGCAGAAATGGACCTCTCATGGATAGCTAGGCACATTAGAGAGACAGCGCAGGGTAGGTGTGTGAATGTTGGGCTTGGAATGGTGGGACCCACATTCCCACTGGGCCACGATGCTCAGAGGCCCTCCCATCTCAAATTAACCTACCATGCAGGGTTGCTGTGAGGATAAAGGAGGAGAGGGGTCCTGTCCTCCTCAGAGTGTCAAGCCTTGCCACCTTCCTGCCAAAACCAATCTGGATTCAGATGAGGCAGGGTCTGCAGGGTCAATCAGCTGTTATGGGGAATGGAGGGGACCAAGGGAGGATTCAGCCCACCCTCCTGCTGCCCAGGGGTGTCGGGAGAATCCCATTGGAAATGAATATAGGAGCAGCGATTGCCCAAATTTGCATGTTCGCCTGAGGTCAGGAAGGAGGTGGTGGAAGCAGTATCAGCTGTTGCTGGGCTTTTCTTCTTCTTTTCTCCGGTCTATGAACCTGACATAAATCACTGGGTTGTTTTCTGTGTCGTTTTTGACATTTCCCTTCCGTTGAAACGTGTTGGAGTTAATTATGTAATTGGCAACATAATTAATTACGTTAGTTTCGGCCATAGTGGATGGCGAGACAAATAATGTAGGTTTGAGCAGACGCCAAAACTGCTGTGGTAATGGAAGCAGCACCAATTGTGATGAAAACACAGAGCGGGAGGGAGAAACTGCTGCCTGCAGTGGCAGAGTTTGCCACTCAAGATGAGCCAAGGCAGGGCACATGGAGCCTGCGTGGAGTCTGCTCCGGCCACTGCCTCCCCCTCAGCTACAGGCACGGTGCCTGCATGTGCCCAAGCCACCATGTCACTCCCAGGAGAGACACGTGGCTCAGGTGCGCTGCAAGCCCCCCGTGGTAAGTGCCGCCCCCTCAGCCGCCCTCGCCATCCCCCAGCTATGCTAGTGGCTGCCTGCTTACATCCCTAGCTGCTCCCTCTCTGAAAACACTTGTTACTGCTGCTGGGCAAATAGAATCATGGAAGTGTAGAGTCGGAAGGGATCCCAAGGGTCATCTAGTCCAACCCCACAATACAGGAATCAGAGCGCTGTGTGTGTGTGTGTGTGTGTGTGTGTGTGTGTGTGTAGGCAGTCAAGAGACTGTATGTGTGGCAGGCATTAGCTGAATAAAGCCCTCACATAGGTTAGTCACATGGAATGCCTGCCTGCATCCCTTGCTGACTTGGGGTGCCGCAGTCTCCTACAATCCCTCCCTGCAAAGAAACCCACTGATAAGACCACCCTCAAACTTCCTGCTGCCTACGAGGCATAGTTCCAGCGTTGGAGAAATGCAACAGTCACATTCCCAGCAGGAAAGGCATTTGCAAATCCCCACCTCAGCCCATGAACGGCGACGCCTTCCTCGCGCAATAAAACTGCTATCTGGAAAAGGCCATTTTAGCCCCAGTTGAGCCAGTCTGGAGAGCTCTGTTTCCCCTTTCGACAAAGGCCTCCTTGTTCCTCCCTGATTTTATTCTCTCTCTCTTTTAAGAAAGAAATGGCAGATAGGCCTGCATATTGCAATTGATATGCAGATCTGGGAGGTTCTGCGTTTCCAGGCTGAGGGGATAAATCTACACGCATCTCCTCACTCTCCGCTCCCCTTTCTGCTCCCGTCCCCCGCATTTTTATTTTTTTTGTCATGGATCTCGCCTGCTTTACATTTTTATACAAAAAAGGTTCTGTCCCCTTTAATCTGCGTTCTGGGGGCAGCCTGTCACGATGCCTTTTCAAAAGGGGGTTGCGTCCGGACTTCATTGAGAATGTCACCCTTGCCGACCGTGTGAATTAACAGGGGTGGAGCAGGGGTGGGACAGAGGCTGAAACAGACACAGAAGTTAATCTACCTTTCCTTGCGAAGAGTTCGGTTGGAGTCCGTCCGTCCCCCCACCAAAAAAAAAAACTATTATGCAAAGTTATCCAAGTCTTACGGGTGGTGCTTCATAGCCCAGAAGGCTTCTACCAACCAAATCATAGTATTTTGCTTTTAATTTGCCTTGCCTTTCTTCAGTGTGTGAGTGTGTGTATTCCCATGTCTCCTCATAATTCAAGACAGGTGGGTGTAGCAAGACATTTCTTGTGAATATTCCCCAATGGGAAAGAATATACTGTGTCTCCTTGATGGTAAAGTCACTTGCTCTGGCCCTTAGAATAATAGAATTTTAAATTTGGAAGGGACCCAAGGGTCATCTAGTCCAACCCCCTGCAATGCAGGGATAACAGTTAAAGAATTCCTGACAGATGGCCATCCAGCCTCTGTTTAAAAACCTCCGTTGAAGAAGAGCCCACTACCTTTCTGAGGGGGTCTGTTCCACTGTCAGATGGTGATTTAATCCTTGGTTTCATCTAACCTCAAAGGGGGCAGGAGACACTCTTCGGGCCATATCTGGCATTCTCAGTCCACCAGAGCAAGGGCTCTTGTGCTAGTGGGTGGTTGCGTTTTAATGTTGCATAGCATAGGAATCCAATGCAACTGCTCTTGGGAGTTTGTTTCACCTCAGATGGCTCAATCTATCACAAAGTTACAAGCAACCTGCTTATGCATCCTCTTGCATGACAATGTTCCACTGGCACAAAATATTTAGCCAGAGGAAGAACAACACCTCTAAAGGACTTTAAGGTCCCCACCCACACTATACATTCAACTTCAAACTGTTATGGCTCCCCCTTCCCCCAAAATTAATAATCCTGGGAGCTGTGGTTTGTTAAGGGTGCTGAGAATTGTTAGCTGACCTCCATTCTCTCTTGCAGAGCTACAGCTCCCAGACTTCCCTGGGAAGAGGGATTGAATGTTAAACCACTCTGTATATTGTAGCTCTGCATACCCTCCAACATTTACCTGATGAAAATAGGGATGTCCCATTCCATAATGATAATTTTACTATTTATACACCACACATCTTACTGGGTTGCCCCAGCCACTCTGGGCATCTTCCAACATATATAAAAACATAATAAAACATTAAAGATTAAAAAAACCATTCCCTATACAGGATTGCCTTTAAACGGCTCAGGGGTCAGATACCCTCCAACATTTAACCAATGAAAATAGGGACCTCCTAAGGAAAAGCGGGACATTCTGGGATCAAATAAGAAACCGGGACGGCTTCTCTAAATCACGGGCGTCCCTGGAAAATAGGGACACTTGGGGGGTCTGGCTCTGTGGGAGGAATAGGGGTCTCCCGGCAACTCTCAGCACCCTTTAACAAACTATAGTGCCCAGAATTATTTGTTATTCTTTGGCCAACTGGGGAAGCAGCTTGACAAACAAATACATTTTAGCCATTTGTTACATTTCTATCCCACCCTTTGAATGTGCTTATAGCTGCATACGTCATTCTTGCTCTCCATCACAACAACCCTGAGAGGTAAGCTAGTCTAAGGGAGAGGGACTCCGAGGACAGACTAGGCTTGTGAACCTAGCACTCCCTAGTTCCTTGTCTAGACACCACATGGTCTGGTTTTTTCCAAACATATTAACCATTCCAGCAATTTAGGAACATAGGAAGCTGCCTTATAATTAGTCAGACCGCTGGTCCACCCAGTTCAGTGTTGTCTACACTGACCGGCAGCTGCTCTCCAGGGTATCGGAGAAGGGGTGTTCCCAGCCGTACTTGGAGACACCAGCCAATTGAACCCAGGAGCTTCAGCATGCAAAACGGATGCTCTGCCACTGAGCTACAACCCGTCCACCATTTTGCTCAGGGGAAATACTTCTATATGACAGGTCAGCCAGTCTGTTGGACCTCCTGGGAAGGCATTAAGGTTCATTTTGCTCTTTTAATAACAAAGTAGCTGGGATGTGTGTGGATCAGTCACAGCCTCCATGGCCTCCTATGGATAGCTAGTTTAGGGTGGTTTTTTAAGCACCGGAGCTCAATGCTACTTGCAACCCAGCCTTCTTAGAGCTCGAAACAATTTGGGATTGGCTTTTATAACTCTGCAATGGCTAGGAATGCACTTACCGTATTTTTTGCTGTATAAGACTCACTTTTTTCCCTCCTAAAAAGTAAGGGGAAATGTGTGTGCGTCTTATGGAGCGAATGCAGGCTGCACAGCTATCCCAGAAGCCAGAACAGCAAGAGGGATTGCTGTTTTCACTGCATAGCGATCCCTCTTGCTGTTCTGGCTTCTGAGATTCAGAATATTTTTTTTCTTGTTTTCCTCCTCCAAAAACTAGGTCCGTCTTGTGGTGTGGTGCATCTTATAGAGCAAAAAATACGGTATTTATTTTCCCCAGTGCCTCCGTCTCCAGGTAGTTCAAGGTGTGTGTAGTGCTTATTCGCAGTAGGCTTTCTTTCGGGCACCCGAAAGAACCCTGGGGGGGAAAGAAGTTTGCAAAGGAGTCCTGGGAGTGGCGAGGGCCTGATTTATGAGAAGAGATTAATAGTGGGAAATACGTTCCGCTTACCTAAGCGGTAATTCATTAGAAAGGATCAGGAGCTGGTGTGTGGAGGGTGCGGGGGGTGAGCATGTTAAATGTCTGGAAATATTTGAAGGATATAAACACTGACGTTGGTGAGAAGAATTATGGGAGCGATAAAAGGGGGCTTAACTGGGGCAAAATTAAGAGGAAATTCAGGCGTATATACACACACATACACATCATGACACCAGTGCCTGTTAATCTTCCAAAAAGATGCTGGAAATTATTGTCAGCTGAAGCCTTCAGACCAATAGACTGGGCCACTTATTACTGGCTGTTTTAATTCCACTCATCTTTCCCTCTACATTACAAAATCTGGGGCATCTGACTTTGTTCCTTGGGGTTGTCCAAAGCAAAATCTGCCAAATCCAAAATCATCCACAGGATACACTTGAGGCCCATTATATACTTTTAAAGCACGTAACTTCTCCTAAAGAATAATGGGAACTGCAGTCCATTAAGGGTGCTGGGAATTGTAGCACCGTGAGGGTAAATGACTGTTCCAGGATTCTTGTGGGGGACCCATGTACTTCAAATGTGATTGAAATGTATGATTTGAATGTGACCTTAGTCTTTGTTGGGATGATGCCACAGATGCATAGCGGTGCGGTGGGGGAGGGGAGCTAATGCATTTCAAGGCTGCATTAACAGACGTACAGACTAAGGCTGGTTCTACACAGCCATTTAAGACTATGGGGGGGAAAAGTTATAAAGGTTCACAATGGAAATTATCATAATAATAATAATAAATTTTATTTACATTTATATCATGGACTTTGGATTTCAGCTCTACAGCATCATCTGGTGTCACATTGTTATAACGCATTTCTAACATTATAAATCCACTAATGTAGCTGAGTCCCAAGTACTACTCTATTCTGCCTTGGTCAGAACCCACCTGAAGCCCTGTGTCTACTTCTGTGCACCATAGTTTAAGAAGGATGTTGACAAACTGGGACATGTGCAGAGGAGGGCGACCAAGAGGATAAAGGGTCTGGAGACCAAGTCTTATGAGGAATGGTTGAGGGAGTTGGGTATGTTTAGCCTGGAGAAGAGGAGATGGAGAGGAGATATGAGAACCATCTTCAAAGATCTGAAGGGCTGCCACATGGACGATGAAGCAAGCTTATTTTCTGCTGCTGCAAAGGATGCAATCCAAACAGATGGATTCAAATGACAAGCAAGGATATTCTGACCAAATATGAGGAAGAACTTTCTGAGGGTAGGAGCTGTTCAACAGTGAAATGGACTCCCTCAGAAGGTGGTGGACTCTCTTTCATTGGACTTTCTTAAACCGAGTTTGGAGGGCCATCTGTCAGAGTTTCTTTAACTGAGATTCCTGGGTTGTAGGGGATTGGACTAGATTGGACCCTCATACCTGCAGGACCGCCTCTCCTGGTATGTCCCATAGAGGACCTTATGGTCTTCAAACAAAAACATCTTGGAGGTCCCGGGCCAGAGGGAGGTTAGGCTGGCCTCAACCAGAGCCAGGGCTTTTTCAGCTGTGGCCCCGATCTGGTGGAACGCTCTGTCACAAGAGACTAGGGCCCTGCAGGACCTGACATCTTTCTGCAGGGCCTGCAAGACAGAGCTGTTCCACCAGGCCTTTGGCCAAGGCACAGTCTGACCCCCCTCCTTGTTATGCAAATGAATTGATTTTAGAATGCTGTGTTACTTTTATTGTTGTTAGCCGCTCTGAGCCCGGCTTCGGCTGGGGAGGGCGGGATATAGATAACATTTTATTATTTATTATTATTATGAACCTTGGGATCCCTCCCAACTCTACAATTCTATTATTCTTAGGGTGCTTTTCAGTGGAGTTCCTAGGGGAAAGCAAGAGTGCTGGCGCAAGAAATTATGCCTCCTGAGGTGCAGCCACTGCAACCAAGCCTCATCCCTTCTCTTTAGGGTGGTGGTAGTCCAACCTTCATTCCACTTTCTTATTTTCTGGGCTTCTGCTGCAGTATCAGCAAAGTCCTCTGCCTCCTCCCTCCCTGCCTAGCTCTGGGAAGGGCCAAAGTCCTTTCTTAGAGCAAAGCATTCTGGGTGGGGTGGCCTGAGCCAATGGCATGATTTGCTTGGTGGCCATGATGTCTAAAATAATGGGTGTGTGTGTGTGTGGAGATGTTAAAGTTTCAGTAGCATTTAAACTTTGTTTCCTTATTGTAGGCATCCGTTTTAGCCAACACAGCAAACCATGATGGTGTGCCGCAGGCACCCAGTTTGTTTGGCTCCATTGTAGATTTCTGGCTCATCAGAGTTTAAGCATAATGTCTCGTCCATGATCCTCAATGATCAATTGTTCCTCCTGTAATGGGGGTGGGGGGACTTAAGGTGTGCTTTGCCCCCAAGCAGATTCCATTATTTCATCTCAGTCAGTTCATTTGGATAGGGACAGGGGAGGCCTGTTTATCTTCCATAATTGAGCATCTTCCTGGAGAGCCATTAGGTGTCATTACAAACAGCCCTCGTGCATCCTAGCTCTAATGAGGGAGCCTGATGTGAAATCAATCCTGCCTCGTAATGAACCTGGACCTCTGGCCTCTCCAGAACTATAGCCACCGATGTTTCGGGAGAGAATACAATTAGGTGCCCTCTCACGTTCTTTGCCAAGCCTGCCCCTCCAGGCTGGTGGCATCAGATGGAAGCTTGGCAAGGCTGCTTGCCCAAATGCATCTGTCCAACTATTGAGAAGAGAAGGTTGGATTTGAATGAGACCTTGCCCAGAGAGCCTTGAGGAAAACCAGGTTCCTCGGGTTTCCACAGGATTGTATTTACAGTTCAAAATGGCAGAACTGACATGTTTCTGTGTTTGTTCTGCAGTTCCAAAGATTCAATCCTTCAGAAGGGCAACACCCACTCTTTGGAACTCACTGCCCATTGATAGACAGCGACCTTTGCTGTACTGTTTTTGGTTCCTGCTACAAACTCAGCAATCTACATGGTTCTCAGCAAAGTGGCATGGCTTCTGCCATTTTGCACTTGTTACACACCCAGAGAGACATACGTTGTGGCTTCACAGCCCATGTGCAGAGCCATCCAATATGGTGGGGTCCCTAATATCGAGCAGTTCTGGGTGGGGACACTTTTAATCAAAAGCAGGATTGTTGTTTGTGTTTTGCTTGCCCATTTGACCCAGATTCTGGTTTGAGTATGCACCGTTTCCCATCCAAAAATAGATACCTGAGTAGTATGATGAATCTTAAGCTTGGCCACTGACTTAATAGCTACAAGATTTACCTGCCTCTGTTATTCACACTGAGAGGGAGAAACCATAGGTCTCCACTAGTACTGCCCCATTCGCAAATGGAGAAGCAGATCTACATATATCCACAATTTGGGGGTGGGAATTGGCTAGCTTGCTTACACTGAGGGCTTGTGCCATGTCTAGAAAGCATGGATCCAACCAGTTTTCTACTTGTCCCCTGCTCTCTAGGCAAGAGGTCCAAGTGGTTTTGCCTTAGCCCCACTGCTTTCCCCTGGAAAGCCCACTCTTTGATGCTAAATCATAGAAAGCATCAATCGGGAGAAAACCTAGTTGACATTTGCTCCAATTCAGAGCTAAGCAGTGAGTTTTCCAGGGGAAAGTGATGGGTCAGGTGGAACTGCAGCTGTACCCTGAGTGAGGCAAGGCATGTACAGCAGAAAAGAGGTTAGGATCTGCATTGGGGAACATCTATTGAGTTGCCAATCTTTTTTTGCACCTGTGGACACATGGTGGTGTGAGAACCATGCACACATCACAACCATGCAGGCATGCACCCACAAATTGTACCCACACGCACTTACTCTCCCTCGCACCCCAACAATTAGGCATGGGGAAAGTCATATATTGTCTACAATTTAAGGAGTCTTTCCAGCCTAATTTCAGCAGGGGAGCAGGACCCTGCAAGTGCCCAGACAGGAACCTTTGCAGGGACACAAGAGTTCATGGACAGCACGTTGGCAACCCACCGTATAAACTTCTTTATTTGTTGTGAGTGAGAAGACAGTTCTGCAGTTGATCGTATTGGGAACTTTACTGTCTAATCGATTTGTACAACCTTTGTCTCAGCTGATACAAAGAAGGTTCTTCATCCTTTCCTCCCCTCCATCTCTTTTTTTCTTGAAATCTAACATGGCTCCTTCGTTTCAGTTGCTTGCCACCCTTTCTACCTGCAGGCAATGCTTAGCATTCCAAAGACATTCTCTTAAGGTCAATACAAATTAACGGGAAATTTAATTAAAGTTCCCAGTGCTTTTGCTTAAAGTGGTGTGTAATGGGTATCTTCTATCTGGCCTTCCCGCTACAGCACCCTGCTCACCCCCCACACCACCCCGGAAAAAGAACTTAACTCGAGCTCGAAGGGGGTTATCAATAATGAACAGAGGTAATTTCAGAGGGAGAATTAGAGACTTAATGAAAATGTGGGAAACGTGAAATTATCTTGCAAGTTGCCGGAAAGAGTGGATGGGGAAATGAAGCACTGCGGCATTTCAGCCGAGACTTGCCTTGAGAATGCTGTTCAGGCAGTGAAGAGCAGCTGCTTTCGTTGCTCTGATGTGCATGGCTGTCATACTTGGGCCACCTTCACTCCATACTTTTAAAGAATCCTGGGAGCTGTAGTTTGTTGAGTGTGCTGAGGGCTTTTAGGAGACCTTCCTGTTCCCCTCCCAGAACTCCAATCCCCAGAATTCCCTGGGAACAGAGACTGATCGTTCAGCCACTCTGGAAATCATGGGGGGAAGGGTTCTCCTAACAACCCTCAGCACACTTTACAAAATATAGTTCCTGGGATTTTTTGTGGGGGGATGCCATGACTATTTAAAAGGGTATGGTATTGCTTTAAATGGGGCCTAAATCTGCTAGGAGGCTGAACAGGGAACCTCAAACTTGAGTAGAACCCATAGGTATGTTCCCAATAGCACTTGCTTCAACAATTATTTCCTTCCTTCCATGTGGCTTGTTCACCATAGGAGCCAACTCCTGGGAGCCAATGCCACTTCACCCCCCCCATAAAATACTGAGCGGACTGGGCCCCCACAAAGTTGATGGGCATTGCTATTCAAGTGGTGTGCATGTGCTGCATCATGTGATCGATTATGCAGAGTGGGGCTTACCTGACAACCCCTCCCCCCAATATTTTATTCAAGTTGGCACCCCTGTTGTCTACCATATGCAGGTTTAGTTTTTGGCACAGGCTCAGTGGTTCCAACTTCATAGCCTCATTTTGGAGGTGCTACAAGCCATTGCATTGCCACATACAGTTCTCTCGATTTGCACACCATTAGATGCATATGGACTCCCGGCAATGCCGTTTCCTGCAGTTTGTTTAACTGAATACGTAGGAGCATAAGAAGCTTCCTTCAGAGTGCATTCCATCAGCTTTGACTGGTGGTCCAGCTGTGCCCTTATCTGGACAGGGATAGTCTAACTTCTGTTGTCTATGATCTGGTAAACTCTAAATTAGATTACAGTCGTACCTTGGATCTTGAACCTAATAGATTTGGGGAGTCCATTTGGCTCCTGGACCCGTTCGAAAACCAAGGCGCGGCTTCTGATTGCCTGCAGGAGCTTCCTGCACTCAATCGGAAGCCACGGAAACCATGTAGGAAGTTCAGCTTCTGAAAAATGTTCGCAAACTGGAACACCTACTTCTGGGTTTGCAGCACTCAGGAGCCAATTTGTTCGGCTACTAAGCCATTCGAGAACCAATGTACGACTGTACTGCAATGCGTTATATGTAGGGCTGCCTCTGAAGATGGTTCAGAAACTTCGGGTGGTACAGAATTATATTACAGTGCCAGGCGAAGACGTTCTTCTTCAACCAGGTCTTTGGCTTATTATATTCTACCGCCTTTTAAATGTGTTTGTGGAAGGGGGGTCGTTGCTTTGTTGTTTCTGTTTTAACTTTTTATTTGTGCTTTTATCTTGCATTTTTAACTGGTGAACCACCCTGAGATCTTTTGATGAGGGGCAGAATACAAATCTAACACCCTCATCTTCATCCAGCTCATGATTGTCTGCACTGATTGACAGTGGTTCTGTAGGATTTCAGGCAGAAATCTTTTCCCTGCCCTACCTGGAGATGTCAGGGGTTGAAACTGGGGGCTTGCGCATGCAAAATGGATGCTCTGCTACTGAGCTACATCCTGTCCCCTAAAGTCTGTTGATTTTAAGGTGTCCAGTGTGAATTTGGCTTATTCAGATGCTACTGCCCAGTTTTACTGCACAGCACAGGAAGAGGCTGGCTGCACTGTATTGCTTCCGCTATTGCTGAAGATAACATGGAACAGAGACCTGTGAGATATAACTGAGTGCTGCTGGGCCGGGGGAGAAAGAGATTTGCAGAGAGGTGTTTCAAGCTCTTCTGACCACCCATGTTCATTCACTATTCTGGTAGTTCCTGGTTTTTATAAACAGAAGTTGGTCTCCAGTGGGCGACTTCTGTTGCTGAAGGAATTTAGTCTTCCAGCCAAGGTGTTACATTATATATGCAAAGTAGTTTTTTTCCTTGTGTGGGGAATTCTTAAAATCAGTTTTTAATCGGCCCACAGCATCAAAAAAGAGCGAGCGAGCGAGCTGCTTTTCCACAGCTACATTGGAAGAGGCAATTCCAAAAGCAAGGAGGGTTTCCCAGCTTGTTAGTGCATCTTGCGAGTTTCCCTCCTGAGTTTATTTGAAGCAAGAAATGTTATGGCGTATAAAATAAATCTGAAGTGGCGTGTTTTATTATTGAAAGAAAAAGGGAAAGAAGTCTGGGCAGAATATTACATTCCTCCACTTTTTGAGCTGAATGAATGTGCTCGTGTGTTTTCGAGATAGGCTGGAAGGATTTACTGGCCTGGTTTAATGCAGTCCTTTCCAGTATCTCAAATGACATCACAGCCTGGGGTTTTTTCCCCCTGCCCCCACTTGATAATGAACATTTTATTGCACGTTTAGCAGAATGATTGATTTAGTTCCTAAGCTTGTGTTTGCTGAGTGATATTTTTTTAACATTCGGAAGGAACACATGGAAAGAATCATTTTCCTATACTACTAAAAAAAAATTCAATGAGAAACTCAGAAAAACATTTGGAAAGGACATAAATTATTCCATAAATCGGCACACAGTAGCTGTGTGTAATATTATATCTAAAACTCTCTGCTTGGTCGGTAGAGTAGGGCAAAACTGTGGAGTTGAGGGGACTGTGGTTGTTCCCGTAGGCTAGGGGTGGGCAGCCTTTTCCAGCCCAATGTCTCATGGCCAACTTTTGGGGGGCCACATGCTGGGGGTGAGCAGGGCCAGAGGCAAAAGTGGGCAGGGCAACAGACGCGACTCACTTTTGTACATTGTACATTCTGTCCATGCCAAAGTCAGAGGTTTCGAACACAGATATCTCTCCACCTGGGCAAGCATGAAAGGTTGTTGTTTAGTTAATTCAATTTACACCCTGCCCTTCCTCACAAATGAGCCCAGGGCAGTCAACGACAAGCAATAAAACAGTAAAAACAGATTTAAAGCATCTTAAAAACAATTCCAATACAGCTGCAGAGTGGGCAAGATCTCTGTTTAAAAGTCTTCTTGAAAGAGGAAGGTCTTCGGCAGGCAGAGGAAAGACATAAGAGAAGGTGGCAGTCTAAGATTTAACAGGAGGGGATTCCAAAGGGTAGCAGCCACAGTTCTTACATTGTGCAGAACAGACCTCCTAATAACACGGTATTTGCAGGACATGCCTATGCGATAATTTTCGCATTTTACATCTTTCACATGACGTAAAGGTCACTTCTGAAAATCTAGAGGAAGTTTAGCCCTCATTTACATCTTAATTGCTTCCAGGAAGAAGAAGAAAACTCTTTGCAACCCTGTTAGTTTGGAAAGTCAGAAGAGTTTTGCTCTGTAATTTTCCCACCGTTTTCGTAGATCATGTTATTTGGAGGAAAAATGGGGTAATATTTCAGCGAATAGGGTTTCCCCCCGGGGGAATCCTGGAGGAACAGAAGGGTGGCAACATGTCCAGTCAGGGCCGATGTTGTGTCAAACCGCAGATGTGAATGAAATTTAGTATGGCATGGCAGTATATCAAGCCAAAAGCTACACATTTCTATAATGCAACAGGTAAAGCCATGCAAAAGGAATGTTAGAAACCAGGACAGAACCACATTCACATCATGCATTTAAAACACCATGACACCACTTTAAATAGCCATGGGTTCTTCCCACCCCCAAATAATTAATTCTCCTCACAGAGCTATGATTTCTAGAGTTGCTTAATGATCAGTCCTTCGTCACAGGGAATTATGGAAATTGTAGCTCTTTGTGGGGTAAAGGAAGGCAAGTAAAAGAGTGAAATGAGCACCCATAATGCTGAGAGTTGCTAGGAGACCCCCACTGCCCTTCCAGAACTACAGTTCCCAAAGTGGTTTAACAATCAAAACATCTTTCCAGAGAACTCTGGGAACTGCAACTCTGGGAAGGGGAATGAGGGTCTCCTAGCAACTCTCAGCACCTTAACAAACTTCAGATCCCAGGATTCTCTGGAGGAACCAATGAGTGTTTAAAGTGGTTTAAATGTATGGTGTGGATGTAACCTCTGTATCACCATCTATGCCCCTCCACCTGCTTTCCTAACTCTCTATATTAGCTCTACAACTAATGTCAAACATGGCAAGACAAAATTGTTATTCAAGGCAACCAGATAATCCATTTAAAGGCAAAGAATAAACTCTCTAAACCAGGAAAGAAGGAAACATTACTGACCCTACGTACCAAAGGGATAAGGTGGGAAAGAAGCATAAATCTTTGCTGGGCAATGTTGAGCCTGTTGCTTAGTACAGCTGCCTGGGCAGCCGCCTCCGTTCTCTGTGTGGGCAAGAGGCAAGATCAAAGGAGTTCAGAAGCAAAATTATTTTTTTCTGGCTGACTCATTCACTGGATGGCTCCTGAATTTCTCACTGCCCGTGATTTCCTTGCTGGTTCCGAAACTGTTACTCACAGCACAAAACCCTCACTCACCTCTAGCTTTTTGAAAGCTGTGCTGCCTATTCACATCTGCAGTTCAAATTGTTCTTTAATAAGGCTGAACTTTAAAGCCCATTCGAAGCACATTTCCCCCCCTCAAAGATTTCTGAGCACTGTAGTTTGTTAAGAGTAACTCTGTAAAGGATAAACTACAGTGCCCAGAATACTTTGAGGAGGGATTTGCTTTCAGTGGGGTTTATGGGTATAGCGTGTACCAACCTATAAGGGCTCACCCAAATTTCCACTTGCCCTGCCCCTTTCCCCTAGAGAAACCCACTGTTTACAACTAAATCAGAGCAAACATCCATCAGGTTTCCTCCAAAACGACGTTTGCTGTGATTCAGTACTAAAGAGCACGTTTTCTGGGGGAGGACAGAGGGGCAAAGACAAAACTTCTTGGACCTGTGGTTAGAAAGCAGAAGTGTGGATGAGCCCTAAGATGACCTACAAGTATCAAAAAGCATTTTTAAATGAAAGAGACGACGACGACGAAGATGATGATGAAAGAGATGAGGAGGACGAGAATTTGTATACCGTCCTATAGTTGCAGGTCTCAGGGTGGCTCACAAGATAAAGTCACGATATAAAAACACAAAATACATAATAGAAATAAAAACAAGAACAACCCTGTAATTGCCCCCTCCTCAAAGCATTTTAATGTCAATCAGCCAAAGGCCTTGTTAAAGAGGAACATTTTCACCTGGCACCTAAAGGTGTATATTGAAGGCACCAGCCAAACCTACCTGGGGAGAGCATTTCATAAACGGAAAGCCGCTACAGAAAAGGCCTGTTCTTGTATTGCCACCCTCCAGACCTCTCATGGATGATATTTAATATTATTAAAGAGAAGAGAGCAGTCACAGCAAAGGTCACTCCCACACCATGTATTTAAAGCAATATAATTCCACTTTAAAAAGCCATGGCTTCCCCCAAAGACTTCTAGGAAGTATAGTTTGTTAATAGTGCTGAGAGTTCTTAGGAAACCCCTAACCCCCTTACCAAGCTACAGTTTTCAGAGTGGTTTATCATAGAATTGTAGAGTTGGAAGGGTCCCTGAGGATCATCTAGTCCAGTGATGGCCAAACTTGGCCCTCCAGCTGTTTTGGGACTACAATTCCCATCATCCCTGAATTGGTCCTGTTAGCTAGGGATGATGGGAGTTGTAGTCCCAAAACAGCTGGAGGGCCAAGTTTGGCCATCACTGATCTTGTCCAACCCCCTGAAATGCAGTATCACAGGGAACTCTGGGTGAAAACTTCCTTCATCTCCATCCAGCGCAAGCTGTAGGATGCCAGGGAGTAGGTGGGAGTCATAGTCCAAAATCCCTGGACAGCTGCAGGTTGACTGTTCTAGGTCAGCCTTTGTGCTAATCGTGTAAGGCAGTTTTTAACTCCTTCTGCTAACGGGGAAATATTTAAGCATTGCAAAGCGGATGTTCCAGAGAACAGGCTGAGAAAGGCCATCGGTGCTTGGCTGGGCTGCAACGAGATGTTGCCGCCCCCATTCGGATTTATGGCGTGCATCTCCCATTGCTTTGTACATCAAAGAAGTCTGCATATTGTACAGGCCGACATAATGAGACAGATTGGCTCCAGATCAAACTGCTGTGTGTGTGTGTTTTTTTACAAGTCATTATGATTATCCCATATTGCTTCTCAGGAAGAAGAAAAAGTAGTGATTAGCAGAGGCCTCCTGGGCAGCTGTTTAGCTCCGTTTCCTCTTCCTTGGCTTTGACCCAACAAAGCAACAGCTCCCCTGGCACAGGGGGAGGGGGGTTCTGTGGGGCCAAGAGGTGCCAAAGACCACCTATGAGGTAAGGTGGGGTGGGGCCGTGGCAGAAGACAAACAATGCTTGCATTCAGCGTTGGGCTCCCGATTTCACAAAGGCAGTTGGTAGGCTGAAGCAAGAGTCAGAGGAGAGCAAGGAGGATCCTACAAAGGGATGAAAAATGTATCACCTAGAGTTGCCAATGAATTATCTATCTATCTATCTATTGCATTTCTATCCCACCTTTTCCTCTAGGGTGCTCAAGGTGGTTTACATAGTTCTCTCCATGCTCATTTAATCCCCACAACAACCCGAGTGAGGATTTGAACCCAGGTCTCCTGTATCCTAGTCTGACACTCTGACCATTATGCCAAAGTGGAAGGTGCTGTATGACCCATTTTTTCATGACTTCAAGATTGGACTACTGTAACACGCTCCATGTGGGGCTGCCCTGAAGGTTGGCTCAGAAGGTGCAGCTGGTGCAGAATGGGGTATCTAAGTTGCTCAGTGGGACCTTCTATCACACCAGCAACTGTGTCATTTATTATGATGCCTTTATTGAAGACCATTTTGTGAAGGGTTTAGGCAATCTGGACATTTCTGAATGATATGAAAATTCTGGAGCACATGCGCACCACTCTAAAACTTGATAATAAAGTGAGATTTGGATATGATATCCCTATTTTGAAAATGCGTATGTGTTCTGTTTGGTTTAAAAAAAAACCAGCTGTTGGTCATGTTCATGAATTTACATACTAACTTTTCTATTTGTGTACTTTTTTTTTTACTTTTTTAAATAAATAAGCAAATAAATCCCTGGCTACTGGTCCATTTCCGGGAATAATTCAAAATGCTGGTTGTGATCTATAAGGCCCTATATACATTGGGCTAAGGTTACCTGAAATATCCTATCTCCCTCTATGAACCTGCCTGGGTGCTGAGACCCTCGAGTGAGCGCCATCTCTCAGTTCCCATCAACATCAGAAGCACAGTTGGTGGTGACACGAGAGAGAGCCTTTTCTGTGGCTGCGCCCAGAGTGTGGGAATCCCTCCCAGGAGGGGTTAGACTGGCTCCCCCTCTTATCCTTCCAGCAGCAAGCTAAGACCTTCCTGTTCTGAAAGGCTTTGCATGGGGAAGATGCAGATGACGCTGGCCACTGCATTTTAATTGTTGCTTCCAAATGTGTTTTGCTGTATTTTAGTTATTGTTTTTCACTAGTTTGCTTTTATTACTTTCTGTTTTATAATGTGTTTTTAAATGTTGGAAGCCACCTGGAATCCCAACTTGGGAGAAAGGCATAATCATCATCATCATCATCCAGGAATCAGTGACTTGGAGCTGGCACTGGGCCCATCTTAGTCAGCATTGTACCAGCCCTGATCACACTTATATTCTAGAGCCCCTATTTATTCAAGGGCTCTATCCTCCATCCTTCAATCCCTTGGGGTCTCAAACTGAAGGCAGCTAAGAATAAGGTGTCAAGGAACAAACTAGGTCTTAGCAGAAGGCGTAGAGGAGAGAATTAATAAAGGAATTAGAGCTCGGCCTGGCTTTATGTGGGGTGTTTTTGTTTCTTTGCTCTCAGCTCTGTGCCACTGGCAGCCTCAAGACCAGCCCTCGCTGGCCCCTTAACAGCCAGCATTGATTAAGCACTTAACACGGAGTGATTTACCCATCCATCATTAAGACAGGTGCTCTATAGTTGTGAAAATGCCTGGCTGGAGAAAAGAGCCCTTAACAGTTACACTTACAACTTGCATTTCGCTAAATGAAGAACAAAAGCCATTGAACGCTCAGTAAATATTTATTGGCGTAACAATAAAGTGATGATTGGAGAGTCTTTTGGGTGAAGGAGAAACGGGCTTGGCTGAGCTCAGATGCAATCCAGCCGAGAGGGAGCACAGGAGGAAGCTGAAGAGGGCCTCTAACATTTAAAGGAGTCATATTTGTCTGTGTAGCATAATACTATAAGAACAGCTCTGCTGGATCAGGCCAGTGGCCCATCTAGTCCAGCATCCTGTTCTTACAGTGGCCAACCAGATACTCGTGAGAAAGTGGCAAGTAGGACCTGAGCACAAGAGCACAGCAGTTTCCAGCAACTGGTATTCAGAAACAACCACTGTTTCCAGCAGTGGAGGAAGAGCATAGTCATTGTGGCTGGTAGCCATCGATAGCCCTCTCCATGAATTTGCCCAATCCTCTTTGAAAGCAATCTAAGCTGGTGACCATCACAGCCTCCTGAGGGAGCGAGTTCCATAGTTTAACTCTGCAATGTGTGAAGGACTTTCTTTGATCAGTCCTGAATCTGTCTTGAAGATGCTCAAATGAAACTGGAACAAGCTTTGCTTTTAACCAAGGATCAATAAGCCCCCTTGATGGCCTTCCCTTTCTTTTGTACATTATTCTTTCCAAAAAGCACTGGTGTCCTTGAGATGTTCACTCTTGATCTGGGCTTCTGGTGGAATAGCTCATGTTATTATACCACTGTGTTATGATCACTAACAAAATCCATGTCCATGTAGATCACAGTGGTAACACAGTCAAACTAGGGCCGGTCGCTATCATTAGGCAGAGTCAAGCGGCTTCCTCAGGTGGCAGATGCATAGGGGTGGCAGTCATGAGACCCAGGACAGAGTTGTGTGTATCTCCTCCTACTCTCCCCTACACTAGCCTGTCAGAAGACTGTCTAGACTGCTGGCCCATTCAGCTTCAGTACATGGAATGGAGGGGCATCTTCTACCAACTTTAGCTGGTGCACCAGCTGCTACCATTCCTGGACCTGTTTCGCTGAACACAGCGGCTCATTCATGTCCTGGCTCCCAGTTGCTGTAGAACAAAGACCTGAAGAAGGATTCTTTCCAAAGGCTTTAATGCTTAGATCACTGCAGTGCAGATGCAAATTGCTGGCTTAAGGCACTCCAGGCAATGCACACGGTTAATCCCAAATTCAGCTGCAACAAAGGCAGGTGCTCCAACTGCCAAAGTTTTAGACGTTGATCCGACACTGCTACACCCCTTGGCATCCTATATATAGGAATGAGCCAGGCTCATTTTCGGGCAGTAAGCATTTCTGAAATCTCTCGCTACGCCTAGTAGGCTCTCTTCTCTTTTGGTTCCTCCTAGACCTAGGTGATGGAGAATGTGTCTCTGCCTCCTGAGAGGTGGCTGGGATGGGTGAACCTTTTCCCTTGAGGTAGGCAGAGCTACTCCCAGCAACAAGATGGGCAGTGCAATGAGCACCATAGGAATGTCAGATGGAGAGGGGTGGGGATGGAGAGGGAGGCAGGACATGTGGCTCTCATTCTGGGAACAGATGAGACAAGAGAGCTGGTTGAGGGAAGCCTCACCCCCAGTCCTTGCTTAGCCACCCAGGTTCTCGGCCAATCTGCAATCTGCATCATCCTGACTCAGACAGCCCATGACAATTCGCTCATTACGTCAAGACTCAATTACTGTAACACGCTTTATGTGGGGCTGTCTAATTATGAGGATTGTATCTCATGATTTCGGTTTCTCCTTATTCAAATCTTTACGTTCAGTTTCCTACTTTTTCACATCAATTTTTGTCTGTGTGTGTGTGGTTTTTTTCTCATGAAATTTTGTCAGCAGCTTCAGTGCAGATTTCCTGCGTGAGTGTTTTTCCAAAGCATGGAAGCGAGCACAATCTTTTGCTGTGAATGTCTGCAAGTGGCTGGTGCTGGCAGAGTCACAAGACTCCTTTGGAAAAGCTAGCAACACCAAACTGAATAATATTGTTATATCTTATTATGTGGCTGCTTCCAACACTGCAGCTCTGCTCCTGCAACAGACCCCCTCCTCTCCCTCTGCCTCTCCTGTCCCCTCCAGCCCCACCCACAGGCACCCTCAAAATCAGAGAATATTTAGGGATTCGCAGGGGAAAGAGAAGAAGTTGTGCGAGTGGAACTCTGTGCAGCCCTGGATACAAATAAATAAATAAATAGCAGTATTACAGGAAAGGAGAAGCGTATTGTCTGAATGTGAATATCCTCCAGAAGTTTTTTTTCCCAAACAGGAAAGCTTTTCTGACACATTTCACATAAGTACATGCTAAACTTCTTCCTTCTCACACACCCCTCCCTCCCCCAGATCTTTCCTAATTTCTGACATCTGATTGTCATTAAAATAATTGACATGCAACTGAACTGTTTGGTATTCCTTTTCCAGTGGGGGAAGGGGAACTTGGCTCCACTCCCGAAAGTCTCGTTGAAATGGGTTCATGGCCATCCCCACCGCTCAGAAATGTCCTGTGACCAAAGCCCGGATCTGAAAGAACGCAGAGCATTAATGTTTGACATGTGGAAGCCCTGGGCGTGGGATGTGGTGGGGGACGGTGAGGAAGAGAGCAGGAGCATGGCTGATTTTTATTTTTATTTTAAGGCTCTGACCGTGTATGGAAAAGAGTATAATCTGCGAATATTAGTTGCAAGGGGAAGATTCCCCTTAAATATGGCTCTAGGGTTTTGGGCTGGTTAGGAATTGTGAATGTTTGATGAAATATTTTAATACACTAAATCCTGCCTGCCATTTGTCCACCATCTCCAGCTATTGGCAGAACTGCTGTGATGTCATGGTGTGTTCATGGATGTTCTGCTCACTTCCTGCATTGACAAAATTCGGACAAGTCATTCAGATCCTTTCAGGGAAATAGTCTTATTTTTCCATATATATATATATCACAGAGTCTTCAGATGGGAGAAAGCTTTGCACTGCTGATATATAGCAAGGGGGGACATTAAAAAATTTAATTAATCAAGGTGGCATCCACAGTTCTCCTCCTCCCCATGTTATCCTCATAACAACCCTTTGAGGTAGGTTGGGTTGAGAGTGAGTGACTGGCCCATGGTCACCTGGAGAGCTTCATGGCTAAGTGGGGATTTGAACCCTAGTTCAGCACTCTAACCACAACATCAGCTCTCTAATCTGAATCTGAAGGGAAGAGGGTCCAGAAGCTGAAAGGTAGGGAATGATGGGAATGAACAGTAGGTTGATAATGGCAAGATAGAAGTAGATGCATTGAGGTCAAAGAGGAACAATGGGATAGGAAGAGCCCTAGGAAAAAAAAAATACCGCTGAGCTGAGGTACATGGGAAAGAACACAAGCAGATGCTTCATACTGAGTCAGACCCTTGGTCCAAGTAGCTCAGTATTGTCTACACTGCAGCAGCTCTCCAGGATTTCAGACAGGGGGCATTGCCAGCCCTACCTGGAGGTGCCATTGGGTATTGAACCTGTGACCTTCTGCATGCAAGGCAGGAGCTTTGCCACCGAGTTACAACCCTCCAACTTTGCACCAGCCACCACACTTTGCTCCCTGTTGCTCGTCCCATGTTTGCTGCACTCCAGTCAGGGAGGCGCCAACATCTTGGGAAGGCTTTTAAGTGGGTCTCGTTTTCCTGAGGACGAGGCTGGCAGATAAGTCATGAAGTGACAGGAGAACAAACTGGTGTTTGGAGGCGCCGTGGAACGGAAGAACAATGGTCCCTTTTTTAAAACCTGCACCGTGCCAGAAACCTCAGCCAGTTAGCAAGAGCTGTCAGTGTTTGCTGACTGCCCGGTCTTGGAAGGGCAATTTGATTTGGTAGCTTGAGGACACGGCATTGTATCGCCTTGTGACCTGGCTCTTCAAACCGTGCCCAATTTGGAGTGCCCGCTCCCCTCTGCGTCTATGAAGTGTTATCTTTGCAGCTCCCAAGAGTATTACTCACTTCAAGGCTGCGGCTGAAACCCAGAGAGCTTGTTTTCAAGTTTATCAAGAATGCCCAACAGGTCATCGCAGCTTTCAAGCATGAATGCAGGTCTTGTTTTTTTGTTTGTAAAAGAGCCCCAGGTGGCAAGCCACACACAAACACAAGGGAGGGTTCTGTCCTTACAGCACCAAAAGGAATATACACACAACAAAGACTCCAAGTCCTCTTTGTTGTTATGCTGCAACAGACTCACAACAGCTGGGGAAAGTTAATTGTTCCATAGCACTAATGCATGCTCTGGTAACTCCTGATTAGGCTACTGCAATGGAGTATCTGGTGTGAGATGGGGAAGAAAACCCGAATTCTGTTCACATTTAATTCCATTTTTTTTTCTGAAACAATACGAAAAATGAAACACAGTTCCCCTGCGAAATCTGCCCATCTCTGAATTTTGCAATTCAGTTCTCCCATGCATATATCAGCAGGAAAGGAACATTAAAGTAAATATATTGGAGACAGTAACATACAAAAATGCATTATATTAGGGGGAATTCAAAATAAAATAACAGAAAAATTTCCTGCTGACTATATATATATATGTATCCACAAATCGATGTGGAAATCTGTAGAACTTGAACAGATGATTCAAGAAATAAGAAAACTGAGTGGATAGATTCTCTCATATTCATATATGTGCATTTTTTAAAAAAAAAAAATCTGGCTTTAAAATAGTGTTATTATTTGTTTTTCAGTATATATATTGTTCTGAAAATTTTAAAAAGTAAATTAAAAGCTCCTTGTTACAGTCTTGGTGCAATGCCAGTATCTGGGTAAAGCCACAGTCCCCTCATAATACAACAGTCACTGCAGTGTGAAAGGAATGTTAGAAAACAGGATGGAAGCACTTGCATTATAATCAGGAAAACCAAAGCAGTATGGAACTCACAGGTGGAGAATATTTATATTTTTATATGTCTTTATTATTGGTAAAGAAAATCTTTACATGAGTAAATACTTGATTAGCCCGTTGGATCTGTGCTATATCTTTGTACTTTTGTCCTTCCAGGCTGCAGTGCTTTATATTTTTAATTTTTGGTTTTCTTAGGCTTGCATTTTTTGTGTCTGTGGACAAATCAATGATACACATAATTTTTTAAAAAAGAAAAAGTAAAAAGAAAACCAATGCGATCTTATTTGTATCTGATTGCACCCATAGAGAGTTGGTGGGGGTCTGAAGGATGTAGAATTATCGAGGCAGGATCCTTACCAGTGCCCTTTTATTTCCCCAGAAACTTGATGCCCCGCACCTTGGAGGGACAGATCACCATGGAGAAGACACCGAGCTACTTTGTGACCAAGGAAGCCCCCCGGCGCATTTACAACATGTCCAGGGACACCAAGCTGATTGTGGTGGTGCGCAACCCGGTGACACGGGCCATTTCAGACTACACACAGACCCTTTCCAAGAACCCCACCATCCCTAGCTTCCAAGCCTTGGCCTTCAAGAACATCAGCACGGGCCTCATCGACACCACCTGGAGTGCTGTGCGGATCGGCATTTATGCCAAACACCTGGACAGCTGGCTGCGGTATTTCCCCCTGTCCAAGTTCCTCTTTGTCAGTGGGGAGAGGCTGGTGAGCGACCCAGCCGGGGAGATGGCCCGCGTCCAAGACTTTCTGGGGATCAAGCGGGTGGTGACAGACAAGCACTTCTACTTCAACGAGACTAAGGGCTTCCCTTGCTTGAAGAAGCCCGAAGGGAGCAGCCGACCCCGGTGCCTAGGGAAATCCAAAGGGAGGCCGCACCCCAAAATCGACCCGCAGGTCATCCGCCGCCTGCAGGAGTTCTACAGACCCTTTAACATGAAATTCTACCAGATGACAGGGCAGGACTTTGGCTGGGACTGATGGAGAGACCCCTTCACGTGACGGGGGAAAGTTGAACTTGCTAGAGGGTGGACTGGCCCTATTCCCAGCAGCCTGTTGAATACTGCAGGCCCCTCCGACACACAGTTGTAGGGCAAGGGACGTCTGAAATGGGTCTCGGGTCAGGGGGGACGTCTCCTTTTCGTTATAATTTATATCACCTCTTGCCAGTAAGGAAGAAATGTACGCTTACCGAGTAGAGAGAAAGTATTTAAGTTTTGTTTTTGTTTCGTTTTTTAAACACCATCAGCAACAGAAGAGATCAAGTCCAGGAAACCCAGATCTGACGAAATATTCTGCTGAATAAACCTGGCTAATATAGACAAGGCATGGAAGTTTTTGAAGGAGTGTGAGTGAGTGACAATGCGAGCAAGGGAGGAAGAACGCAGAACACAGCCTTGACTAATGGCACAGCCCACTATGTTCTTCTCCACACATCCTTTGGGATGAATCCAACTTTAGTCCTGCTCAAGGTCAGCCTTTTGATATTGATGGACATAACTAATGTTGAGCCACTGATTTCAATTGATGTGCTCTGGGCAGAACTAAGGCCACATTCACACCACTAGGATCCCATAAACAGGCATAGCTCCCACTCCAAAAGAATTCTGGGAACTGTAATTTGTTAAAGGAGCTGAGAGTGATTAGGAGAACCCTGTTTCCCCCAGAACTAGTTTAAGAATCAGTCCCTCTCCCTGAGGAACACTGGGAATTGTAATTCTCTGAGTGGAATAAGAGTCTCCTAACGGCTCTCCCAGTTCATCCACCTGGGAGCTGATCAATGTTCTCCAAGTGGCATGTGAGAAGAGCCTCCTTCTGTGCAAATAATGTTCTAAGATGTGGAGCAAGCAGGCCAGCATGTTCTGGCCCATTTGACCACTGCAACAAGTGGATATCATAAGATGAACAACTACAGACAAAGTTGCCCCACACATGCACAGAATCTGCATCTGTGATCAAAGAACACTGAGCAAGGAAGTGGTAGGTTCATAAAAGGATCAGTGGTGGACTCTGAAGTCACTTCCACACCATATATTTTAAGCATTGTTATACCTCTTTGAACAGTCATAGAATTGTGAGAACTGCAGGTTGTCAAGGGTATTGAAAGTTGTTCAGGGAGCCCTATTCCTCTCACAGAGCTACAATTTCCAGAGGGGTTCAACAATCAGTCCTTCTTCCCTAGGAACTCTTGGAATTGAAGCCCTGTAAAGGGAATAGAGGGTCTCCTAACAACTTTTAAGCATTGTGGCTGTTCATTTCACTCTTGCCTTGCAGGGTGGGGAGGTCTGCATCCTAGGATAACATCCCCATGCAAACCTTTTAGAGAAGAGGCCTGTTGTTCTCTTTTTGCCACAGATCTGGCAAATGCTAATCCATTTTTTTATGGCCCCTCAAAACATTTCTGTGAGAAATATGAACTAATAAAAGGGAAAAAAGCTCTGAATAGACTCCAAATGTTTAAGATCTCTTTTCTTCTTAAGTGTCAGGCACTGTCCTGCATGTGCTGTGCAAACTCACGGATCAAGATGGATGCTTCTACGAACAGGATCGAAAGGCAATACCCGAGACAAATAATTCCCTGGAGCGAAATCTAGAGAGGGTTATATGAGCCTTAAGTGCCTGTAACAGGAGACTTAACAAGTCTTTGTTTTCTCAAACTATTTAGCCCTCCAGCAATTTAGTACAGGTGTTGCTTAAGGACTCTTCAGCCTTCTTTGAGGACTACACACAGTCACAAGCCCTCTTCAGACAGCTAGTTAATCTGTTGACTGAAAAAGCAAAGAGCCATACTGACATGAATCAAATGTATGTCCAATTGGAGCCTCTACAACATGCCTAGTTTTCTGCTCGGGGGGGGGGCTTGCAAGTTTTATGCATACCCTCCAACATTTCTCCAATGAAACTAGGGTTGTCTTATTCAATAATAATAATAATAATAATAATAATAATAATAATAATAAGTGTTCCTCCAACCACTTTGGGCGGCTTCCAACATATATAAAAACATAATGAAACATTAAACATTTTAAAAACTTGTATATACAGGGCTGCCTTCAGATGTCTTCCAAAGGTTGTATAGTTACTTATCTCTCTCTTTTTTTTAAATGATATTTATTGAAAAAGAAAAAAAAAATTTTTTTAAGTTACAAAAAAAAAACAAAGCAGAAAAAGAGAAAAACAAACCACTTCCAACCATACATATACAAATTCAAAATAAGGAAGAAAAAAACAAAAATACACCACAAACATTTAAAAACATTTAAAAACAAATCCATTATTCTCAACTCCTCAACTGTCATTACCCTCTTTCCTTGACCTCCTCCTCCTCCCCTTCCTTGTATCCTGTTTGTTAATTGTCACAGCAAATCCTTTCCATATTTCATAATATTCTGTCGTTACATTACCTTAAACTATTTTAATCTTATCTTACTATTAAAAAACCTTGAGACTTAAAACTTAAATCTTATTTTTACCAACTTCTCATAACCATAATATTCTTGCATAATTCTTTAAACATTTTTACTAAAGCCAAGTAATTTCATTCCAACATTTTTCTAACATTCATCAATTTTATAAAACAGTCCTAGTAGTGAAAAAAAGAAATAAAAACAAATCCAATCATCATCCAGCGTCCCTTCCTCCTGGTCCCGGGTTTTGTCAGTCCTCATTATCCCATCAATCTGGCGCATTAACCTGGTAATCTTATATCCGAGGCCCTTAAGTCCCTTCCATGTCCCTTCCGCAGCTCTTCTTCATATTTATAGCTGTATTTTCCTTTGTCTCCTGCTCCTTTCACTCGTGGGAACTCCACCTTAGCAGTATTTTTGACCCTTCTCGACAGATCAGCCCCTTTTCCATAATCAACACTAAATTCCATGTGGTATTTAAAAACATGTTTCAGAATCCCTCCAAAATTAAGAGCCCCCACAATCCCAAACATCTCACGGCCCATTGCCAGACTTGAAAAGTCCAATTTCATAGGAGGGTCTATCCAACCCCCCATTTCCAAACCAAACCAAACTTTTTCTTTCCAAATCTGGCTTTTTCCAAGTTCATTTGTCAAATCCGAAGCTCATATTCCTGTAGGGCCTGTTCTATCAAGACACACTCCTGATTTAATTCCTGGGTGGGCTCCACATATTTTCCCACTGCCTGTTCAAAATTTCCCACTGCCTGTTCAAAATTTCTAATCGAATCAGCCATCAAATTCGTCTTCTCATGTAACTGTTCCAGTAGGGCATTTGTTTTATAGAAAGCACACAACAGAGCTTCTGAATACATTGTCCTGAAGGTCAGATGTCTATTCCCACGATTGTAATCTGTAACAGATGCCAGCTCCCAGGAGTTGGTTACAGTTTCACAGTCTCCCTCTAGGGGGAAGACTTCTGTTTAATCTTTCTTTTAAAGACAAGTCTAGCAACAGAGTTTCCTTTTTTCAGATATTTTGTCAATATTTGTTCCTTTAAGGTGCGAAAGGAAACAATGGAATCACTGTGTTCCTCTTCTTTTAGCTATCTGTCAAAAGCGCTTATTTCTGGTCGATGAGCTTCAAACGTCAGTCCTGACACCCCGCTCCAGGATCAGGACGGTGGAAAGTTACTTTACTTTAAACTCACTTCTGCAGGTTTAAACAGTCCAGAAACGATCCCCTTCTTCTCCTGCTGCCGAAGGGGGATTCAACAATTTTAAATGATGAAAGCCAATCCTTTAGAGGCGATTTTCTGAGCTCTAGTTTACGTTGTCTTTGCTTTATTCTGTCTACAAAGAAACGGAAGGCTGACTTCCTGTTTAGACCTTCCCGTTTCAGTACCAAATTGAAGTAAAATTTTTAAGTCCAATTCCTTTCTGCTCGCAAGTCCTTATTTAAAGTCCAATTGTTCAAAGTTTAAGTACTCACGGGTACTTTGTTTAGAAGCCAATTTGTCCCAGGAGAAAGGCAGCGCTCTCCGGCAACAGCTGTGCGGCTTCGCTCCACAGAAATAGCAGTTGACTCACAGCACCGCGCCACTTCCCCCTCTTCGCTTCGGAGCCCATTAGTGGGTTCCTTTGCGGGTTGGGGGGGCGCTAAGGGTGCCCGCCGAGTCCCATGGTCACAGGCTTCATCCGCCTGTGATTTTTAAAAGGGTCCCCGCTTCGCCGTAGCGGAGAAGACCCGTTTCGCGCGGAGCTAGTCCCTCCAATTCAGAGGGAGTCCGCCATTGCCGATGGCGCCACCCCGGAAGTTATAGTTACTTATCTCCTTGGCTTGGGGATCGCATAACTCCATATCCTCCAACATTTCCCCGATGAAAATAGGAGAACGTTCCTGGAATAGCAGAATGTTCCGGGATCAAATCAGAAATTGGGATGGTTTCTGTAAATCTGGGACTGTCCTTGGAAAATAGGGACACTTGGAAGGTCTACTTTGTGTGCATGAACACCAAAAATAATACAGTGACATCAACAGGCAGGGAACTCCAAAGTGTAGGCACCGCCACGCTAAAGTACTGATTTCTTCAAAGTGGTCAAGCGGGCACATGCAGGGTAGAGCAAATCTGGAGTGATATGGGGCAGCCACAAAGGCCACCATAGGAAAAGGCCCCTTTGCCACAATGAGCCCTCCTGCCTCGATGGAAGCGCTGTGCCAGGTGCCCTGCCAGGGGTTGGATGTCAAAGCCGAGGGGACTCCGTTGTCACTTTTTGCCAACGCCCCCCCGCCCCCATGATGGACTGCCCCCTGCTTGTTTAGGTTTTGTTTCCAGCCATGACATTCGACCAAATTATTCTCCGGCAAGGGCTTTAAAGATTCCCAAGAGCCCGTGAATGCCGGGAAGTTCCGATAGTGATCCTATTTCTCAGCTGAGTGCCTGCATTCAGGCCGAGGTCCATTGATATGCAAAGCGCCCAAAGGGTCCCAGCTCTGAAAGATGGTTTGTGTCTCTGCCTTGTGAAAAAGGGGAGTTTGGGGCTCGAGGGTCTTTTTTCCTTCCCCCTCCCCAGCTCGACAAAGGGAAAGGCCTGAATCTCCAAAGCCACACAATGCCTTATAGAGTGGAGCTTTTCAAGCATCTGACGTGACCCCAAAACGCATTGAAAGCGAGCATTTGCCTTGCAGACTCATTAAGAGCTCTCAATGGGCTCTTGGCAGAGGCCAGGGCTGAGGCTGGCCGCCCGGATTAAGACTTTTGAAGTGTTACACGAACCCCCTGCTTAAACTAATTGCTGCCCCACCGCTCAGGGGGTCAAGTATTTGCATTCATGGCATTGAACAGGCACCACTTGTGGGGTTGACCAGGTGAAACCGCTACTTCATTAGACGGGGACAATAAAAACAACCCCTCGTGGGGGGGAGGAAGAGGGGAAAGGTAGCTGAAAGGGGAAATGGTCAGATCTTTCCAGAGGATCCCCGCTGCATTCAGAAAAAGCCCTCTTGTTACTGCTGCGAGCTCGCTGGAGTTAAGAGTTGCAAAATGGAGCAAGCCATTTTTAAGTGGGGGACGGGACGGGCGCTTTTGTGGAAGATCTGTCAAGCTATTTGGTACATCGCCCGCTGGGCCTGTTTCAAAGGCAATGTGTTTTTAATGGTTTGCCATCTATCCAGATCATTGTGACTGTTAGCCTGGGTTCTAATCTCCAAACAGCCATTGCAGGAGGGCAATGTGGTACAGAACCCAGCCTCCTAAGAAGTGCAGTTTTCAAGGATGTGGAGTGTGTGTGCATCATTTTTGTTTGTTTAAAAACAAGTTCCTAGTCCCTATGGATGCAAGGCTGCAGGGCAACTCCTGCTGAATCTCAGGTGCCAGAGTGTGACTGGTTAGATAAGATTCCCCAAGGTCAGAGGGAGGGGCTTCAGTGTGCTCCTCCCCATGACTGACAGAAGCAGCATAAATTATGCAAAACAGTAGAAACGAGACCATTATACGACATAAGAATAATTGTGCAATTGGCTTGATTTGCATAATGCACCACCCAGTTCAGCTCTTGATCTTACAGACTTTGGGTTGCTTGAAGGCAGAAGCGGCTGTGGAGAGCTGGCATACTGGAAGCAGTACAAGGCTTTCTGGAGCTTGAATTCCCACAAGCCCAACCAGACATTGCATCTCAGCCTAGCGTACCTCATCGCAACGTATGTCACAGGACTGCTGAGAGAATGCAAGTGGGGATCTTGCCCTGCATTCCGTCCTAATGGTAGAATTAAAACAGCATTCTTCAACCTGGGGTCCTCCAGATATTATTGGACTACAATTCCCATAATCCCTGACCACCGGCCATGCTACCTGGGACTGATGGGAGTTGCAGTCCAACAACATTTTAAGGGCACTAGGTTCCCTAGCCCTAGTATAGATTGCATACAGAGCCCAGAGAGAAAAGAAACTGATATTACCGAACTGGGTAAACTGTACAAAACCAGTCAGCGGTTTTCCTTTCTTTGCAAGCCTTTTTCATAGCAGGGAGACATGCAACTACACTTGCAGGGAGGGGAACTCCCTCAGAACTACCCAGCCAATCAGAGAATAAGCTACCTCAGCAAGAATCATGCAATTCTGACTGGTTGCTAGGCAACACCTCTAGCACCCTGTTGACTATCAACAAAATTAACCCTTAGGTACTAACTGAATGATTATTCCTGTTGTACTTCCAGCATATATGGTTTCTTATTCCTTGGGCCTCATTGTCTATTCCAGTCCTTGACAATATAGTGAACAGTTTATTCCAGCCCAAGATGTCAAAGGCTTTTTCTAGATCAGTTAACCCTAGTTGTGATTCCCTCTTAATTTCTAGATCTCTCTTGGTCCCTATTTGGATTACAAGCATGGCTTCCCTGGATCCTCCTTGCTTCTTAAATCCAAATTGTATCTCAGTTGTTCATCCCAACCTTTCTCTGCATAATCTTTTGCTGGTATTTTGGAAGCACAGGTTAATAACTCTGAGGCTCTTTGCATTTGCCTCCTGCCTGTAAGAACAGTTATAGTGGCCCAGATTGACTGGCATGTTTTGCTACTCCTGTCCATTTCTCTGATTAATTTAAACAGATGTTCCTTGAAACCATCTCCTGCAACTTTCATGAGTTCAACTAGGAAATTATTTGTTGTTGCTGTTGTTGTTATTCCTTCTCATGCTCCTTTTAGTCTAAGGCCACTTCCAGGCTCATTATTTTGTGAGGATGATTCGGGAGAAAGTTTTTCTCCTGTCTATAACTTCCTCTGAATGCTATTTCCATATTTCTGCAGTCTTTTAATCTTCTGTCAACAAGATCCATTGCTCACTTCCGACAGTTGCATTCCTCTCACCACTTAACATTTGTTTACAATCTGATAAACCTTAAGAACAAGGGAGTTACCTTATAATAATGTAAGAAGAACCTGCTGGAACAGACCAATGGCCACTCTTTCCTCACATTGGCTGACCAGATGCCTGTGGGAAACCCACAAGTAGAACCTGAGCAGAAGAGCCCTCTGCCCTCCTATGGCTCCCAGCAGCTGGTAGTCAGAAGCATTTCTGCCTCCAGCTGTGGAGGTAGAGCACATAGCCATCATAGCTAGTAGCCATTGATAGTCTCCTCCTCCTCCTCCAAGAATTTGTCTAATTGTATTTTAAAGACATATAGATTGATTGCCTTCACTGCCTCCTGTGGGAGTGAGTTCCAGAGTTTAACTCAGTGCTGTGTGAAGAAGTACTTTCTTTTACAGTGGTGCCTCGCAAGACGAAATTAATCCGTCCCGCGAGTCTCTTCGTCTTGCGGTTTTTTCGTCTTGCGAAGCACGGCTATTAGCGGCTTAGCGGCTATTAGCGGCTTAGCGGCTATTAACGGCTTAGCGGCTTCGCGGCTATTAACGGCTTAGCGGCTTTAAGAAAAAGGAAACAAACTCGCAAGAACTCGCAAGACGTTTCGTCTTGCGAAGCAAGCCCATAGGGAAATTCGTCTTGCGGAACGACTCAAAAAACAGAAAACCCTTTCGTCTAGCGAGTTTTTCGTCTTGCGAGGCATTCGTCTTGCGGGGCACCACTGTATCTTTCCAGAAGTGATAGTTCAGCTGGCAGCGCATGAGACTCTTAATCTCTGGATTGTGGCTCCGAGCCTCATGTTAGGCAAAAGATTTCTGAACTGCAGGGGGTCGGACTAGATGACCCTCGTGGTCCCTTCCAACTCTATGCTTCTATGAAAAATCTTCCAACATTCAGCTTCTTTGGATTCCCACGAGTTTAGTAGCATGAGAGAGGGAGAAAACTTTTCTCCATCCACTTTCTCCATGCTATGTATAATTTTATAAACTTCTATCATGTCACATCTTACATTTTCTCTAAAGAAAAATGCCCCAAATTCTGCAACCTTTATTCGTAGGGGAGTTGCCCCCACTCCCTTGATCATATCGCTTGCCCTTTTCTGAAACTTTTCCAATATCTTTTTTGAGGCAGCATAACCACAACTGTGCGCAGCACTCCAAATGCAGTCACAACATAGATGTGCAACTGGTGATGTGCAGTGGGAGGCATCTGGCTCTGACATCTGAAGGGAAGATGCCTGGGAGGGTTTGGGCTCTGGCCCTACAGGCTTTGGTGGTCTGGGAGGTTCCCCTGAGGACTCCTGTCCAATGGTCTCCCTGCCTTTGGTGGCCAACTCTGAGCTCTGAACCTGATCCCACTCCCCATCTGGTGCTTCTGCAGCCTCCCACTCAGTGTCCCCATTACTGCTAGATTCAGGAGTCACAAGAGCTAGGACATCAGAGCACTTGAATCTGCTTCATTTGCACATGCCTGAGATCCCAGTATGCGACAGAATCCATCCCGCAAAATACAAACAGCCTGGAATCATCCATAGCCATTACATTTTGCTGCCTGATACAAAGAAGGCACACGTAAGCCAACCAAATTGGCAGCTGGATCTTCCACACAGGTGACAGGACAGCATCCCTCACTGCAGCTGAAGGCCATAGGCTAGCTCAGGGGGTTCAGAACTTGGAAACCCGGGACACATAGCATTATCTTCCAAACACCTCGCTGCAGCTCCCTCGCCTTACAGCACCTGCTGTTTAGGGAAACGCCATAGCTCAGTGGCAGAGCATTTCCCTTGCATGCAGAAGTTCCCAGGTTCAATCCCCAGCTGCCCCAAGTAGAGCCCCTGCCAGTCAGCATAGGCAATACTGATCTGGATAGCCCAATTGTCTGACAAGAGAAGGCAGCTTTCTAAGCTCCTACATAATATTGCCCTTATTGAGAACTGTAAGGACTAGAATCTTACTTAATGTTTAGGAAAGGGACATAGTAATAGAGCATTTGCCTTGTGTGATGAAGGTCCTAGGTTCCAGCATCTCCAACTGGGGCTGGGAGTGTCCCCTGCCAGAAACCCTAGAGAGCTGCTGCCAGTCAGTGTAGACAGTATTGAGCAAGTTGGATCAGTCATCTGACTCTATAGGTTCCTAAGTTCCTATTAAAACACTTGTGAATGTTTTCAGCTTGATCGCCGGGAAGGAGTTGCAACTCACCCCTGTGCCGGCAACACCCTCTGCTTGAGACAAAAAAAGGCACAGAAGCATTGTCAAGAAATAAACAATGAAGGAAGGAAGGGTCACTCACTCTCCACGACTGCCCTAGCTTCTTTTCCCCAAAGCTCTTGGAGTTTTCTGTTGGGATTCCCACTATTTAAACATTTGGGGCTAAAGTGTCAGCTATATTCACCTTTTCTGGCAGGGTCAGCAAGCGATCATGTGACCTTGTCACTCACCCATCGTTGATTCCATCTCGCCGGCTTTCTCGTCATGTGACCCTGTCAAGTGTTTGGACAGAGGGCAGCGTTCGCTGTCAAGAGAGATTAACTTGCACAGAGAAAGTTGCCCATATGGAGATGAGTGTTTGGAATATACAGTCGCTGGGCTTCTTGACTTCTGCTCAAGCCAGTTTCCTTCAGTGGCGACAGAGGTGGGTGGGAGAATTGCAGGGGAAATGCATTCATTTTCTTAGATGAGTAGCCTACCCTACACCCAAGACAGGAGGTGGGCAGCAATATTTAGATCTGGTTCATCTCTTTATCTCTTAAACATAGAATGGTGTGGAAAGAAGCCTCCTAGTGATTGTAGTGATTGCCAGTCCCTCAAGCAGCTACAGGAAGCATGGCCTTGAGATTCCCTGGTTTCACTTCAACCTTGGTATTTTGGGCAAGGAAAGAGTGCCTAGCAGCAATCTATAGCCTTCTCCTTCCTTCATTTGTCCAGTCCTCTTTTGAAACTTTATGAGGAATGGTTGAGGGAGTTGGGGATGTTTAACCTGGAGAAGAGAAGACTGAGAGGTAATCTGATAGCTATCTTCAAACATCTGAAGGGCTGTAACATGGAAAAGGAAGCAAGCTTGTTTTCAGGTGCTTCAGAGGATATGACCTGAAGCAGTGGATTCAAATGACAAGTAAGGATATTCTGACCAAAACATTAGGAATAACTTTATGAGGGTAACAGCTGTTCAGCAGTGGAATAGACTCCCTTGGAAGGTGGTGGACTCTTCTTCACTGGAAGTTCTTAAACTGAGTTTGGATGGCCATCTGTCAGGGATTATTTAGCTGTGATTCCTGCATTGCAGGGGATTGGACTAGATGACCCTTTGAGTCCCTTCCAACTCTACAATTCTATGATTCTAACTTGGTGGTCCTTTGGTGGCAAGGTGCCAACAAAGGTCCGTATAGTTAAAGCTATGGTTTTTCCAGTAGTGATGTATGGAAGTGAGAGCTGGACCATAAAGTAGGCTGATCGCTGAAGAATTGATGCTTTTGAATTATGGTGCTGGAGGAGACTCTTGAGAGTCCCATGGACTGCAAGAAGATCAAACCTATCCATTCTTAAGGAAATCAGCCCTGAGTACTCACTGGAAGGACAGATCCTGAAGCTAAGGTTCCGATACTTTGGCCACCTCGTGAGAAGAGAAGACTCCCTGGAAAAGACCCTGATGTTGGGAAAGATGGAGGGCACAAGGAGAAGGGGACGACAGAGGACGAGATGGTTGGACAGTGTTCTTGAAGCTATCAGCATGAGTTTGACAAAACTGTGGGAGGCAGTGGAAGACAGGAGTGCCTGGCGTGCTCTGGTCCATGGGGTCACGAAGAGTCAGACACGACTAAACGACTAAACAACAACAAACTTGGTGGTCCTCATTATACCTTGGGGGAACCCCTTTGACCCAGAGGAGTCAATCACAGAAGCCTCTGAACAACTTAGCGCATCTGGGTCCTGGATATGCAGGCACATGGAGACCAAGATTAATTTTCAGAACATCCTTTTAGGAACATAAGTGTTTGGCTGCTGAATCACACCAGACGCCCAACTTAGCCAAGCATCCGGTTCCCAGTGTGGTCAGCTATGGGAAGCCCACAAGCAGGATGTGAGCACAACAGCACTTCCCGCCCCAGTTATGATTCCCAACAGCTTACCAAGCAATGTCATTTTCCATTCAGTTAAACATGGATTTACTTTCCTACTACTGTTCTGGCCCAAGCTGCCTTTCATCAGGGTTTGTTTGTTTACTGACACAGGGAGAATGGGCACGTTCTTGTGTTCTTGTGATGGTTATGTAATGAGAATGATACCTCATTAGAGCCCGTTTTCCTTCTCTTGCCTACCTTCAACTCTGTAATCCCCACCCACCCCACACCTGAGAATGCTCACATTGAATCAATTCCACTCTATTCAAGCCAGTCTTCTCCAACATGGTGCCCTCCAGATGTTTTGGATGGCAACACCCAATCATCCCCATTCAGCACCCAGCTGGGGTTGGTGGAGGTCATAATCCAAAATTTATGGTGGACATCAAGTTGGGGGAGGTTGATTTTGGCAAACGTGGCCTCCCCACTTTGCTGCAAATTTGAGTTTCTCTGACTATTCTTACTTATTCTTCCTTGCATTCTTGGCTACTTGTCAAACCAGCTACCAATCTGCCCCCAGACATCCAGACATCACAGCAAATATGTTGTGATGTGTGGTCTAATGTAGCAGTGGGAAGAAGTTAGATTGGGATCACTTGGGAGACCTCCAACTGATTTGCAGCAGATCAGAAAGGGTTCTCACTCCCAATTGTTTAACAGCAACAAGGCCTTCTAAATTAGGCTGCTGGAATGAGGAAAGATTGGAGGAAGGGAATTAAGTGGGGGATGGGAGAGGGGGAAACAATTATCTGGTACTGGAAAAGAATCCAGAGCCTCAATCCTTCATTTTAAGAGCATGCTGTGTCTGCTCCACTACTATTTTGGTCCTGGTTTTAGTTAGTAGATTTTGGGATTATGGGGTTAAAAATAAATAAAACAGAGCGCTGCAAGCATAATAACTGCCCATCCATGGTCTAATGGGTCAATCATTGCTCAGGAAGCCACTATTCATTCATTCATTCATTCATTCATTCATTCATTCATTTTATATCCCACCCTTCATCACAACAACAACAACAGCCAGAAAAACCATTCAAGAAACAGTTGAAAACATTATTCTCGGTAGTGGCGCCCGCCCTGTGGAACGCCCTCCCATCAGATGTCAAAGCGATAAATAACTACCTGACATTTAGAAGACATCTTAAGGCAGCCCTGTTCAGGGAAGTTTTTAATCTGTGATATTTTACTGTATTTTGGTTTCTATGGAAGCTGCCCAGAGTGGCTGGGGAAACCCAGCCAGATGGGCAGGGTACAAATAATAAATTATTATTATTATTATTATTATTATTATTATTATTATTATTATCTTAATCAGTGATTTCATGGTTACCAGGGACGATTTATTTTAGCCATCACATGCCTGGGTAAGCAGGAATGTTTTCAAATTCCTCCTGAAAGTTCATATTGATGGAGGCAGACACACCTCACTACGAAGGGCATTCTGCAAATGGGGAAGCACCATGGAAAAGGCCCTAGTGGGTCAATGCCAATGGAAAAGCCCCCAGTAGTGGCAAAACCACATTCCATATTCAGAGTAAGGCAGTGTTAGGGAAGTGAATCTTGGTTTGAGAGCAGACTTTTACCTGTTGCAATTGCACACAGATGCTTGTAGGTAAGACAATAATAACATTGTTTATTGTTTACACCAACCTGGTGCCCTTCAACTGTTTTGGACCAGAAGAGCCATGCTCGAATTAGTCCCATCATCATTTACCCATGCTGTCTTAGACTGATGGGAATTGTAGTCCAAAACATCTAGAGGGTACCAGATTGGCAAAGGCTATGTCTCTATGGCCATGCTAGCTGGGGCAGTTGGGAGTTGTGGTCTAAAACATCTGGAGGGTACCATGTTAGCAAAGGCTATGTCTCTATGGCCATGCTAGCTGGGGCAGTTGGGAGTTGTGGTCTAAAACATCTGGAGGGTACCATGTTGGTGAAGTCTGGTCTAGGCATATCCTAGGGTCTCAGATGAGCTGAGTGAGGACTCTTGGGGTGTCTTTTTTCATACCTGTTTATTAATGATTCAGGTAGAAGTTGGCATAATAAGAGTATACAATCTGAACATTCCTAAAAGGAGGAGGAGGAAAAAATGGTTTCAATTTTGGCACTGGGGCTTCTTCCCATCCATCAAAAATATTCAAGGAATTTAAGGCAGACCTCAAGCCAGAGAGAACCAGGATGGGGAGGGGACAGAAAAGGAGGAGAGAGAGAGAGAGAGAGAGAGAGAGAGAGGAGGAGGAGCAGTTACAAACCCGCCAAGTTCAGCAGCTTGTCTGCTGGTTTGAATTGCTGTGTAATCCTCTGACATAGAATAAACTCGTGCCATATTAAAAAAAAAATATGCCCAGGCCTCGGGAGAAGAGAATAACTATAGCCACATGTCTGTGGGCTGTTTCCAAACCTTGTCAAGTTGAAATATGTGAAGAAGTCCATTTAACCACTATCAAATGGTGCCATCTTAGATGAGTGTATAAAGAAGAGAACTGAACTGGAAAACGAAAACCAACTGCGCGTTCTAGGGCTCAAATAAGTTCAGGCACTTTGCCTTAATGTCTGCCTAATTACTACACAAGCTGGTGTGTGTGTGTGTGTGTGTGTGTGTGTGTGTGTGTGTGTAATGGAAATCCAGCTTTCTAATGGAGCCAAGATCATGTTTTGGTAATTTGACTTCCTCCCCCCACCTCCTGCATTTCCATTCTCATTCTTC